GGTTAGCCTGGTGGGTTAGCCTGGTGTGGCAGCCTGGTGGGTTAGCCTGGTGGGTTAGCCTGGTGGGTTAGCCTGGTGTGTTTGCCTGGTGGGTTAGCCTGGTGGGGTAGCCTGGTGGGGTAGCCTGGTGGGGTAGCCTGGTGTGTTTGCCTGGTTGGTTAGCCTGGTGGGGTAGCCTGGTGGGGTAGCCTGGTTGGGCAGCCTGGTGGGGTAGCCTGGTTGGGCAGCCTGGTGGGGTTGCCTGGTGGAGTAGCCTGGTGGAGTAGCCTGGTGGAGTAGCCTGGTGGGTTAGCCTGGTGGGTTTGCCTGGTGGGTTAGCCTGGTGTGGTAGCCTGGTGGGTTTGCCTGGTGGAGTAGCCTGGTGGGGTAGCCTGGTGGAGTAGCCTGGTGGATTAGCCTGGTTGGGCAGCCTGGTGGAGTAGCCTGGTGGAGTAGCCTGGTGGGTTAGCCTGGTTGGGCAGCCTGGTGGGGCAGCCTGGTGGGGTAGCCTGGTGGAGTAGCCTGGTGGGTTAGCCTGGTTGGGCAGCCTGGTGGGGCAGCCTGGTGGGGTAGCCTGGTGGAGTAGCCTGGTGGGTTAGCCTGGTGGAGTAGCCTGGTGGAGTAGCCTGGTGGGTTAGCCTGGTGGGGCAGCCTGGTGGAGTAGCCTGGTGGGGCAGCCTGGTGGAGTAGCCTGGTGGAGTAGCCTGGTGGGTTAGCCTGGTTGGGCAGCCTGGTGGGGCAGCCTGGTGGGGCAGCCTGGTGGAGTAGCCTGATGGAGTAGCCTGGTGGAGTAGCCTGGTGGGGTAGCCTGGTGGGGTAGCCTGGTGGAGTAGCCTGGTGGGGTAGCCTGGTGGAGTAGCCTGGTGGGTTAGCCTTGTTGGGCAGCCTGGTGGAGTAGCCTGGTGGGGTAGCCTGGTGGGTTAGCCTGGTGGGTTAGCCTGGTGGGTTAGCCTGGTGTGGTAGCCTGGTGGGTTTGCCTGGTGGAGTAGCCTGGTGGGGTAGCCTGGTGTGGTAGCCTGGTGGGTTTGCCTGGTGGAGTAGCCTGGTGGGGTAGCCTGGTGGAGTAGCCTGGTTGGGCAGCCTGGTGGGTTAGCCTGGTGGGTTAGCCTGGTGGAGTAGCCTGGTGTGGTAGCCTGGTGGGTTTGCCTGGTGTGGTAGCCTGGTGTGGTAGCCTGGTGGGTTTGCCTGGTGGAGTAGCCTGTTGGGGCAGCCTGGTGGGGTAGCCTGGTGGGGTAGCCAGGTTGGGCAGCCTGGTGGGGTAGCCTGGTGGGGCAGCCTGGTGGGGTAGCCTGGTGGGGCAGCCTGGTGGGGTAGCCAGGTTGGGTAGCCTGGTGGGTTAGCCTGGTGGGGTAGCCTGGTTGGGCAGCCTGCTGGGTTAGCATGGTGGAGTAGCCTGGTGGGGTAGCCTGGTGGGGTAGCCTGGTGGGGTAGCCTGGTGGGGCAGCCTGGTGGGGTAGCCAGGTTGGGTAGCCTGGTGGGTTAGCCTGGTGGGGTAGCCTGGTTGGGCAGCCTGGTGGATTAGCATGGTGGAGTAGCCTGGTGGGGTAGCCTGGTGGGGTAGCCTGGTGGGGTAGCCTGGTGGGTTAGCCTGGTGGAGTAGCCTGGTGGGGTAGCCTGGTGGGGCAGCCTGGTGGGGTAGCCTGGTTGGGTAGCCTGGTGGGGCAGCCTGGTGGATTAGCCTGGTGGGGCAGCCTGGTTGGGCAGCCTGGTTGGGCAGCCTGGTTGGGTAGCCTGGTGGGATAACCTGGTGGGGTAGCCCAGTAGTTAGAGTGGTCGCTCGTCATGCTGTAGGCTTCAGTTCCATTCCACACATGGGTACAATGTATAAAGCTCATTGCTGGTAATTTTCAAAATACATACTCCTTGTAAAGGAGAATGTTGAAAATACATTCCAAACATCTCTAGCAATATGTCCAATGTTTTTTTAGTTTTAAGATGAGGTTGTAGAGAAGACTGTTCACAAAAATGTAACGTGGCACAGAATATTTCAAACTTTTGAAAATTATTTTATTTGGTAGCTAGGGCTTTTGAATACATGTTCCATGAAAATGATATTGACATCATCGATAGTTTTAGAGCATTAAGAGTTAATAGTTCAGTGCTAACAGCTGAAAGGACGATGACCCATGACATTAGCTACATTGACTTTGCTGAGTGAGCGGTGGGATGAGTTTTACGCCGCATTTAGCAATATTCCAGCAATATCACGGCAGGGAACACCAGAAATGGGCTTTACACAAGGCTCCCATGTGGAGAATCGAACCTAGATCTTCGGCGTTACGAGCGACCACTTTAACTCTTGGCTACCCAACTTTGCTGCAATGAGTCATGCCATGCCACTGTGGTGTTTGTAATAGTTCAGTTAAAAGTCTGCGGGGACAGGGGGTATGTGGGTGATTGAATACGTAATGCATCCATTTCTTATTCTGCCTAAAAATGTCTGACAATTCATTTTTTGCACATGCCTTTTACACATTGTTGTTAGTTGTTCCGCTTTATTTTTAACGAAACCCCAATAAAATTAATAAAATGTGTTGGAGCTTATTCTTCAGGGTTCCAACGAAGTAAGTACGAGAGGTAGCCATATATGTGACAAAACAATAGTAAAACATACAAAAGAGGAACTGGTAAACAATAATGCATTCGAACGAATATTATTTTTGGCTTCTAAATTTGTCTGTGATTCATATAACAATTTGAATAACTTTATTTTCAATTGCATAAAACATGTCATTGAAAATGAATTGAAACCAATATTGTACATGCTGTGTGTTGATTAAATATTTCGGGCAAATTTTGTTTTTGTTTTAATATAATCTGACAAACAAAGAGTTTGCCGCTGTGTTCATGCATCGAATCAAACGTTTTTTGGGTTGTTTTCGTTGAAGTCAAATAAAGATGGTATATTAAATAAATTCTCCAGACCCAAAACATCTTTAATGAAGCTTTTCTCAATTCAGGTTGAGAGGAAGGAATTTGAAAATTGATATTACTGTAATAGGTGTGCCTCGCATGAGGCGGCCCTGTGATGGCGTAGTTCACAAGCCTTGTGGTGTATAAAGTTTGAACCCACTGTTGACTCGCAGCCTTTTGTGTTGTATTCTTTCAGATGGTATTGTGTGGTCTTAGGGAGGAGACTAACATCACTAGTGGCTAAAATCCCGGCCTTGAATCCAGCCTGCCTCAGTTTCCCGAACTAAACTTAGCACCAGAGGTATTCGGGGAACCTAATTTAGCAAGATATGGACACTTATCCCTAGTCTGTCGTACAGACCCTGAAACAAAAATATCCAATACAGCCCATGCAAGTCTATAGTGGGCAAGTCTTGATTGCTGCAGTATCAAATAGTCTCTGGGCTCCTTTTTAATATATTTTATTAAGACAATTGAACAACTGTTATTTCTGTAAAATATGTTCATTTCAGAGACCAGATTTTAGCCTTACTTATCCCTTGAATGGCATGGATCCTTGTGTTCTGGGCTTCCTGCTTGTCCCAGTAAACTTTTCTAGACTTGTGGCTATCAACTTGGCAACTATTTCCAAACTCCAACCATCACATTGTGAGGACACAGTGATAACACCAACACTCCATCATCAGGCTTTTTCCCTTTCTTCCCATCCACAGCTTCAGCTTGATGCCCTATGCAAGGGCTTCTTCCATAGTTTGGGGAGTACAAACAAGATGTGCATTTTCATATTGAAATCAGACAACCCTGATAAAAACTTGTCAACAACATGCAACTCCAACCAGTCATAGGTTGCTCCTCGGTCAGGCTACAAGAGCTAATTTCTACAACTGAAAACCAAAGTCAGACACAGGCCGATACCATCGGTTCCCTAATTCTGACCTACATGCAACATTCCTTTCCTCATCCTCCCAAGGCAAGGGTGTTAAATGATTGTGAAAGTCCAGTTTCCACCCTTGCCAAACTTGGCTGGAATTTCTGGGCTCGATCGTAGTGCCGTCAGTGACTTATTACGAGTCATGTCCCTTCTACAGCCCTCCTATTGACCAATCACATTCACCTCTCATATCAAATTGCGGTCGCACATTGAAGACGATCTGATCAATAATCAAGATCTATATTGTAATAAAACGGGTCTTAATTCGCGAAATTCATGTGAGCACCTTGAATAAAAACATGAAAAGATTTTGAAAATATCTGTTTTACACAAATCCTGCAATTGACCAAAATCTGCACAGCAATTTATGAACAGGATGTTGATTTCATGATGCAACTAAGCAAGTCAGCTAACAGGACTGCTCGATCCCATTAGTCGCCCTTTATGGCAAGCATAGGTTGCTGAAGACCTATTCTAACCCACATCTTCAAGGGTGTTAAATGTAACTACTCAAACTTACAACACCTATTACCGTATTCGACATAATCAGTGCCCCTCTCTAATAAGCGCCCACGGCAATGTTTGCATATATATATACTGGCTAGTGAGCAGTTCCAAATAGCACCCTTCTGATTGATCAATGTACACAAAACTTATGTATTCATGTATAATATGCCCTGGGCGCTTATTATGTCGAATACGGTACATTATAACCATGCTACAAATTCCTGTGGAAATGTGCATTTGACAAAATTATCCATTTTGTTATGAAATTATGAATTTACTTAAACTTTATGGAACAAACTCGTCATGACACACCTATACATAGATCTAGATCTTGTCCAATAATTGTACACTTAGTGGTTAGTCATACTTATGTAGACACGAAGAGTTTCAGTCAGAAATAAGTTTCAGTATATACAGTGACTCACAATTCAGTCACAATCATAATCGTTGAAAATCATCTTTCGTTTTAACCCAATGTCATGTTACGAACATACGCGATACCATTCTCTGAAACCAACAGTTGTAGTGCCTGCTGCATGTAGTACGCGACACCAAGTCTTAGATAGGCCACGTTTGGAGAAATACATTATCAACGAATTATTTACAAGCAGCCATACTAGTTGACACAAAAGTTGTCTATTGATAAAAGTTGCATGTCTTACATACTTACTCAAATAATTTATCCATGTCGTTAAAATTCGCAAAATCTGCTTTCGCTTCCCCAACACTGTCACTGTAGCTTGGTTTAGTAGCACTAAAGAGCACGCGACGCTTTCCCCGCCCCTTTCGAGACGTGTGCAAATGGAACTTTACACAAGTGCAAATAGCATATAACGAAAACACTGGCGTTATAATTCATTGCAGGCGTTCGTGTTTGTTATGATTTTAGTTAATTTTAATATTATCAAACTACGTTTTAACGCACATTTTGATTCGAAACTTATTTCAATTGGATGGCTTCATCCGGGCACCTGCACTAAGATGGCGGATTCTGCAACATGGCAAAACTTGCCAAGAATGTGCCAAGCTTTTGGATAAAAGTAGCGGATATTTTACTTATATCTTGATTACGGACATAGTACGGGTAATCACTGATCTTTCCTTGTGTCTGTGCAACTAAGTGCAGTATTGGTTTATGAGTTATTTACCCCAGTTTTGTATTTACAATCAAAGGGAAGGGGTGTGGAGAAGTGATATTTGTTCAGTCGGTGATTGCTCTATCCTGTTATCGGCGTTTAAAGTATCCAAAATGAATGTGCAGTATGATTCAAGTTATGTTGAATTTGTTTCTTGAAATATGTTTACAAGGACATGAGGTATTTTATGATCGTTAGGCTCACGGAATGGAGTAAAATGGCGGTGCCTGTCCCGATTCAGTTATCTACTGTCAAACCGAATATACAATCACGGTTCGCTTTCTATTCATGATATTTTGGCAAAACCAAACCAACTTCATCATGAGTCGAAGTTAAAGACAAATCGTTCGTGGAGAAAATAATACTGTTTAGCATGATTTTCAGTTTATGAAACAATATTACTTTGATGACTGAGATGAGGTTTGTGTCTGCAAAGTCTTTGTTACGAGTTCACATATAGCCTCTAATAGACAAGAATATGATTCATGAAGTTATTTGCTTGAGGTTAGACAGACAATTAGAGTAATACCATAAAATGATGTTTCTGTGTTTAGTATATTGCTGATGTTTAGATGATATTCTCAAAAGACAGCAATCAGTACTTATCACAGATAAACACTCATGCCAAGATTCAAAAGCCAAAATGGTCATGCTTTGTACAGGTATGGCTTTTGAATGCTTGTTTGTTTTGGCATCAAACTTAAGCTCTTAAATATTTAACATCAAGGGGTGTTGGAAAGAGGAATTCAAGGTTAATTGTTTATAGGTCCTTTATATGGCATGAATTTGGCCAACTGGCATCATTTTAATATGGGAGGTAACTCTTTATTTCAATTTTCCATGTATCCATCCCATGCAACATCATTACATGCACATTGCTTTATGTTACTAAATTGTTACACTTTGAATTCCATAGAATCAAAATTTTCTCACGTCTCAAAGGAAAATAATCATTCATGCTAAAATGCTTGGTAAATGTATGCCATGATTAATTTTGTATAATCCTCATGATTGTAGATGAGACTATTGCAGGTTTAATATGATATGCAGATATCTTAATGTGTTGTTGGTTATTTCTTTCAATGTTAAGCAGTAGTCTCTAACCAAAGTTCAAAGTAACTTTGTGACTGTGTAACCAATAGTAAAAGGGCATTTGTTATAAATGTTATGTTTAGATTACCTCACTGAAAGTCAAGTGAGCTTATCATGCTTATGTCACACCCTATTTGTCCTTCATTAACATCTCCTTAGAATGGCCTGCATCTATGAAGTTTTAACATACATGTTACCACTACTGAAGGATAACACTCCAGTTTGTTGAAGAGGTTTCAATCGGATCTTTAACCATGTTTACATGGCCGCCACAGCAGTCATGTTGAAAATCTTATTTCTGTCCATTTCTCCGCAATTTTGGTTCTTATTGTATTGAAATTTCTCCTGGGTTCAACACATATGTTTAGTTTTTCTCCGGTATTTTGAAATTTGAACTTGATTTTTACCTTTGCACTACAGCAACATGATCCTAAATTTTCTCAAAATTAATTTTCTCGCACTGTAAAAATCACCTCCCAGAAAACACATGGCCCATGAAGCTTGTTCCAACCTATGATGACATTTTTCGATATGAATCTGATTTGTGATATGGTTACTATGGCAACTGTATTGAAAAACCACCAACAGCAACAGCATTTGAATGTCAATTAATTCCCAATGTTTTGTTTATGAAATGACATTTTTTTCATACATGTTGCATCATATGTTACCGTATATGTAGAGATGAAACTTAGAAATACAGGGCATTGGAAAGATCACATTAGGGGTGTCACAATTTGTCATTTTTTGCACGATTTGCACTATTTTACATTGAAAAAAATCTATTTGGTGTGTTTAAATAATATTTAAGTTGATTCGTCATTAATTATTTTCCATTTGTTTAAAGTCAATAGTTATGACTTGCGATTAGTTACCAAGTTGTCAGCTAGCCATATCAGCATTAATTGTAATTGAACTCCTAACCAAAATCATAAAATATCACAATGGTTTTTCTTCCAATAGTTATCAGGTTTTACTTATCCTGGTCATTTGGAATTCGTAACTTTAACTTTATTTGGTTGGGGTGTGATCCATCGACGAAACTTCTACTTTATTGCATCAGATGGCAAGATAATGTGACTTCTTTTTTTATTGTGATTGTTCTGATACTTTTTCAGATCCATATCAACATTTTACAGATACATTTTACAGGAATACATTTGACTTTTTACAAGCAGAATGTAATTTCTACAACATTGATGTGAAAGAGATTAATCATACACAACCATGAGTAAGGTTAACTTTGAGATGGAAGGGATGATGGGAGGTGATTCTGATTCGTCGGATGAAGACAGAATGCAAATAGACGAATCCGCAGCATCATCATCAGGGGGACCGCAGACAGCAGAGGATACAGAACTAAAAGAGGAGGAAGAGGAAGGCAGTGATGATGATGATGATGATGGTGACGAAGAAGATGATGAAGACGACGATGATGAGGATGATGACGACGAGGATGGCGAAGACGGTGAGGAAGTGGATGAGGTTGAAGGGGAGGAAGATTCTGATGAAGGTTAATTTCTTTCACCACCTGAATTATGTTAATGAGAACTTCATGTCAATGATGACTGTTTGAAAGTTCATTGGTATGCATAATAAGAAAACCATCTACTGATCATATTTCATTTCTGGAATGAAAGCTTTTACATAGGTTTTGTCCGTTATCCATATGTTACCCGAAGAATAGGTCTTCAGCGACCCATGCTTGCCATAAAAGGCAACTATGCTTGTCGAAAGAGGCAACTAATGGGATCAGGTGGTCAGGCTCGCTGACTTGGTTGATGCATGTCATCATATCCCAATTGAGTGGATCGATGCTCATGTCAATCACTGGATTGTCTGGTCTAGACTTGATTATTTACAGATCGCCGTCATGTAGCTGGAATATTGCTGAGTGCGTCGTTAAACAACAAACAAACATCATCCACATGTTGCTTAAGACAGTTCTTACAATATATTTGGTGTATCATGTTATGGATCATCCCACCCCTTATGAACCTTGTGACAGTGCCAGGGATTGTCTTAGGCCGTGATTCAGGGATATTCTCGCATATTTTTCGTGATAGCGCACCAACATTCAATCAGCGCGATTGAAAATCGCATAGATCTTTCAATAGTTTTATCTGCATTAACACGCTCATTTTCACCTACAAAAAATGGCATATTGCTTGAATAAATTTATCTGCGGTACTTAAAAATGTCAATAAAAAATTTACACGCTAGTTTATTCAATCGTCAAAAGTTGTCAATCGAAACAGCGATTTGCATACTCGCAGCATTGCATGCTATCTCTTACTGTGCATAACCAATTCCTATATCACTGCATGGAGCTTTGCATCAGCTGACAATGGTTGAAGTGTGCAACAATTTTTTTTATCCCCGATTGACAAAACAAGTTTTGTTTTTACAAACTAAACACTTTGGTAGCACACAAAAATCTTATTATCTAATTAATGTTCGAAAATGGGATATCCAAGGATATATCTATTTAATCTGGTTATATTACTTGCAACACTATTTGAGGCACAAGTGCTAAAAATCAAATACAGTTTCCCCACCGTGTGAAGATGAAATATCTCTGAAAATTAGCAAAATCTTATCACACGCCAAAAAATCTCATTTCTTTTGGATCAGGGGTGATTTTCTCTCACAGGTAAAACATTTCCAGGATAATCCCTGCACTGCACAGTTGCCTGGTGACTGTTTGAAATGGACCCTGAATGGCCTTATAACCTTAGTTTAATAATTCATAATAGATTTAACATGGTTAAGGGATTCTTATGCTGTAGCATTAAACCTGGAATCCCCTTTATTTGGAACAATGTGTTACCATGGTTACTGGATATTAGAGGTGAAACAATACATCAGTGCATCGTGAGTTTTCCTGCACAAATACGATACACGATACATTTTTTTCTGTAGCGATACAAGACGGTTTGCTTGCTAAAATACATGTCTGCTTGTTTAATGCCCCCACCCCCGGTATTTTTGTCAGTCAAAAATAACAAAATGTGTTGTAATTAAGTTCACTACTAAAATAGCTGTAACAAACGTTAGCTAGCTTTTCCTTTTCCATCTGCTCTGAAATATTTGTAGTCAAGACATTTCCATATTTCCACATCTTACGTCTCATATCTTGACCTTTGTATCGTGATTCGTTATGTATTGTGACCTTGCAGTATCATTTCATCTCTACTGGATATAGTTCATTAAGACGTAAGTAGGTGTATATTCCATGATTGGTTGTTACTGTTCTAGAGTGGGAGTCTGAGGAAGAGGAGGAAGAAGCTCAGGCTGAAGGCTTAGTTGTTGAGAGCGAATCCGACGACGAGAACGCTGACAATTGTCCAATCTGTCTTAATCGCTTCAAGGATCAAGATGTCGGCACTCCCGAGGCCTGTGACCACAACTTCTGTCTTGAGTGTATTCAGGAGTGGGCAAATGTACGAAATTCTGAAAATTCTTCTTTCAATATATCTTCTATGGTATCTTCACAAGAACTGGTTTTCACATAGTACCTTAGTCAGAGTGTACAAATGCATTGTAGTGTACAATGAGTCATTATTTAACGTAATTATGTGTTGATTGACAGAATGTGAATACCTGCCCCGTTGATAGACAGGTGTTCCGCCTGATTCTTGCCAGACATCCCAGTGAGGACAAGGTTTATGAGAAGGTGAGTGTATCCATGGAAATTATGATGGAACTTAACATTCTAGAAACTGTAAATTGGCTGATGTGTCTGGTATTCACCAATATTCACACTCACTTACCAAGGCATGCTAGTCCTGATCTATTGTATGTATATTTCCATATAGCTTATCAGAATAATCACTACTCGTGCCATTTGGGCAAAGGAACTAATAATGTCTGGGTGTTGTCATTAGTTATGCAAGAAAATGTTAGTCGCAACCGTTTTAAAATTTGTTTGATACAAGGTTAGTATTGATGTAACAATGTTTGTACAGGCTTGAAAAGGCCTTGAATATTAAGGTCCCTCTTGAAAAGCCTTGATTTGTAATTTAAACTTGAAAGCCTTGAAAATCACCAAAATAGCTTGAAAAGCCCTGAATTTGTACAAAATGACAAACTTGTCAATAAAGGAATTAAAACACACAAATCTAATAGTAATGTACCAAGGATGTTTCAGTGTGGTTTATCACAGTGATAGATTTGACACTTGGCTAAACACCTTGAAGAATTCATGATAAGATTTTCATTTTATTTATTGGAAATCAATCTTGTTTGAGAATTTGTGCATACTGCTTTTTGAGTATTATAATTAATAGGTAGTATGCTGGATTACAAAAATATTGGCAGACTGAGGCTAATAACCCAACTAAAAGTCTTGAAAATGACACATGAAAAGGCCTTGAATTTTCATGTTCCATATCTGTATGAACCGTGCATTACAGATGAAGCAAAGGTGATGAAGAGCCAAAGTGAATATTTCTCATTAATCACACATTTTTGTGATGTTTAAGTGGAGGTTTTTCATGGTGTTCATGTTTGTAGATCCCTGTTGAAGATAAGAATGCTCAGGAGGAAGAGGTTGAGGAAGAGCCAACGTACTGCGAGGTGTGCGGCCGTTGTGACCGGGAGGACAGACTACTGCTGTGTGATGGCTGTGATCTGGGGTGGGTGCTGGCTCACATCCTGTAGGGCGTCACTGGTTGGGTGGGTGCTGGCTCACATCCTGTAGGGCGTCACTGGTGGGGTGGGTGCTGGCTCACATCCTGATGGGGGTCACTGGTGGGGTGGGTGCTGGCTCACATCCTGTAGGGCGTCACTGGTGGGGTGGGTGCTGGCTCACATCCTGATGGGGCGTCACTGGTGGGGTGGTGCTGGCTCACATCCTGTAGGGCGTCACTGGTGGGGTGGGTGCTGGCTCACATCCTGTAGGGCGTCACTCGTGGGGTGGGTGCTGGCTCACATCCTGTAGGGCGTCACTGGTGGGGTGGGTGCTGGCTCACATCCTGTAGGGCGTCACTGATGGGGTGGTGCTGGCTCACATCCTGTAGGGGGGTCACTGGTTGGGTGGGTGCTGGCTCACATCCTGTAGGGGTCACTGGTGGGGTGGTGCTGGCTCACATCCTGTGGGGGGTCACTGGTGGGGTGGGTGGTGTCTCACATCCTGTGGGGGATCACTGGTGGGGTGGGGTGGGGTGGGTGGTGTCTCACATCCTGTGGGGGGTCACTGGTGGGGTGGGGTGGGTGGTGTCTCACATCCTGTAGGGCGTCACTGGTGGGGTGGTGCTGGCTCAAATCCTGTAGGGGGGTCACTGGTGGGGTGGGTGCTGGCTCACATCCTGTAGGGGTCACTGGTGGGGTGGTGCTGGCTCACATCCTGTGGGGGATCACTGGTGGGGTGGGGTGGGTGGTGTCTCACATCCTGTAGGGGGTCACTGGTGGGGTTGGGTGGTGTCTCACATCCTGTGGGGGGTCACTGGTGGGGTGGGTGGTGTCTCACATCCTGTAGGGGGTCACTGGTGGGGTGGGTGGTGTCTCACATCCTGTAGGGGGTCACTGGTGGGGTGGGTGGGTGGTGGCTCACATCCTGTAGGGGTTCACTGGTGGGGTTGGGTGGGTGGTGTCTCACATCCTGTGGGGAATCACTGGTGGGGTAAAACTGGAAGTGGAAGAAAATGTCACTAGTTCCAGAATTGTAATAGTTCCAGAATTGTAATAGCCTTGGACTCGCCGACTTGTGTTTATTGAAGTGGTTATTGTGTTGCAGGTTTCACTGTGAGTGTCTGTCGCCACCTCTGGCCGACATCCCTGTAGAGGAGTGGTTCTGTTCCGACTGTGCCGCAGCCAACAAGGAAGGTAAAGGTCACCTAGCTGTTTCTGATTGGTCATTTTCATTTATTGAGGAAGGATATATTTTACCTTATGAAAATGGTATATATTTTTTATTAGCCTGTTAGTAATCCAGATTGGCAGGCATGAACGAGATAAATGGATGACATGAGATAACAGTGCCTCACGTTCACTGTACATGGTCAACTAACGTGAGGTTAAAAAGTGTGACTGGTGAGTGTATGTGTGTGTGTAGCTCTTACTGTCAACCATGCGTTTGTCTTATCCTGACTTAACTACATCCATGATGTGTTGTAGTCTTCTAGACAATATACTAGCCGCTGCTTGTCATAAGAGGCGAGTCAGTGGATCGAGAAGTCACACTCAGTGACTTTGTTGATTGCGTATCATTTCCCAATTGCCTGGACAGAGCTCCAGATAAGCTGCGTATCTGTGTGAAATACGCATCAGAAATGCAGATCTACGCAGTAAAATATAATCCAAGTGTATCAAATACGCAACGAACATTACAGATACGCTACAAAAATAAAATTTGTGTGTATCATCAAAATATTGTGAAGTAACCCTGCGTATTCGATCAGCAAATCAGCAACTTATTTTGAAATTATAAACGGGCATTCCGTCAACCTTGCCAAACTCCACGATGACAGTCACATCATGATCATTTGCCATCACACTTTCGTGTGGAAGTATCGTGGTATTTTTGAGTCCTATAAAGCTCTCGAACCCACACGACTCCAGTTTGCAGGGACTAGATGAATAGTGTTTTTAAATATTTAACTTAAATACCCACATGTGTAAAAACTAGTGGGTAACAGAAATTTGAATACGCAGATAGAATTACTGATACCCATTGATTTTAAAATGCATGGGTAAAATACCCACAACACCAAAAGCTTATCTGGAGCTCTGATGGATCAATGCTAATCACTGGTTTGTCTGATCCATACTTGCCTGTTAACAGATCATTGCCATATCACTGGACGCTTGCTAAGCAGGACATTACACACGCACACACACACACACTCTGACTGTTTTGTTGATGGTGTAGGTGCAGTTGAAGAAAGTGAAGAGGAAGATATTGACATCCGCCCCCGACGCCGTCTCATTGCTCGTACTCTAGTTAGTGAAAGAGTGCGGACGCGGATCAGGCAGACCCGTGTCGAGAGGGCATTACGGCTGCCACCCGAACTCGTTTCCTCATCTGAGGTAAGAACGAGATTGAAGTCATGTTCTTCATACATGTTCGATCAATAAACTATTTTCTTGGTAGTTTTAGTGTTGCAGCAAACCTGACAATTCAGTGATGTCATGTTTTGGACACAACTGCTGATATACAAATGATATCAAGTGGCAGAAATTAATTGTTGAGCCCTGGAATTTAATGTTTTTGTGTTGAATCTAGAGCTGGGACAAGTAGCTCGGGTACTGAGGTCGGATGGGTCCTTAGTAGGACCCAGGTACCCACAGGACGACCAGTATCTGTTAGTCACATGATATATTTTTTAGTGACAGTGACAATAAAGCTCCATGGTGACATAGGGAGTCACTAATGTTCGCATTTCTTTCTGACTGTGTATGCTTTCCTTCTGATGTTTATGTGTTTGGGTAAAGATAAAGCTTCAGTCAACTTCAGTGTATGCATGATCAGAATGTACTATACGTGTATCTAAATAGTTTCATAGGGCTCCTGTGAAACAATTTCCAATCGGACATTTTGTACCCAATTTGAGGCCTACAGCAGGTACCTGGGTAGGGTAGGGTAGGGTAGAGTCGGGTTTTAGGCCTTCAGTTACCCGGGTAGTAAATTTGGACTCATCCCAGTCGTACCTGAATCTTTCATTGTGCAGATAAGGCAAGAATGTTGTCTCAGGTGACTGAAAGTCTGCCTATACAGTTAACTCTCAATCTCACAACTTCACAACTACAGGAAGAAGGCGTGTCTGCTGCTTCTTCAAGTCAAACATCTGCATCCCCTTTGAAAAAGAAATCTCCTGTCAAACGACGAAAGAAGACCACAAGGCGGAAAACCCGTAAACGCAAGAGTCCAAAGAAGCGGAAAACTAAATCCCCAGGCTCGAAAACAAAAAAGAAAACGGCTGGCAAACGGAGGAGGAAGAGAAAGGGAGGAAAGAAGCGAAAGGTGGGATGATGTCTTGTGTTTGTAATCAGATCAACGTCTACCTGAATAATTAATTAATTGTCATTAGAACTGAACATTGTGAAGAACAAATATGTACCAAGTACCCATTGCAGGTCAGATGTGACAAAGTTGGAATGGGTAGTCAAAGCCACAGAAACTGGTTGATGGAATGTCATCGTCCTCTGGTGCTCATTTTTCCGGCACTGGTTTGCCTGGTCCAGACTTGATTATTTACAGACTGACATGATACAGTTTAAATATATCTTACTGAAGCGTTAAAGAACACTTACTTTTAAAAGCTCTGCAACTTCAACAGGACCCTGCCCCACCATGATACACATACACCCACGTTCACATTGATGGGGTGGTGGGGTAGCTCAGTGGATAAAGCGTTCACTCGTCTCGTCGAAGACCTGGCTTCGAATCCCTATATGGAATATTGATAAAAACGGCATACTCACTCACTCACTCACTCACTCACTCACTCACTCACTCACTCACTCACTCACTCACTCAAATTGACATCCTTGGACATTAGGAGTGTTTTTTAAGACTTGTTGAAATAGTGTTTAATGAGTCCTCAGAGTTGGTAACGAGACAAAAATGTGTGTCATGTGTACCATGTTTACATTTTTCGTCAGCTTTATTCAGTTAATACCAAAAGATGTTAAAGATGGTACTTGTTGTTATCCTGTCTGGCGCTCAGTATTATGGGGCTAAAACAAGGACTGGTCGGCTCGGAGTCAGTATACTGTGTCTAGTGGTGTAGTCATGGTAAACTGCAGCATGGTATCTGAGTGTGCTAGCACTATAAATCGGCATCAGTCCGGACTAGTACAAGCAGCGAAACACGCACATGTACATGCACGTCGCTATATAAGTGCAATAATCTTCTACGCGACGTTAAACCGCATTTCACCTCCCCTCTGTTATATTCATTTGTAGCAAAATTGAGACCTGGTTCAGAACTATTGCTCTCAACTGCTACTAGTCCATGAGGACTACCATCTTTGGGTCTGTTCTTGTCGTCAGTACAATTAGTAGTCTCAGGCTAGCAGAGTAGCGTGAATTTCAAGAGCTGTATTGACTGTGCAACTGTTGCAGCTAAAGAGAGGCAGTCCTCGTACAGCAGCTCCCGCATCCACCACAGTCAAGTCTCGGATCGCGGGGCGCCTGGGTCTGTCCAAGCCTCCGTCAGGTCTCTCCATACCTATGCAGAAGCTGCCCCAGGAGAAGACGCTAGAGCAACACCGCGCCGAGGATGTTGGCTTCTCTATACTCGGCCATAAAGACGATCTAGATCATTTCCAAGAGTAAGCACTGTTAAACCTCGTTAATCCAGACACACCCACCTTTTAGACAATTGCTTTCTGGATCGCCTTTTTTTAAAAAACATTACTCCTTTATGATGTTTCGTTTGTTAATCCAGTGTCTGCTAATAGCTGTAAGATCGCTGATGCAGCATTAAACAATGATGACTGCCTCACTCACTCAGAATGGTGCCATCTGGAGTAATGAGGCACCGGTAGTCGAATTGTGAAAGAGTCTTATTTTGTTGGACCCCTGTGGAGTCAATAACTCCCTGGGAGCCGTTGTACATAGCGATCTTAGCGCTAAGGTGATCATAACTCCCATACCTTAACATAAGTCTTACGACAGTTGTAGTGCTAAGCTGTTTCGGACAACAGCACCCTGAACTAGTAGTTTAACAAATTATTACTTCAAAGATTTGGGGAGTTTTGAACCATTTCCGTGAGGCACAGTATCATTAGTCCAGTCTTTATTTGCAGTGATGATGTGTCACCTGAAGCTCAACCAAGTGGTAGTGGGAAGGCAGGCCGTCTCACCAAGTATTCTGTATTATCATTGAAGTCACATCGTCCTGTTGGCAGAGTCAGAATACCGAAGTAAGTTCAGTTAATTTGTACAGTGAACTCTGTGTGGACCTTGGTGTAAGTGTCCACAGCACTGTATTGCTTGTCACTTGGGTCAGGTAGTCGGACTATGTGATGTAGTTAATTGCAGACCCGTGAAGATCCGGGGTAGAATAGGTCTTCAGCAACCCATGCTTGCCACAAGAGGCGACTATGCTTGTAGTAAGAGGCGACTAACCGGATCGGTAGGTCACACTCGCTGATTTTGTTGATGAATGTCGTATCCCAATTGTGTGGATCGATGCTCATGATGTCAGTCACTAGATTGTCTGGTCCAGACTCGATTATTTACGAACTGCCGTCATATAGCTGGAATATTGCTGAGTGCGGCATTAAACAACAAACAAACAAACAAAGCATGTCATCATATTCCAACGGTGTTGAATATTGCTCATTGTATGAATCACTGGTTTTCTTGGTGCACACATGATTAATATTCTGGGATGGAAATAAGCTAGCTTGGATGAGTTTTGTTGATGGTATCTGTAAGGCTAGTAGAGTCTTCCTGTATGTTGTCAATATTCAGGCTGGTGGATGTACTTGGTTAGTTGCCATCCCTTTTGTTCACAAGCAATGTGATGTGGCTGAAATATTGCAGACCGCAGTGTAATACAACAAACAAGATCCTCCCTAGGGTACATGAATAGTTATCCATTCTCCTTGACAAAGGGGGCGGTGGGGTAGCCTAGTGGTTAAAGCATCCACTCATCATGCCTGGGTTCGATTCCCAACAAAGTGTAAAGCCCATATTTTTAAACTTATCCTATCTCACACTATGCATTTCTTCTTATTCTTTGATCTTGGTGTGGAAACGTCCTAGAACAGAGTTTCCAGCTTCAAAACACCCCTCACCGAAACACATCCCATACATCACCAAATCACCACTGTGATCATGGTTCACGCACCACTAAAATCCCGTGCAACACGACCCCAGCGACCTGAGGTTTAAGAAGAAATGCATAGTTTGAGATAGGATAAGTATATAAATATACAAATTTATTAGAACATTTACAATTCCGGTGTTCCCCACCTTGAAATTGCTGGAATATTGCTATAAAAAATGGCGTAAAACTATACTCACTCACTCACTCACTCAACCACTCAACCACTCAACCACTCACTCACTCACTCACATCATGACAAGGTGTCATATGTATTGTTTCAGTATGGGTTGTCTAAACAAATGTCACCGTAACTTTGTTTAACTCTCCAACTGATGATCTTGATGTCTTTGCCAGAGTGTCAACCCCGTCCACCCTCGTGGTCGAGCCAGCAGCAGCAACCAGCTCCACCTTCGACATCCTCGGCTGCATCATGCAGAGTCAGAGCATCCTCAACATGAAGAGCGGGGATGTCACGATAAAGAGAGACGGTAGGTCCAGCCATCGGATTTCATGCTTGTCTTGAGACCAAGACTACTAATTAGTGCTGAGGTCAAGTAATAGTCCCTAATGACTAGTTTGAGGCTATGATACTGGACAGTTCTCAATGCTGTGATTTTAGTCAGTCAAGCAGGACTAGCTACAAACTCAGAAGGATTAGTGCCATGAGTTAACAATAGTCCTCTGGACTTATCTTTAAAGAAATTAATGATCACAATATCTGTCATTATGGATGCACGGACAAATATTTAAATAGCAATTTTAAGTAATGTCATGACATGTACAGACTTTTATTACCTCCCCCTGGGGATTAGATTTTGGTTGGCCTAGCCAATTATTGTTCATATCTTGTTCATCTATTCAATTTAGATTCTTAACAGATCTCATGTTGAACTATAATGTTCATGGTTGACTTTAACCATCTCATTAATTGGCGAGACCTTTACAACTAGATCATTAGATGTATTTGATCCCATATTGGTGGAGTGTATCTCATTAATTGGCGAGACCTTTACAACTAGATCATGTAGATGTATTTGATCCCATATTGCTGGAGTGTGTCTGTATTTCAAGTCACATGTGATTTGCCCTGATGAAATCTTCTTTTGTTTGTTTCTTCTCAGGTTCTCTCGTTGCAAACAAGCCAGTCCCAAAGGCAGACGTTCATCTGAAACATAGCAACACATTTGAGTTGAACACATTCTCAAAGGAGAAGGAAGTTGATGAGTACGACCCGTCTAATCCCACAGATGAAGATGCAGCTGATGTTCTGTCCTCGAAGCAAGGCCAACTGGCTCCAGCAGCCTCAATTGGCTTTGACTACGACCCATTTGAACCCACAGATGACTCGCCAAGCAAACCTGAGACTGTGTATGATCCTTCCTTTCCTACAAACGAGGACGCAGATATGGGAGAAGATGGCGCCAAGGACAGTGAAAATGAGACGGATACTGTTGTGAAAGATATTGAGGATAAGACTGAGCAAGATGATGAATGTTCTAATCTGGACGGGGAAGAGGTGCAGGAGTCGGAGAAAACAGATGACGATTGTGTGAAAGAAGATGCATCAGAACCGGACTCCATTCCAGGCATCAAGAGCCAAAGTGATATTTTTGAGGCCAGTAGTGAGATTACATCTGAAGATTCCAAGGTGTGTACTGAAGCAAAGGGGGGCGAATGTGATGTTGGGTCTCCGAGTGAAGTGATGGAGTACGCCCTGGACGATACCTCCATGGACTCTGAAAAACCTCTGCAGATTGATGAAGGTGGAGAAGACGAAGACAGTCAGAAGGCAGAGGATGGAGCTGAAGAGACTCTTGCAGAAGAGGAAGTAGAAGAAACGGAAACAAATTCTCAAGATGCCAATGAGGGACAGGAGGAAGAGGTTGAGGAAGAAGTCGAGGAAGAAGTTGCCGAGAATGAGGAAGTTGCCGAGAATGAAGAAGTTACTGAGAATGAAGAAGTTGCTGAGAATGAGGAAGTTGCTGAAAATGAGGAAGTTGCTGAAAATGAGGAAGGAGAAGAGGTGGAGGACGAGGATGGTGAGGAAGAAGAAGTGGAGGAGGAGGAGGAGGTTGAAGTGGAGGAGGAGGAGGAGGAAGAAGAAGAAGAACAGGAGGAAGAGGAGCAAGAGGCAGGGGGTGATGAAGAAGGTGAGATTGAGGAAGAGGTTCAAGCTCGGACAATGGGGTCACATCTAGGGGGATGGGACACAGATGATTCTGACTATGAAATTACCCGAGAACAGGAAAACAAGGTGCCCATTTCAGAGTTTCCACGTATTCCTAAGAAGAGGAGTTACAGGAATAAGGATGCTGCTGATGATTTAAGGACAGTGTTGCAACGGTTAGATGAAAAAGGCCATGGTCACCGGGCATATGAAAAGAAGGAATCTGTTCATAAGAGTAAAAGAGACTCTGACTCCAAAGATAGGACTTCTAAGTATGATAAGAGGGAAAGAGACTATGAAAGAAGGGATAAAGATAGACGTGATGATCGAGAAGAACGATCACGTGATAAGCATAGCAGAAAAGAACTGTCACGAGGTGAATATGAAAGTTCGTCTCGGCATAAACGAAGGAAAGACACTAGATCTAGAAGTAGGTCCCGAGAGAGAAAGGATAGCTCTGGGTCACATGACCGTAGAAGGTCAAGATCACGTGAAAGGTCATCTCGCAAAAAGCGTAGAGAACGGTCATATTCTCGTGAAAGATCTTATGAAAGAGAAAAATCGCACAAGAAAAAGAGGCGTGATCGTGATCGTAGCCGGGATCGTAGCATTGAACATAGAGGTCGTAGAAGTCGTTCTCGATCTCACAGTCCTAGAAAATATTCTGAAAGAGACAGTTATTCTAAACAAAATCGTGATAGTGAAAGATCGTATAAAAGAAAGAGTGACAGGGAAGATTCAAGGAGTGAGTACAAGAAGATTCGATCTGGAGATGAGGCTGAAAAGGAAACTACCAAGTATTCCTCAGTGAAAGTTAATCACAGTGCACCCAAATTAGTGCCTGTTTCTTTCACGGATGACCCAATAGTTCTTAGTGATGATGAGGAGGAGCAGGACCATGAAAATATACCTCTGCCATCCTTCGGGCCAAGTGGAAGTGCAAAGTCCGATTTGGCAAAGAAAAGTGAAAATCTGGACATCAAAGGTGATAAGCCTGATGCTAAAAGTGATAAGTCAGACAGCAAAAGTGAAAGGGCTAAGAGTGACAAATCAGCAAGTAAGAATGAAAAGCCTAAATCAGAGAGTGAAAAACATGTCCGTCTTCAGTTGAAGTCGTTTGCCACTAAGAAAGTGTCGGAGCATTTGATTAAGCAGGGTGGTATATTCGGGAAGGAGCCGTCTGTGTACGACCCCGCTCACCCGACCGATGAGGAACAGGAGACCGAGAAGGGAATCTCAGTGGACTTTCAAGGTGCTGTGCCCAACAGTGCGTCACCCGACCTTCCGCCACAGCTCATGCAAAATGCTCACGGACAGGGACCTTTCATAAGTGAGAATGCATTTATTTTGACAAGTGAGCCAGGGGTTATGCAGCCACAAAATATTCCTCTGCCTGCTGTGACGTTTGGGATGCTTCATCCCCGACTCCAACCAGGCTTGCCCCAAAGACAGATTCTCATGAACCCTGTTATGTTAAATCAGCCACCTCCGTTCACACAAACCCAGCCAGGTAGATTTCCTCGTCTCCCGACTGGGGCGATGCCTCGGTTTGGCTGGCAGGTGAACCCTCCTGGCGGCATGTTGCCGCTACAGCAGAACAGATTTGGTGCTCGTATGCCTCCTGGCCCTGGCGGAATGCCCCCAGGGGGTAATGTGATGAACGGTGGCTTCGACCCCATGGGTCCTGACCACTCGCGTCCTCCCTTCCCACCTAACATGCACCTCCCACCAGATCACAATCACCCACCTCCAGTGCAGATGAAAATGAACCAAATTCGTCCTCTACTGCCGAACCCACTCAGACCACCCCCCGGACCACAGGCTCCAAAATCACAGCTGGAACAGTTGGAAGAGATCTCAAAATTACTAAGTGCTCAAGCCCAGCTTGCTGCTCTTGAAAAGGACAAATCTGGCCTTAATTCCCCCAGTGGGAAGGGGAACGGCATCTTTAAGGTGCCACTCCCCCCACAGCTGTTTGGCAAAGGGGCTTTACTGAAGGCGCAGGAGTCGGTGGAGACCACGGAGGTTGTGGACATGGACATGTCCCCGCTAGATGACGACTGTGAGCTGGAGCTGCCCACCCCGCCCGACTGCATGAACACCGACCCAGATGAAAAACCCAAGAAAAGGACAGTTGACTTGAAAACTTTTAAGAAAACCGTCCAGGAGCTGTCTTCAACTCAGGATGACCAACCGTCGTCAGCTGCGGACCTCACAAACAAGGACAAGGTACGACTGAATGAGGTTAGGATATGCTTAATAATATAACTTAAAAAAACAATTTAAGTCATTGATTTTAAAAAGTAATCAAATAATGAACACACATTTTTAAAATCATTAATTTAGGCAATTTTTTCTCTGTATTCTCTTATACTCTTAAATGTTATTTTACAACACAAACACGACAAGGAAACTTTGACATGGCACAATTTTAACAATGCTTTTAAAACTTTTTTCAGACTTTCTAATTGTTATTCTCAATTTTATTATCGCTACAATTTATTAAATGGTTGGTGGGAATGGATCGCAGATTCTGTGATCTATCAGAAACCAGTCAATAATTGGAACATGTTTCAGGTAACATGTACTCATTAAGTTATGCCATCTCTGTCAGCCATATTTACTGATCTATGAGACAATATGCAGCAATCATCATGTGCAAACATAAGAAAGTTACTGCCCACATGGATAGGTAATAACTGTTAACTCCCTTGGATTAACATATCTATTGCCACCCACCTATTCTAAACATAATTTAGTTTTCAGACAAGTTATAAATGTGATAAACATGAACTTATCAAAGTGTAACGATTGGTCATTAAGGTCGTTCAGGTTGCCATGGCTACAGTAAATACAATCATGTTTGTTGTGGAACTGAGGGAAATATGATGTGAAGCTTGACCTGACCTGACTGATGTTCTACCTGTTTTATTCCAATGCATTGTCTAGGCCCAGTGCAGGGATGAGTTCTCTCCATTATCGTTGGTTCCTGAAAATTATTGACGGCTGCTGCTTGGACATTTTCAGAAACCATTTGTCATGTTTGTGATGTTTTTGCTTACCTATGTTATTTAACCCTGAAGGAAAACTTTCACAAATTATTGAAACAAAAAAGATTTGGGTAAGAATTGGCCTCATGCTTGTTGTTAGAGGCAACTCACAGGATCGGGTGGTCAGGTGCTCACTGACTTGGTGGATGCATGTCACCCTATCCCAGTTGAGTAAATCAGTGCTCATGATGTCAGTCGCTAGATTGTCTGGTCCAGATTCAATTATTTACAGACTGCTGTCATATAGCTTGAATATTGCTGAGTGCGGCGTTAAACAACACACAAAACAACCTGTAAACCAGGAAATGAAACATAAGTCCTGCTGTACAGCCACACTGATGTTGGTGAGTGTGTCTCGTACTTACAATGTTGCCATGTGTTGTAGTATTTGAAGAAACTGCATCTCCAGGAGCGGGTGGTGGACGAGGTGAAGCTAGCCATTAAACCCTTCTACAGTAGCAAGAAGATCAATAAGGACGAATATAAGGAGATTCTCAGGAAGGCTGTGCCAAAGGTAACCACTTCCTTTACAGGGACTGTAACCTCCCTCATACATGTAGGCAGCAGGACCCGTAAAGATCCGGGGTAGAATAGGTCTTCAGCAACCCATGCTTGCTGTAAAAGGCAACTATGCTTGTCGTAAGAGGCGACTATCGGGATCTGTTGGTTAGACTCACTGACTTGGTAGATGCAGGTCATTGTATCCTAATAACGTGGATCGATGCTCATGATGTCAGTCACTGGATTTTCTGGTCCAGACTCGATTATTTACAGACCACCGTCATGGAGCTGGAATATTGCTGAGTGCGACGTTAAACAACAAACAAAGAATATCTATCAGATGTTGAATTTTTATCTTTCCCTTCCAGGTGTGCCATAGCAAGAGTGGAGATGTGAACCCTGTAAAGATCAGGGCACTTGTCGATGCATATGTTAGCAAAGTGCGCAAAGGTCGGAAACCACACAAAGAAGTAAAGAAGAAATCCAAAGATGATTCAAAAGCAAATGGTGAAAGACTAAAGGGGAAACCATCTCGATAGCATTAAATTATTGTATCATATATTGGTGTAGCAAATAAATGTGTGAGTGCTCGGTGACATATGATAAGACTGCCTCTCACCTATGTGACATCTTGGACTCGTCCATTGCTGTGATGTGATCAGTCTACATGGTATTCGAGGGGGTGACAGGCATCTGTTGGGCAGTCACCGTGGAACCTGCCAATATCATGGACTGTTATTGCCTGTTTGGTCACATCGTATACCATGGTGAAACTGTGTGTGTGTAAATATATATATATATATAAATCAATGTTGATGCCATTCATCCAGAAAGATACTGTACAGCACAACTGCAGTGTAAATTCATCAGTTCCTGTAACCATGGTAACGGATTGGTTTAAGACTTTATCCAGTGTGGAACTAGACCGACTGAAAACTGTGGAGTGAAAGTATGTTAGTTTTGTGCAAAAACATTCTTGCAATTTCATTTAGATAATCAATCATTGTTAATATTATTACTTGGAGTTGTTTTATAGAAAGCATGTTACCATGTGAGACATGTGAGATAAATAGATTTATCACCTATCATTGTTACCTGCAGGGTCACGTGACCTCCATTTCCAGGGCATGAAAGCATGGCTACATATCAGTTTGTTGATGAAGTTTGTCTGTTTGCTTCTCCTGGGCACAACAACTTTATTCATGTTCAAGTTATCCTGACTCTAGCTACCACAGGTCCCGTTCCACGAAGCGATCTTAGCGCTAAGGTGATCCCAACTCCCATGCTTCAACAAGGGCGTATGATGATCACGGGGCTAGGATCCCATTCTTTGTGGAAGTGGCAACATACTTAGTGGATAAACATTTAAATAGCAGTGGCCTGGGATTTTCATTTGAAACTTGATTTTAGTCACATTTCGAACATTTCGAAAATATATTTCATACAAGAAGATCCTTTTTTTAGCCCATCAGATGTGTTATATCTGCTTCACTCTAGCAGTTTATCTTAGTTATCTAACAGCAGCGCAAATATTGAATTGATATTTCTTCGCTGAATTGTAATTCATTAAACGATTCCAGGCCAGTTGGTCAATAGGGATTTTGAACACACGTTTCTAATCAGCAATCACAACTCATGTATGAATGGATTCTACTTAAGTGTGAGTTTTTTACAAAAGTTTTCAATCATGCCCATCTGATGTTCATCCAGCGCTTATTGAATCATGCAAGCTGATACGTGTAAGTAGCATCAGGAAGTGAACTCGTGTAACTTAATGGACTCTTTGACGTCTCCATTGACACTTTCCATGGTGTCGAACAAAAAGATTTGTATCCTTTGCCGTGTTGTGAAAATGGCAGCTCATGGTTATGACACAGTCAGCAAGTTTATCATCCAATTTCATCATGGTCAGAGGGAATTGAAGACTGAAAGGGACCTTGCATATACTGGCAGCTCGTAACTTAAATATGCATGTCTTGTCGTCATAGTAACCGTGTTTCTGGAGGAAGGTGGTCCGATACCTTGACAGATCCACCAACATCATTCATTATCATTTCATGGAATTGAATGACAAATACTTTTATCAGCTGACATTAAATTCACCTGAATATTAATTGAGGATATGTCCTTTCTGAAAATACAAACAATTGGCCATCTGGCTACACATTTTTCACATTGTAGGGCGGTGCCGCTTTTACAGATATAATTAAATATGGCCGCAGCTGCAGCCATATTAATTTGTCACATGGGCAAATACTCCAACATTTCAGGATGGATCACAACCTGAAGTCTTTTGTGAGTTGTATGATTGAAAAATTTGATATAAATTTCAAACATTCAAATGAGATGCATGGCTTTATTTTCCCATTTGGTTTTTAGAGCCCAGATTTTAAACATTTCTTTTAATACGAGGGAAATTACCCACTGATTAAGTATTTATCGATGGGGGATACACAAAAATATGAAGCTTGTCATCCATACTGTGTCTGAAGTCTCACAGCTCAGGAAACTCTCTGCTTTATCAGCCAAACCTTCACATCAGTTCCAGATGCTTCCAGCTTATGTAATGCAATGGAAGGCTTCCGTAGTCTGATGACGACCGAGTTTGTGTCACGCTGCATTGTATAGACTCCACATGTCAGGGTCTATCATCATTCCAGTCTTACTAACATAGACAGCCTTCGTTCACCATCACTAAACGTGTAGACACAATGGTGCTCGCGCCGTCAGTAGGGTCATCATAGGAGTCAGGGTTAGAGTATGGGAGTTAAGACAGGTGTACTGTAAAAGATTGCTCTATGAAATTGAGGCCTATATGAAGTCTGGATACGTTTTGACATTTTTACAAATTCCTATCAAGTCGTGAAAACATTTGCCATTTGTTTATGAATTGTCTGTTAAAAGTGAGAGATTTATTCTGTTTTGAGCTATATTCGTAGTAACGTACGAGTAGACAGACATGCCAGTATATCGTCATGGTCCAAGGTAGTTCTTCATCCTTCCCATGCCTTCCATTCCTGAGACGTTTAATCTTCCAAGACTTTCTTTAATTCCCTGGCTTTTGTGTGTGATTGCTTCTAGTGACATGCCCTCAGTTGGTGTGGAGTGTAGCTGTAGAGAAAGTGTTCTGTACAAATATTGCATTCTTTTCTTAGTAAAGTGTTGTGTTCAAACTAAATGCAGCCTCTCAGAGGAAGGCTCAAGTCAGGGGATGAATAAATAAGATGTTAAACAATGAAACATTGATATTAGTCACCTTTATTGTATTCGAACTAGTCTTTTAACACGATATCCTGAAATGTTCCTGATTCCTTTGCACAACGTTCAGCTTTTGCTGTCTTTTCAAGATAGGATTTTGTGGACAGAAGCAGACTAGGGAGCGCACATAACCTGATGAAACTTGGTTTGTGGCGTGTAACTTATTGTACATTATTGGGTATTAGCCAAAGTCCAAGGATTCTTTCTGGACAATCAAGGAAGTAAACTCAAAATGTGTATTTTTTAAAAATCATCGTATATATTTTTTAGAAAGTGTTAAAACGTAAACATAATCGATGATGGTTCTTGTGGAGCAGTGCTTATTTATCTATTTATGGGAATTAAGATGTTTGAAAGTAATGCGATTCTTAATTCCATTTTCAAGATAATCATTAACTTAGAGACATGTTCAGATTTTACCAATTTCAATTGAATAAAGGTATGGGACTAATAATTTCAAGGTGGAGTTGGGAATGCGTCGGCTGATACGAATGTGCTGGTGGCTAATACCCCATAATGTGAGATAGCAGACATTTGTGGTTTGTGTTCTTCTCTCATTATCTCACCCTCACATTTAAATAAACCAAGATGCTAAAACGCTGTTAGAAATAGCTGGTCTATTATCAACTGTCAGTTTGATTCTGACCTTGAAAGGATCTTGTAAGAACCTGTATTGTTTTTGTCATGGCTATTGAAAATCGCAAATCATGACTTTAATTGGAGACAGTGCAAATATTTTTGAATGCATTTATACCTGTCTTTAAGGTTGCTTCTGAGTTTGTGAAGAATGACGTTCAGAAAAATTTAAGTGAAGCACGTTATTCATTTGATTACTCTGTTCAGGTTTATGTGTTTCACGGTCAGATTTATAGAATGTTTTTAAAAGTATTTACCATTATTTTGTGGGTCTTTGTTGATACAGCATATATAGCGACAGGATTATGTCAGTCTCAGCTACCGACGTATTTGGTAGAACAGAAAACAAGGATAATTCTTGTCTGTTGTTTGCCCAGATCATGTACAACATTAATTTTCTTCATAAGGAAAAGACATTGGTATTCCATCAATTTGTGTAAGGGTAAGTACGTTGTCAGTTTGCCATTTTATGAAGACAAGCAATGTCCAGATCAAGAATTATTCCCGAACCAAAGGATAGAAAACCTGTCGGAGATATTGAGAAAAGGTTGTGCTTGTGGGTTTCTATGCATTGGAATAGGACATATTCTGACGGTTTTATCAGGCTTGTTGCCTCTAAAGTCTGACAGTATTTATTGTAGAGATTTAACTGTTTCTATGGTGAGACAAAGTCTGCTACTCTGTACTTCTTGAACCACAACCAGGGGTACAAATTTATCGCGGCATACAAGACAACAAGTAACAAAAACCGTGAAAAACAGGTTTCTACCCACTGGGCTTGATGAGCCCTGGGTCTGCTGGGTAGGAATTACCACATTTGGTAGGATGGATGAATGAAATTCTTCACAAATATCAAGCAAGTGTTAGGTTTAGTTTATTGTGTGGTCCCTCACTCTAACACATACTATGGGTGACGTATAGGATTTGTTCATAATGAACATGTAAAAATCATGAATATATATTAGAAAATACGAATTGTCAGATCACTCGCAAACATTGCCAAAACACCGCATCCCTGCCTCTTGTACTCTGAACATAAATAATCATCATAGGTTTATGGGGAGCAGAATCATTCAGCTTTTGTCTCTCAGAATGAAATCACACTTTCTGTGTTGCCTCTATGAAGAGCTCAGACCCCATAGGCTGATACCAAGGGGGTCCAGGGAGTCCGGATCACCCTTTTTGAAAACGAAATGTAGAAGACAACCTCCCCCACCCTCCCCACGTGTTTTTACTGTGTACTTTTAAACCTCACAAATTGATATGTCCAGCTCATTTGAGGAAATATGATGTGTTATCCTGCCCATTAAGTTCTGGGCTTTGTCAGTTGAGTGAGTTGGGTTTTATGCTGCTTTTAGCAATACTCAAGCTATATCACAGCCGGGGGACACCAAAAATGGGCTTCACACATTGTACCCATGTGGGGAATGGAACCCAGACCTTTGGCATGATGAGCAAACGCTTTAACCACTAAGCTACCCGACTGCCCCTTCATCAGTGGAATTTGTGATGATGATGATGTGTTTGGAAATGTTTGTCAAAAATTGCTTATTTTGCAAATTGCCTCTGAGGCTGAGGTAGTCTGACGTGTTGTATTGGCAGTGTTGTGTTGGCTGTGTGTTATGGTGAGGGACTTTTGTATATGGATTGTGCTATAGTACATGTTCTTCTCTCATGTCTACATGCAATAAACATGATCAACCCATAGGACTTGTGTCATCTTTGTGGTCTTGGAATGACAAGGCTGAAGCATATGTTGGTGATACCAGGCTGTGATGTATACTCTACACACACAAAAATTAATAAAGGGATGGGAACATTTTTGGGGATATTTTTTATTCAAATGTGTGTTGAGTATTCACTACAAAAAAATATCCCCAAAAATATTGATGATCCCTAAAAACCATCACAGGAATACTGTATTTTTGGATTCTTCAGTATACAAGTGATATCTTGACAGAATGTACAAAGTTTTAACATTGAAGTTTGTGGAAACTGTCCTTGGTGTACTGGAAATAATATTCAGGTAAATAAAACTCATGATCCCTTTGGGGGGCACGGGTGGCCCAGTCTAAGGCGCCGCGATTCGCTTGAAGAGTTGCGTCCCTTTGGCACGCCAGAAACCTATGATTGTGGGTTCGAATCCCGGTTCGCCCCGATTATGTGTCTAGGTTTGTCAGCACCATACCCGTGCTCGTGGGTTTCACCGAAGTGGTAAACATCTGAAACCTGCATCACTTCGGGCTTTCCGCCCACATTAAGCTGACACACCGGATATAACTGGAATACTGTTAAAAGCGGCGTTAAACCCAACACACACACACACACAAAATCAATTCCTTTGTTTAAACTTCTCTGACATGGTGTATACACATGAACACAACCATACTCATAGTGGCTGGATCCGGTGGTCAGGCTCACTGACTGGGTTCATGCATTTCATATCCCAATTCTGTAGATTGGTGCTAATGACATCAATCCCTGGATTGTCCGGTCCAGACTCAATTATTTACAGACCGCCGTCATAAGGCTGTATTATTGCTGAGTGTGATGTTAACAAACAAATACTATACACAAAGAAAAATGTTAAGCACACCCCTATTTCTTAACCATGACAAATGGCAAAAATCATGGCATTGGATGACTAACCACAGAAACTGGACGATGCCAATGTCATGGGATAGAACAAACATTTGACAACAAATAAAGAAGGTATTGGTGACATGGTAACAGGTACTGTTTTTTACCTTAGACAATACCTCATCAAAGTATGGAGCTGCAAGATTAAGTAAACGAGTTAAGTTTGATGTTTCATGTGAAAATGGTCCTTAAAATCTCTACTTAACATGACACGTGAAACAGATCAGTAGCGGGTATATCCGCCACGTGCCCGGGTGACGCATTCCACCCTAGGTCTCATGCCTCCAGTCAGACGTTGGATCTGTTGATGGGCCAACAACCACTCCTGATGCAATGCCGCTTCCAACTTCCGTAAATCTTGTACAGGAGGATCTCGTGCCTGTATGCGCCGCCCCAGAATATACAAAACATGTTCAAGGGGGTTCAAATCTGGGCTCATTGCTGGCCAGGGTAAAGTCGTTATTGCATTGGCCCTCATGTAATCCACGACTGCAGGCGAACGATGAGGCCTGGCATTGTCATCCATGTACTGAGGTCGAGTAGGAAGAGGGTGGTTGTCAAAATGATGAACGACGACTGGCCTCAAAACGTCCCGGATGTACTGAGCCACTGTTGAGTTGCCCCTTATGGTGACCAAATCCAACCTGCAATCATGAGCGACACACCCCCTAACCATTACCGAGCCCCCGCCGTATGCAACAGTCGGTTTAATGTTCCTGGGGGTGTAGGCCGTGTTCCGGTGCCTCCAAACTCTCGTTCTTCCATCAGTGACGTGGAGCAGAAAGAGACTTTCGTCTGACCAATGGATTCGTCTCTAAGTTCTCAGATTCCAGTTCTGTCACGCAATACACCATGCTAAACGAGCAGCTTTGTGGTGATCTCTCAACAAGGGACGCTTTATGACTCGTCTAGCCCTCAGTCCTGCTGCTTTCAGACGGTTCCTGACGGTTCTGGTGCTGAAACGACGATTGGGCAACCACAGCTGCTCCAGACGAGTCCTTGTTAAAAAGAGTTCTCGGCGTATGAGACGAAGAAGGTCCCTGTCTTCGTGATGTGTCGTCACGGGAGGTCTGACGGATCTGGGACAGTCCTGTACATCAGCGGTCTGGGCATGCATGCCGATTATTTGCCATCTTGTGGCGTTTGATAATCGCCCTCGTACCCTGGTCATACACTGTCATGGAATAACTGTTTAAAACCGAGCTTAAGAAAGCAATTTTCACGTTTGGATATACTGCTTTTAGAGATAGGGAAGCATGCTGCACGGGCATACCATGCAGGGCACGTGAGCTTTCGTCACGCATGACTGATTACATCATTCGAGAAAACATAATTTTCCTCTTAAATATGTCTTTCATGATTGTAACAAATATTTGGACCAAACAGTAATGAAATATATTAGGGTGTGCCTAACCTTTTTCTTTGTGTATATATTTACGCAGGGGGCTTCTAGGCCCTATTCTGAACATTCCAAACAAAACAGGGGGCACGGGTGGCCCAGTCGTCTAAGGCGCCGCGATTCGCTGTGCAGAATTGTGTCCCTTGGGCACGTGTTTTTGTTTTTGTGTGTTATTGTTTTGTGTGTTATTGTTTTGTGTGTGGGTGTGTGGTATGGGTGTGTTTGTTTCATTGTTTGTGTGTGTGTGTGTGTGTGTGTGTGTGTGTGTGTGTGTGTGTGTGTTGCCAGCGAATCCTGGCGGGTACGGGACCTAACTCCAATAAACGTCTTCATATCAAAGTCACTATTGTGAGATATTGAATGCATCGTAGGAAATTTGCCGATATACCTGAATCCAGTTTCTCATGTCACGCGAGCTTGCAATTCGAGTGAACATAAACTATTTACACCAACTTACGAACAGCACAGTCGTCCCCGCCATAGCCACCAGTGCAGCTGCAGACAGTTGTGCAGGCCGTGGGACAGGTGCCGTGGCCGTTACAGCTGGCGTCGTTGATGCAGTTCGCTGCCCACGTGGAGGTGATGGTGACGCAAAGCAGCGTTACTGTTGATGACAAAACATCATGTCTCATTCAAAACGCCTGAAGACAGGAGTAAGAGGGAGGAATTATGTATACTCACATTGGGCAGCAAACAGACACATTCTTATAACGCAAAGTGTGAATGGTGGGTGCTACCAGTAGAGCAGGACATGCTTACCCTTTTAGAGAACACCTGGTGTCATCACCGATTTTCAGTGATCCTTTCATCCCTTCGGCATGCTAGAAACCTAAGATTGTGGGTTCGAATCCCGGTTCGCCCCAATTATGTTTCTAAGTTTGTCAGCACCATACCCGTGCTCGTGGGTTTCACCGAAGTGGTAAACGTCTTAGACCTGCATCACTTCGGGCTTTCCTCCCACATTAAGCTGACACGCCGCGATATAACTGGACTACTGTTAAAAGCGGCGTGAAACCCAACTCACTCACTCACTCACCCAAACAAAACAGAAATGGGTACACCAGTATTATATACTCGGCCATTGTTGTAGTTGAAGCACCTCCATCCCCTCATAAAACAGCTTGATAATGCATATAGTATAGATTAACATTTTTCTTTTGGACCAATGAAGATCCGGGGTAGAATAGGTCTTCAGCAACCCATGGTGGCTTGGCATAAAAGGCGACTGTATACTTGTCGTAAGAGGCGACTAACGGGATCGGGTGGTCAGGCTCGCTGACTTGGTTCATGCATGTCATCGATCCCAAATGCGTTGATTGATGTTCATGATGTCAATCACTTGATTGTCTGGTCTAGAGTCGATTATTTACAGGCCGCTGTCATATAGCTGGAATATTGCTGAGTGTTGCATGCGTTAAACAACAAATGAAACGAAACGAATGCAACATGGTTGATTGTTGTTTAACTCCAGCAATATTGTTGAGTGCGCTGTTAAACAACATACAAACAAACAAACGTAAAAGGCGACTAACGGGTCGGGTCGGGTCGGGTGGTCAGGCTCGCTGACTTGGTTGACGCGTGTCGTGGTATCCCAATTGCGTGGGTCGATGTTCGTGATATCAACCACTGGTCCATACCCGATTATTTACAGAACTCCGTCATATAGCTTGAATATTGCTTAGTGCAGCGTTAAACAACAAACAAACAAACAAATTTAAGCGTGCTCGTGGATATACTTATTGATGAATCCAGGCATGTCTTCTGGTCTTAGAGCACACCGGCCACAACGAGTGAGAGTGAGTATGGTTTTACGCCACATTTAGCAATATCAAGGCGGGCTACACCAGAAATGGGCGTTACACATTGTACCCATGTGGGGAATCGAACTCGCGTTTTCGGCGTGAAGGGCGACCGCTAAACCACTAGGCTACCCTTAGCCCCGAAAAGAGTGCATTATTGTAGACGTTGTGGGACAATGGCGTTAATAACGTATGTGAACAATTAATGTGAGTATCAAGTATAATATAAAGAACGACTATGTGTGTAAGGCACAATATGTAATTTATCATGAAGGTAAAGTAACAAGTATGGCTGCGAAAGTGTGTATAAATGTGTTTGTGTTTGTGTGCGTACGCGAGGAAATATACGCTAATTAATGGTTATGTATACAAAATGCATGTGTAGCCTCTTGATGTATTTATCTACACGTGAATGTAAACTGCCGTGCAAAAGAACGTAAAATTGATATCCCTAAAAAGGAAACAACCATGAAATGAGTATTCGATGCTGATGTGTTTGATGTGGGTATCATAGTTGGATTTTGGACCTTAGTTTGCAGTATTTGTTCGACTGTTTTCAGCGTAGATCATAGTAGACCTAATATTTTGGTCAAATCTAATTTTCAAGTGCCTACATTATTTAGTTTATATCACGGAAGTAAGAAAGGATAACCTTTACAGGAGTATATGACGAGGAAACTTGGTTTGATTTTCTATTTGATAAATGGGTGGGTCGCGTACCCTCTTCCGCTGAACACTAAAGCTATGAATCGCGCGTGGTACATATCGCGACTTTGTTGGTAAGGAAGTACTTCAGTACTTGTGCCAATCACACTGTCGTCTCCGCCCTTGTGTTCAATCTGTGCAATCTGTAAGTGATAGTTTCACACGTACTCAAGACGCCACGCTAGTCTGCAACATTGTTGGTCCTTTGTGAACGTTATGTTCTTAATTTCATTTCCTTGAACCGTCTGAAACACTCAACTTTACTCCAGTCGGTAATCTTACATTTATTTTAAGTGCATATATTATACTTTACCTGTAGTGATGTTGAAACACATTTTGAGGTTAGAAATATGGAATAAATCGAGTTTGTCTAATGTCTGATAGAATTCCACCCCAATCGCTTATTTAAATAGCTCAAAACAAGTACACTTGTTCTTAAAAGCATGCAATGATCTACATCTACAATATCAGTTATTCCTCGAAATATAGGCCTAATAATCCAAATAATATCGACATGATGTTGGAAATTTTATTGTGGTTCTTAGTTAAAATATTAGTTGAAATATTTAATTTCGTCTTGATTTTGTGATACTTTCATTTTCATCCGTCGATTTTTCTTCTGCATACCCTCTGCATACATGCTTACACACGAAACTCTCACACATGTTCAAATTTCCCGCGAAACAATGTTGACAATCTCAGAAGATCGTCTGCGACCGAAACTCATCACGTGGGCAAACAAATAAACCAATCAAATTCAAATATATTACGTCACACGGTCACATGACGTAACTGTCACTATCCGTCGAACGAAGTTGTGTTTGGACATCGATCGTTTGATGGTAAGAAATCTTTTTTTCAATTTTGATGGTTAATGATTATTTTAGAGACATAAAGTAATGCTTTTGATGTTTTAAATGGTATTGTTAATAATTTTGTATTCACCAAACATTAAGACAAATCCTCGATAGTATTATATTTTTTGTAGCGTAGTTTAATGTCAACACCGTGGGAACCCGTGACACGTGACATGCAGTCAGTGCTCACTGTTTGTAAACACAACCTTCTTCGTTAAAAAAATGTTTGCAAAGAAGCTGTGACAGTTCTTAAATGTTTGTCACTCGTGTGAATAGGTACTTTTGAAGAAGCGGAACTTGTTGGACGAAGCCTGATTAATGTTCTAGTGAATCTTTCGTACAATATTTTCGCAACAGACGACCAAATTTGAATTTGCCGCGAAAGTGAGCATGCCAAATTTGGGCAAGTCACACGTCGACTTTTCATTGACTCTAAATTTTCCATAATTTCTAATGAAAACAACAATCTCAACATATGAAATTATACTTTTGTATTTTCTGAAGACATTCGAATACGTTCAATAAAACACTTATAATTTTGTTTTCAACATTAATTAACACCATGCCCAAATACATTTCATTCGAAGAGTCAATGGGGTAGGCCTAGTGGCCCATTCAACTTTCTGAGCCTTGCTGCCGCGCACGTACAATGTCTAACGGCTGCTTTTTTAGTGGAAGAAGATTCTTAAATTCTCATGACCAAGATAACTCGACTTCAAGTCTCAAATGAAAAGGTCTTGTTTTCCGTTTGACATTCTTGATGTGATGAGGCAAAATCCTCCATGATCTGAACAAATGTGACATATGTAAGACCAATGGGAGTTTTTCCAAAGTCCCTTTTCAACGTGAATATGACATAATATAATCATCAAGACAATCGTAACAATTAATTCATACGAGAATATGACATTTAAATGATGTTCTACAAATATTGGAGCATTAAAAAAATGTCTTAATAATATAAGGTGCATGACATAGACTTTAAATGTGAAATTTATCAATGATTTGTTTTTAGATTTACTGGATTGAGGTAATTAGAATACCTAAAAAATATTGTTCTTCATTGACCATGGTGATTCAGTAGAAACTAACATTTATAGTCCTCATTATGATAACATATTGCAAAACCCTTAAAATGGCAAATTTCTACTAGGCCTAGTCCTTATGATAACTAATTATGATTGGGCAGTTTGTCTAGGACTACAGGACTATTGCAAATTTCTAATGCTGGTGTTTTCAAGTAATATTGATGAGTGAATTACTTGTACAGTTTATATATCATTATAATGATTCAGCAAACAGAAAGTATACACGAAGCTCTCACTGGTGTTCAGTTATCTCCTAGTTATAGAGAACACTCACACTCACATACTCACATTTGTACAAGTGGGTACTGTAGTATCTTATTTGGTTAACAGAAAAAACTATTTTTATGGTAATAATATAGATATATATCTACCAAGGGCATTACCAGCTGATTACCACAATGGAGGCAGTACAGAGGTCAATCCACCATCACTATTATACTAATAGCACCATTGAAGGTTAAAGAGTTTTTCTGCTATTAAATAGTTTTTTAATCTTGTAAAATTTGCTTTATGGCAAGGATCCTTTGACTTTGATCCCTAATTTGGAAAACAATATTAATCCTGAAACTGTTTCCCAATTCAGGTGCAAGGCAAGTTGATTTATACAACATGAGAATGAAAAGAGGATCTAATTCTATGCGAGTCAGACGTCGCCAAAGTGATGCGAAATGGAGAGCTAGTGTTTCAAGTTGCTATGACACACTGAAGTTTGTCATCCCAGACAGCTGTAACCTACCAAGGAGAAAGTTTTCAAAGGTAACAAAATGATCTATAGTTTCAGCAGTAGACATTCATTCTAGATACTATAATTACTGAATTTAAAATATCTAATTTTTCTGAACTTATTGTCTAGATTAGACAAAAAACTATGTTCAATTCTTAATTAATACTGTGACTCTAATTGCTTTTTTCAGGCTCTAATTCTACAAGAAACGGCAAAGCACATCAGGACACTGGAAGAAGCAGTGTCAACTCTCCTCACACAAGAAGGTATTTTTTCAAATAAGACAATTTAAAAAAAATTTTACCGGTACATAAATTTTTTAAATTAACTGATCATAACAGTGAATTCAACCGTTTATACCAGTTTGTGACTTTAGCCACACATGATCCAGAAGTATCTATCTGAAGCTTGGATTACCATGTTTGTTTATTTGTTGTGTTATGTCTCTGTCAGCTAAATTCCAGTTTAATTAGAGCAGCTTGTAAATATTCAATGTATAAAAGTAGACATTTCTTAAATCATGCTAATATATATTACAGATAATTAATTTGGTGGCTAATAATAATAATACTAGCTATGTAGTCAGTATATAGAGATAACCAGTACAACATCACTGATAACAGGACCAATGAAATACTAAGAGGTTTTATTGCTTAGTTTTATGTTTTTGCATCGAATGCAATCTGAAAAAAATCACTGTTAAAATATCTCTGAATTTAAGAAAATAAGAACTTTAGAAAAATCCCAATTTTGTACAAAACAATGATTTATTCTTTTTCCAATTTGCTCACCAGGGGCTTGTAGGTTTTGAATAATGGATACATCTCTACTTAATGACCTAAACTGTTTTGTGAAACTTCATAGTTATGTCTTGGTGAAACAAATTTATGACATATTATTGACTTGGGCTGTTTTCAGCTAAGCTACTGAACAAGAGTGTTCTTTGGAAGACTGGCAAGCAGTGGGCGCCTGCAACCCTGGCACACATCAGAAAGGAGTTTGAGGAACAACAGGGCCAACTATTTGAGCAGTAAGTTATTTATAACCACTTTTTGGCAGTTATTATTTTCATAATGCTGATGTAAAGAAATAATTATCAATGAGGCTCTGTGGCTGAAAACCTCAAGGTCCTGAGATTCCCGTATTTCTTACATTGATACACCATGAAAATATAAATTTAAAATATGTATATCAATTTTAAAACCGTCAGCTGTTGGGATTACAACGTTATATATAACCACTTTTTCTCGGTTATTACATTCTTCAGGACCTTGTTGTGATACTGATGTAAAAAAATAATTATTAATGAGGTTCTGTCGCTGGAAAACCTCAAGGTCCTGAGCTCCCCAAGCGTTTCTTACATAAGTATGCCATGAAAATATAAAAAATTAAAATATGTCTATAAATTTAGAAATATTCAAATTTTGATTGGTTTGATGACAACATTGAAAGCAGTCTTGAACGTTAACTGCTAGTTCGAAGGTGGAGTCTAGTGTTATATCTATTTTGGTCTAGTTAGCTTAGCTCATGAAAGTCTATGCCTAGAGAGTTTATACTACTGATAAGATGTTGTAGGACTTGTAAACTCAAATGTTTTTGACACTTAATGCGAAAGCATATAATTGACACATATCAAGTGTTCCTTTGAAAGTTCATGAACCCCCAAACTATTTTAGCTGAGGGTCTATCAATCTTTCTGGGAGTCCAAACTCTTCCAATTGAATTTGCTTGAATCAATTCATGTAAGACTTATTTTTTAATCAGTTGGGTACTGAACAAGTACAAGTATAGAGACATTTTGTTATATTTTGAATTTCAACATGTAGCCTAATCTAAATTGCTGCAGATCAACCCAAGGTCGTCGCCGTTACAGTATGCTAGCAGACATAGAGGAACAAATTCTCCACATGGCTGTTGATCCAAGCCGTGTCACAGTTATCTCCCGTGGTGGCGGCACTCAAAACAAGACCAGCAAGTCAGGAACCGGCAAAGATAAGGGGAAGGGGAAAGAGGTGAGTGTCCCTCTGGTCTATGACGTACAACTATTTTCATCGAAACAACCGTGACGTTGACGTATGAGAAGTGATCAATCTGTACCAAAACATTGAAGCATTTCAGTTATGAACATGTATGAAAGTTCAACTAGATCAGATGGGCTACAAAACAAACTACTGAGCAATAAAACATTTTTTTATTAGTTTAAAATTTTGAGTAACCTAAACCAATTGTTGTTTTTTATGCCAGGACCTTTTATCGCTTACAGATTCTCTTAGATGTGCCCACAGGCAAGGGGCCAAACAAAATATGTAGTCATGGTTCAATTAAGGTTAATTCTTGAAACAAAAGTTTGAATAAATGTAATGAAACGTAGGCATTCTTGTTTTACATTTGCAAATTGATTATATAGTCTTGTCCATGAAACAGAAAAATAATTGTTTGGTCTCAGAATGTAAATTCTTTCCTTCTTTTATCCCAGGTCTTTGTTTTCTTGAAAAAATATGGTATCACAAATATCTTTCAACTTACAAGCGTAACTTTATGTTGTGTAAATTTTCAAATGAAACTTCTAGTTGTGACTTGCTGATTGAAGAATTATTTGGGACTTGTTTTATTGGACAGGTTCGTGTCAGGAGAAAAGCTAAGATTTTGATAAAGGATTCAACCAAGGTGTACGAAGAGCCACAGGCCCATTCCACCCCCTGCCCCAAGAAGCAGAGGAAACATTCTCACTCCACCAGCGTTCACGACTTCGAGACCCAAGAAATTATCCCTGTCATTTGTGAGAGAGTACCTGATGCAGACCTTCTGCCATGTATAGCTTTTCCTCCTGACTGCAAGTATGACATGTCCCATGATGTCCCTCTCACTACCCCGAGTAAACTGTGTTACCATGGGAATGAGAAGCTGTTCAGTCCTGTGGCTGAGTGTGGTTTCAACACTCCTGTCTATGTGAACCCCAACCCCCACAGGGTAGACACCAAACCCCCCATCACATCACCTCGCTTCAGCAAGGTGGCCAAACAGGTATAGATTTTAGTTATACGAGTTTTAAGCTTGAATGTAACAGCGATAGAAACTTAACCATTTTGGTCCACTAGTTCTAATAATGTTAACATATAGCAACACACTTAATAATTGGCAAAACTCTGCTAGTCATTATGATACCTTAACTGTTGGGCAGTTTGGCAAGGACTACAGGACTAGTGGCAATTTCTAACGCTGATGTGAGGGTCATTTACTTTCAGGGTGGTCTGATGATGAGGTTGTCACCAAAATTTAGTGGGATTGGGGGGCATATGAATAAAGTGACACAGTTCCATTTTAGAATAAAACAATTAGAAATTTGAAAATCATTTAGGGACTGGTCATTTATTATGGTGGGGGGTGTTGGCAAAATATGATACCGGTACACAAAATTTAGGACTGAAACAAGCATACAGGACACTATTTACCTTTTTTTACAGGAATCTATAATGACTAAAATTTCAAATCATTTGGGTTGTTTTCACTGATCAGACCGGTTGACATTTTTATTCAAATTCATACCAGTATATATTAAGGATAAAATTTTGTAAAAGTGCATGACAAATCTTGGAAAAATGACGATGATTTTTTTCCAAGACTTCATAAGCTTACTTTCATCTATAGAGTGTTCACATGTTTGTCTTTGTGTCTCCCAGCTTGAGTTCACCAGCGAGGATGTTCAGCCCCTCAGACCCTCTTGTCCACATGACAAGATGAGCGAGATGACAAGTGTGTTTGGTTTCACTCCCATCAAGCTCCCACCAGAGTCAGGCACTGTGCCCCTTGACCTCTCCCATGCCCAAGCTACACAGGCAACTCCAACCATACAAGCACCACAAGGACTCACTCCGGCATTCCAGAGGAATTCATACCCACCACAGGTATGGGTGGATCTATGTTAAGATTTTTTTGGCCACCATTGTTTTCAATACAAAAAAATGTAACCACCTCTTACAGTCGTAATGCGCGGTGTCAGTGCTTGGGATAAGAGGGGATATTTTGTCGTCTTTATAATTGTTGCTATCGGACAACTGAGGTATCCATCACTTTTTTAAATAGTATTTTTGTAATGCTTAGGGACCAACCATTTGATATTCCTGGGGGATGGGATTTTGTATCGAGTTTAGATATTTTATTTAAATCTATACCCTGAATTATTATTATTTTAAGAAAAAGACCTTGCCACAATGTAATTTTTGTGGCAGGCAATTTCTTTCTGTTTTCCAACTGCCTGAAATATAATAATTTTGTCAAGATGTTTCAGAGATAATATATATTTTTTCAATGAAATCCCAGAGCCCCCTTCTCTCTCCTTCATTGTGCAAGTTGTATGTGTATTTTCTTTTGCCAGGGTGGCTTTGTATTAGGTGTTTGTAGTGGTCAGACTAAATACAATGCAATTCATAAAAGACCTGTGAAGATCCGGGTTAGAACAGGTTTTCAGCAACCCATGCTTGCCTTAAAAGGCGACTATGCTTGTAATAAGAGGTGACTAACGCGATCGGGTGGTCAGACTTGCTGACTTGGTTGATGCGTGTGTGGCCTTAAACAACAAACAAACACACAAGCAAGCATTTGATAAAGAACTTTTTACCAAAAAGTTTGTTTCTTTTATATTCTAATCCATCAATTATAGTGCCAGTGGTTGGGAAAATAAAACTTCATTTTACACATACACCCCAAAAAGAAAGAAAAAGAAGTAGTAATAATTAGAAACCTTCTTCTGATTGTACCTCTTTTCTCTTGCGAGTTGAATCGTTGATCTGAAAATTTAAAGAACCTACCTTAATAGTTCTTCTCTGGTCAAGAATTTTGCCAGAATCATGGTTAAGAGATTTTGAACAAGATAATCTCAGATGTAATTAAGTCATTTGTTTTGATTGCCAGACTCCAAAGAGTGATGGTGACTGTCTGGAATCTGATGATGAGGAAACCAAGAGCCTTCTATGTTTCGAGACGTTTGAAATGCTTTCGGATGATGATGGTGTGCCAGAATGGGAGAGGTATGTCATACTGTCCAGGGCTGGGACGGGTAACTCACAGCGTTAGAAATTGGCACTATTCCTGTAGTCCTTGCCAAACTGCCCAATAGTTAAGGTATCCTAAGGACTAGTAGAAATTTGCCATTTATAAGGGTTTTGCTATATGTTATCTTTCTAAGGACTTGTGGACTGAAACAGTTTGTTTCTACCATTAACTCAGGTACTCGGATCGGGAGGTTCCTGAATAGGACCCAGGTAACCACAGGACTACAGGACATATTGTTTGATGATGATAACAATTAATCCCCATGGTTACACTACAAGTCACTGATGTTCACATTTCTTTCTGACTACATGAATTCCTTATGACTTTTATAAATTTGAGTAAAGCTAAGCTTTAATCAACTTCAGTGTATATGCATGACCAAATCGTTTAATACAAGTATCTAAATAGTTCCCAATTGGACATTTTGTAACCATCTCTTGAGACTACGGGTCTTCTGCAACCCATGCTTGCCGTAAAAAGTGACCATGCTTGTTGTAGGAGGCGACTAACGGGATTGGGTGGTCAGGCTCGCTGACTTTGTTGATGCATGTCATCGTATCCCAATTGCGTGGATCAATACTCATGATGTCATTCACTGGATTGTCTGGTCCAGACTCTGTTACTTAGTTACAGTTACTTACAGACTGCCGTCATATAGCTGGAATATTGCTGAGTGAGATGTTAAACAACAAAAAAACAAAACAAAAAAACTAAGGGTGAAACGATAGAGCAAGGTCACGATTTGATACGTATCAAGATACATAGGTCGTGATACGCATATTTACGTCAAATCAAATGGAAACTTCTTGACAATAAATATTTCAGTGCAGGTTCAAAAGGTAAAGCAAGTCCTAAACACTTGTTTGTTGTGGTTATTTTTAGTAGAGAACATGAAACACTAGTTCCAACATCTTTATGGATATCGGACTGACAAAAACGCCAGGGGTCATTAAACCAGTAGTGAGTAATATTTTCAGCAAGTGTATCAACTTGTATCGATACAGAAAATGAAGGATCATGTATCTTATCACCACATGAAAACTTACTATGCACCGATGTATCATTTCACCCCTACTGCGTGCCGGTGCACCAAGGGGGTTGAACCCATTCCAGGTTAGAATAGGTCCCCATTAACCAATGCTGGGCATAAGAGGCAACCAAATTGAATGGGTGGTCATTGTCAGCGACTTGGTTGAGAGCGTGTCCTCGTACCCCTACAGGGTGGATCACTGCTCACAATATATTGATCACTGGAGATTGCTGAACAGGGTTAGAAACTAACAGTTTTTGTCCACTAGTGCTTATAATGATAACATATAGCAAAACCCTAAAAATGGGCCAATTTCTACTAATCCTTAGGATACCTTTACTATTGGGCAGTTTGGTAAGGACTACAGGACTAGTGCCAATTTCTAACGCTGCTGAATGTGGTGTTATTACAACAACAAAGTTTTAGGCAGAATTATGTTTACAAAAGGTTCAATCATTAGTTTAAAAATACCCAATAGACTGGACCCAAGGTAGTAAAAATATATATCAAAAGCTATCAGTGCCCGAAGTAAATGATAACATTTTGGTTAATACTCAATCGTTAAAAAAGTTGTGCTCTCCAAACCAAATAATATTTGACTAAACACAGACTTAGGTCACGCAGGAAATTGAAGTAGATGTTATCAAGGAAGTTACCATCTTCCCGAGGCAAGAGAGTTAACTGACTTTAAAAGTCCAGTTTCCACACTTGCCGAACTAGGCTGGAATTACTGGGCTCGATCGTAGCGCCACCAATGGCTATTACCAGCTATGTCCCTTCTAAGCCTCTCCTATGGACCAATCAGATTCCACCTCTTGTATCACTTGCGTTTGCTTCACACACAATGGTGGCGCCCAGTCAGGACGATCTGATCGATAATCAAGATCTATATTGTGATAAAACGGGTCTTACATTGCGAAATGCATCAAATCACGCGAGCACCTGGATTAAAAACATGAAAAGATTTGGAAAATATCTGCTGACGAGTTGGTGGTGCACATGCTTTGCAAATCCTGCAATCGACCGAAATCTGCACGACGGTTTACGAACCGGATTTCGATTTCGGTGCACGATTTTGATTGGGCTATGCATAAACTTGTTAGTCCAGGCAAAATGTAACTCCATAATACCAGCCTAGTTCGGCAAGGGTGGAAACTGTACTTTTAAAGTCAGTTAACTCTCTTGCCTCAGGATGATGGGAAGTTACAGATGTAAGAATTGTGGGAACCTTTTAGCCTCCCATTGAATGTTTTATTTTTTTGTGTATTTTAGGACGCCTGATAAGGACAAACTTGGACAAACATCTCCAGTGGAAGAAGAGCAACAGAAAGATCAGTGCAAGAGGATGTGAGTGTCTGGATTCCGTTCTTTGGCAGGGCTCATTTCAGCACACACAGGATTGCATTTGTCTTTAGGAAGGAATACTTCATTTCATTTGGGGAGAAATGGTTTAAGGTTTCAAACTCTTTAAAACTTGTAGAATTGAAATGGCATTGTGAGGTTTCATTTGGAGAAATAAAATTGGAAAAGTTTCATTTCAAGAAAATATTGACTTGATTGTGTGAGTGTTTTAGTTCTTTCATGTTTATTGTTTCATGAGTGATAGTGAAACTATTCATTGATGATCTTCTTTTTGTTGCAGAGCTTTTGGCAAAGGAACACACAGGGTGAGAAAATCCAGGGAACGCATTCCAAAGTGTAGGAAGAATCTAGAGAAGTAAGTATCTAATATCCCTTTGTGAATTTAATTAGAACTTGATGTTATGACACGAAACAAGTGGATGAAGATGCATCAGTTAATCACTCAGACTTGTGTGAAGATCCAGGTTAGAATAGGTCTCAGCAATCCATGCATGTTGTAAGAGGCAACTAACAGGATTGGGTGGTCAGACTCGCTGACTTGGTTGATGCATGTCATCGTATCCCAATTGCATGGATCAATGCTCATGATGTCAGTCACTCAATTGTCAGGTCTAGACTTGGATTATTTACAGACCGCCATCAGATAGCAGAATATTGCTGAGTGCTGCGTTCAACAACAAACACTCAGACTTGTCCTATTGCTTGGTCTATTATCTAGAATCATGCATATCTTAATGATATGGCACCCCTCAGTCCCCTTTGCTGGACGACTGGCAGGAGTATGCAGGGAGATTTTATGATGCTTCATGTGTTTTGGTAGCCTAATGTGCGGAATGGGTCTAGAATGGGACATCATATCCTGTGAAATTTTTGAATTTTTTTATAGAAGTATTAGTTGCAGTCTGTGACTTTAGCTACCAGTCCTGAGTCTGAGTCGAGTAAACTTCTGTTCAGTCTCTTGAGTCTGAGGTAATAATACTATGGTCCATACAATAACACTAACATCAACTGAAAATTATCCATGCTGGTAGATTCAAAAGTTTTTGGCACAAAATGGTAGGTGTCTCAGGGTTAGAAACTAACAGTTTTTGTCCACTAGTCCTTATAATGATAACGTACAGCAAAACCATTACAATGGGCCAATTTCTACTCGTCCTTAGGATACCTTTACTATTGGACAGTTTTCCAAGGACTATAGGACTAGTGCTAATTTCTAACGCTGTGTCTTACAAACTTGGCCAAGTCTATTAAAATAATTAATACCCAGAACATTTCGCATAGCATGACAGATTTTTGAGTGCATCTGTAGTTACTTGCCTTTACCACTTTCTAGCCATGCATTACTGTATGTTGCAATCAATGACTGACCACCCTTGTGTGCATGTTCACTGAACCCTTCCTCTGCACAACAGACTGTATTCAAACCCCGAGGATGTTGATGGGAAGGAACTGCCTGTTATCACTGGAGTGTTTGACAAAGATGCCACAGGTTCTGATTTTGATGGGTATGTTTACAAATTACATGCAAGAAACCAATTAAATATATCAGTTTTTCACTATAGCGACTATTCTGAGGCTCAAGTCCCAGTTATATATTTGGTTTGGTCTAGCAAACCCAGGTAATCATTGTCCATATAATCATAACACTAATATCTGCTGAAAATTATTCTAGGACCTCTATAGCTACCACATGATGTTAGTATTTTTGTCATTAAAATTTATTATGAAAGTGTATTTCAAATAATTTTTATTAGAATATATTGGTTTGTGTTTGTTTTTTAACAAATATAGATGAGGTATAGTATAATAGAGTCTTGTGATTCTTTTTTTCTAACTGATGAAATATTTTGATGACATTTAGATAATGCTGTTATTCGATATCTTTTATGATTTAATCTTAAACTATCTGACAATGACACCATTCAAGAATGGCAGCTGAGCCTATCAGTGACAATTAATTATTGATCCCCTTTACTGCAGGTATTTCTTGTTCTATCGGCAAGTGGCCGAGATGCTGCAGCAGCACATGAGTCGGACTGAAATTGCCTCGCCGTCAGTCGCAGTCACAGTCTCCCAGATGTGGAACGATATGTCCAGTGATGACAAGGAAACGCTTGCAACTCTTGCTGCTTTGGAAGGGAGTCAAGATTCAAATTCTAGCTCCGGGCTCAGTGATGATTTGCAAGAGCTTGACGTCAAACCACTAGACTCTTCACATTTCATTGATGGTACTTACTTTATTTAAACTTGAATCTTTACTAGCTTTTGCCGCACATATTGCTTGAAAATTGCAAGCATTTATAACACATGACATGGTTGACATAACTCAACCTGTTTTTGAACAAAATAATGATTTTTTCCAAATTTGCCTGCCTGGGCACTTAGTTCAGAATCCTCGATATATCCCTGGCAGATAAAATCTCTAATTCTTGTTATAGGACATGTTTAATTTGATGTTGCAGCTTCAAAGATTGGTATTTTCAAGAGAAATCTCCAAGGTGTACCAAATGTCCCCAGTCTTCCGACTGTGTCAGAAACTGCACAAAGAGTTCTCGGAGCAGTCCCCGGTAGTCAGGACGTTCAGGAAGTCCCCAAGAGTTACCTTCCTTCTCTCGATGACTGTGTTGACTCGTTGGAACACAGCACTGAGGAGATGGCCATCATCAATCTGGCATTTCAAGACCAGGAAGGACTCTCACATCTGGGATTTGACCGCACTGAGGTAAGCATTTATAACACACATGACTTTACCTGTTTGTGGTGAAAGTATTATGGATGACAACTTGTTAATTGTTTGTTGTGATGTTTAAAGGCTACTTCTTGCTCCTACATTGCCCCTGGTGGTTAAAGCGTTCCCTCGTCACGCCGGAGACCCAGGTTTGATTCTCCACATGGGTACAGTGTGTGAAGCTCATTTCTGGTGTTCCCCGCCGTAGTATTGCTGGAATATTGCTAAAAGCGGCGTAAAATCAAACTCACTCACTCACTCACCTTACATTCACCTGATGAAGAAGTAGCCTCAAAGTGTTGTTAAAAACAAAAAAGAAGTTGTTATCCATAAAAGTTTCATGTATTCAACTCAAATGCTGTTCAAATCTGTGTCAAAAGGACCACAATGAATCAAGTATTTAGGATATAAACGATGAGGGGGACGTCATTTACGTCATCAAGCTGCAAACGTATGTGATGTCATAACAAAACAATGTTTTATCATGAAATAAATCATGTCTCGTTCTTCATTGTTTTTTGCGATTTGTCACGTAGCTGTCTTGTATAACATATTAATTAACAGTTTAGAAGGAATATATCATTGTTCCAAATTAGGTTATGTGTTCATGTGCTTCGTACTTCCCCTGCAGGCTAATCAAGAGTTTACGACAAGCATTGCAGCAAGCAATGACTACTCGGGCTCGGAGACCTCACAGATAGTGCCGGACATCACGAACATCATCAAGAGGGACGTCCTCCTCAGCTCTAGTCAGTCCCCCACAGCTGTCACAGCCCATACCTAGTGCTGAAGGTCACTCACACAATGTACTTGCAGTGTGAATCAGTTTTCGTATAATGAGGTTGCAATTGTGTAAAGTAAATTGGTTTATTAGTTTTTAATCTCTCTTGTCAATAAATTTCAAACATTGGCCATTTTCCATGATATTTAGAGTAACACCTCCTAGGAGGAACACTTTGTTTGATATTCCTATGAGGAATAAATCCGAAATTCATGACAATGGCAGCTCTTTCACATAATGGAACGTCCAAACACCTTATAGTTTGTCCATCTGGTACAAAAAATATCATGTATAATTCATAAAGGTATTGCCTTTTCAAGTATTGGGTGAAATGAACAGATATTGGTTAACAAGAATTGGTGTTGACTGGAAAATTAGGATACAAATTCAATTTTCAAAACTGGAAAAAAAGTTTTGAAATAAACCATTCTACAATTGTAGTGGATATTAATACATTTTCAGTTTTGTGCTTAATTTTAGAAGATTTAGTTTAACTTATCAATATCCTGAGCAGAATGACATTCAGAAAGGATGCATGGGACATTAAGTGCCTAATCCACACCCAGTGTTTATGAAGGCATCAATCTGCAGTATGACATGTTGTTGGTTACCCGAGAGTTGGACATGTACACTGATTGCCTGGACAAGGTTCCTGGTGCTAGAGGAAACTGAACTAAGTGAATTAGTGTAGAGTTGTGTGTTCAGTTTTGACTGAATGAGATGGCGCTGTGAGTACTATGAACAGAACCCATGAAGATCTGGAAGAATAGGTCTTCAGCAACCCATAGGTCTTCAGCAAAAGGCGACTATGCTTGTCGTAAGAGGCAACTAACAGGATCAGGATTGAGTGGTCAGGCTTGCTGACTTGGTTGATGCATGTCATCATATTTACGGACCGCCATCATATACCTGCACTATTGCTGAGTGCGGTGTTAAACAACAAACAAAGCGTGTACTCTTCATCTGTTTGAATTACAAAGCACAAGGACCTCTTCAGTTACTGATTGATTACTAAAGCAAACTGTTCCTGGTTCAATGTTTGACAGTCAAATGTACCACAATCAATGAGGTGAATCTTTTTCTACGCCATCTTAGAGTAAAAGTGCAAGTTCAGTGTTGTGAATTATAATAATCTCCACAATTTCATCTCTTTTTCTGAGCACCAAGAATCCTCATGATTCATAAAGGAAAGAGATGATCATGATGATAATTTGTACCAGGGAACATGCAAGGTTGTTTTGAACCATCACCTGAGATTATGCAAGTTTTAAGAAATTGTAATTGTTTGTTTCCAAGGGCTGTTAGTGAGGCTATAGAGTAGGCAATGTGTGCCAAATGCTTTTAAGTCATCAAGTCCAAACTTGTATTTTGGCATTATTTTTACTAGATTTAGGGTTAGTATATGGACTAGAATAGCTGATCAGTTGCCATTTTTCTGGAATCCAACACTCTGGCATCAAACTAGTGACTAAAGTTGCACACTGGTAGTTTTTTTGTGAAGTAGATTAAAAGGACACATGGTTTACTTGTTGATGTTACTCAGTAACACAATTCCTCAGTGTTTGTCTCAGTTTCTGTCGCCTCATTTAAATAGGGTATATATACTTGCTGACACTGGGCTTACAGAATTGTTATGCTGACGCTGGTGTCATATTGTTATTGTTGATGCTTGTTACCATAGTTACTATGTTGGGCAAATGTATCCACTGATATTTCCAAATAGTAGTCATCACGTGTTGCCATTGATTAACAAGTTTGTGTTGGTGTTTTCGGATTATCTTGGATATATTTGGTCAGCATTATTGTTCCTATTTATTGACGTGAAGGATGGGAACACCTTCACTGAAAGGTTAATGCCACTCTTCATGTAGTGGAAGAGGACTGCTGCTTGAACTAGCATGGCTTGAGTACCAACTGTAGATGGTAGTTTTGGGACGTTTTCAACATTTCAAGATTAATCTCTGGTTTTAAAAACCTATTGATTTATAAGGATCATCAGTGAGAACATAAAAATGAGACATTTAGAGCATTCTTTCTCAATATCTTGCTTGCAAAAAACAACTTATGAAATAGGACACCTTAAAAGGTCTTTTGCAATATTCCAAACAACAAGAAACCTTGTCTGTTTCCAGATTTTCATTATCTTAAGTTTTAATCTCCATAAGTTCAGAAGAATAGACTGGAGAACAATCTATCCAAGATATCTTAATTCTATTAATTGATTCCTTGGTTGAAAACTGAATGATCCATTTAGTTTGCTCTAAAGCAATGTAAGTTCAAGCAGTTTGTTCACCTGGCAATATTCAAAGGACTGTGTTATTATTTTGTTTAAAACCCATACATGTTAAGCAATCCTTTTTTAAGGCAGGTGGTTTTGCTGTAATTGACTTACAGGAGAGTCCTCTTGAGGGAGACTGAAAAGGATGTTGTTGTGATGCTGGGGAGGGAGACTGAAGAGGGTGTTGTTGAGTTGCTAGGGTCCCCCTGAGGGAGACTGAAGAGGGTGTTGTTGAGTTGCTAGGGTCCCCCTGAGGGTGACTGAAGAGGGTGTTGTTGGGTTGCTAGGGTCCCCCTGAGGGAGACTGAAGAGGGTGTTATTGTGATGCTTATTGAAACAGGTGATTGCATAAAGCATTTTGTCATTTACAAACTTTCCAACTCTAAATCTATGTTATCCCCAAATCTTCAGTTTCTAACATTTGTGTAATGATTAAGACATCCAATGATACAAAGTAATGTAGCATAGACTGTGTATGGTATAATATATCAGTTATTATTTTACTTTCAAAAGAAAGTTTGATTGCTTCTCTTAAATAAGTGAATGAAATTTTGATGAACATATTTTGTTCTATAGATCTCTTAACTTTTAGTTTAGTGGTCTGCAGTGAAAAGGTCAAAATAAAATATCTATGTTTATTCATATACTTGTGAGGGTATATTAACTGTCTTAATTTAGTTTATTTCAGCAACCACTTATCAATTTGTTAGTTTGTTATATCAATATTTCAGTTTCTTATATCATGTGATTCAAGTAGAATGAAAGTTCCATATCTATTTGAAATGGCTTTGATTTTGGTCCTGTATGTCTTGTGTTTATTCAAATTTGATATATATGGTATATAAATGTTGAAATTGTGTGTATTGATATATTGAATGTTAAATTCACATTGAAATGTTCCAATAAACTTTTGAAATTATGTTTGTTGTCTACGAAATGTATGTCATTAGTCACTGACTCGTGGGAAACCCATCAGACTTGCTAATGAAACCTAAGTCATTTGTAAAAAAGCGAACATGTTATCTCCTCATGGGAAATGGGTCACACTTGCTAATGAAATGTATTATCTTCAGACTGTCTTTTTAGATCACATCTTTGCATCCCCCCAATGGGACTTCAACCACAGTCCTTCGGATCCGAGGTCAGACACATTGTCCACATGATCAAAGCGTTAACCCCATTTGAAAGCTGACAAGGTGAGGATGTCATCTATTGGAGGCAGAGGTGATGTGAGGTGAAATGGGGTTTAATGTTGCGTGGAAGATTATTGCACTTATATAGCATGTGTGTCTGTGTGGCTAGGTAATACACAAGGTAATGGAGGAAGGAAAGGCCAAGCCTCATGTCTTGCTAGTACTGTGGACTGGATGTAACAATATGGATGTACTTTAACCAAAGGTTCACATAATTAGCAGATCAAAATTTAGGGAATTATAGACACAAGGCCTGTTTGTTTCCATCTTCCCGAGACAAGAGAGTAAACTGACTATAAAAGTCCAGTTTCCGCCCTTGCCGAACTAGGCTGGTATTATGGAGTTACATTTTGGCTGGACTAACGAGTCTGTGCATAGTACAATCAAAATCCGGTTCCTAAACTGTCATGCAGATTTCGGTCGATCGCAGGATTTGTAAAGCATGTGCACCGCCAAATCGTCAACATATATTTTCCAAATCTTTTCATGTTTTTAATCAAGGTGCTCAAGTGATGCACTTCGCGATGTAAGACCCGTTTTATCACAATATAGATCTTGATTATCGATCAGATCGTCTTGACTGGGCGCCGTCATTTTGTTTGAAGCAAATGCAAGTGATACGAGAGGTGGCATCTAATTGGTCCATAGGAGAGGCTTTGAGGGGACATAACTCGAAAGAGGCCACTGGTGGCGCTACGATCGAGCCCAGGAATTCCAGCCTAGTTCGGCAAGCCTGACTGACTGATATAGGAGATTTAACGTGCGCTTTCCGACTATAGCGTATTTCGGCAAGGGTTGAAACTAGACTTTTATAGTCAGATAACTCTCTTGCCTTGGTAAGTTTCCTGTTAGGCGTCATTTAACCTATGAATAAGTGGACATAAGGTTCCCTGGATGTGTTGTTTGCCCCATGTTTTTAAGAGCTCATTAATTATGACACGTTACAATGTGACCTGGTTGATCGTATCACGGACGTGTATACAATTTCTATATACGTCTTTGATCGTATGTAGAAACGCGGGAGAACAGGTCTTCAGCAACCCATGCTTGTCATAAGAGGCGACTAACGGGATCGAGTGGTCAGGCTTGCTGACTTGATTGATGCATGTCATCGTATCCCAAATGCGTGGATCAATGCTGATAATATTAATCACTGGATTGTCTGATTTAGACTATTATTTACAGACCACCGTCATGTAGCTGGAATATTGCAGAGTGAGGCGTTAAAGAACAAACAAATGTTAGGATCCAATTAATTAGGACAGATTACAATCTGTGACCTGCTTGGTCATATGTATAAACTTGTCTGCCTGATCCAGACTCCATTATTACATAGCCTAGGGTTGAATAACTGGAACATTGCTGTCTGACACCACATTCATTCATTCCCAGAGGATGAATACTGATATTGGTAGCCTATCTGGTTCCATGACCTGAAGACAGATTATCAACACTGACTAGAGATAACAGATGATTTATTTAGCCTTTGCCCTTGCTTCGCTTGCTGTTATCCTTGCATTTGCATTTCTTCATTAAGCTGCGGAAAATATTCTTTCTTTTGGATCCTTTGGAGACATTGACCTTCTGATCAATCAGCTCATTCTTTTCCTCTTTCTCATCTGGGAACACAAAATTCAGTTTGTTAGGAAAACGCGAATAAAACAGTATTCACTCAGTTGGTTGCTTTGAACATCTTTCAAGCTGTAACCGGAGACATGGAATGAACAGTTATTCTACCATGATCAGGACATGTTTGAGTGTGCAAGTGATTATTGCTTAACGCCGCATCAACAATCTTGCACCTATACGCGGACACGGACCTGGGGTAGAATGTGTCCCCGGCACCCCATTGCTAGCCGTAAGACTACATTGAGAACCCTTGGTGATTCTGGATAGATTGACAACACTCTATTGCTTGTCCTAAGAGGCGACTAAATGGATCGGGTGGTCAGGCTCGGTGACTTGGTTGATTGCATGTCAGTATCCCAAATGTGTGTATCAACGATTCTCATGATGGCAGTCACTGAATTGTCTGGCCAAAACACTATTATTTACAAATCGTGGTTATATAACTGGAATATTATTAAGTGTGGCATCATACAACAGACAAATCACAAACATATATTATCAATATTAGAAAAGGTACCTTACAACCCTAACAGACTGTCTCGGTCGTCCAGAGCGTCCCCCCGGAGAGCGGAGGGTCGTAGGTTCGATCCGGGCGCGTCATACCAAAGAGTTAGTGAGTGAGTATGGTTATACGCCGCTTTTAGCAATATTCCAGCAATATCACGGCGGGGGACACCAGAAATGGGCTTCACACATTGTACCCATGTCGGGAATCGAACCCGGGTCTTCGACGTGACGAGCGAACGCTTTAACCACTAGGCTACCCGACCGCCCCTCATACCAAAGACGTGTAAAGAATGGTACTTGTTGTTACCCTGCCTGGCACTGACATTAAGGGGCTAAAACAAGTACTGGTCGGCTTAGAGTCAGTATGCCGTGTCTGAGTACGGTATTCATGTTAAACTGAGGCATGGTATCTCAGTGTGCTAGCACTATAAAATCGGCATTAGTCCGGACTAGTTCAAGCAGCCACACACACGTGCATGCACGTTGCATTATAAGTGCAATAATCTTGGACGCGGGGTTAAACCCCATTCCACCTCACTGCCAACCCTAGCAACCCGGGTGTTGAACCTAAATTATGGCACTCGCCTTAGTCGCCTCATATCGACTAATGCATGACCTAACTATATAACACATGCACCAGTGCAACCTATTATTGAAAAAATGCAACCTAACGTTTATGTCTACATGCACTATTAATTTATGTTTTGTTTGTTCGTTGTTTAACGCCACACTCAGCAATATTCCAGCTATATGACGGCTGTCTGTAAATAATCGAGTCTGGACCAAACAATCCAGTGGTTGGCATGTTGAGCATCAATCCACGCAATTGACATATGATGACATGCATCAACCAAGTCAGCGAGCCTGACAACCCGAACATTAACTCAGGGAGTCAACAAATCCGCTGGAAGACAACCACCTGTTTGATGGTTGAATTCACATTCAATAAAAGATCTGATGATCCTTAAAGAGTATAAAAACCAATACAACAGAAGTTCAATTGTCATAGTCAAAACGTCAGTCCTAGTTTTAAATTCACCTTCCTAGGACTACCATTTGGCACGAACCAATAACATTCTTTGAATAAGAAGCAGACCCCCAGCCATACCTTCGGCGGTTGACAAGGCGGTGGAGTTTTCCTCTATGGTGGGACCCTCGCCTGAGGCGGGTATGTCCAGATCAAAAGCAAGTTTGGGAGAGTCCATGCCCTCCTTGGATTGTCCGATGAACATGGATGATTCACTACTGGTGAGAGACATCGATGACCCGCGTCTGAGAGGCAGATGTGATATGTAGCCATAAGGGTCATCCTGGAGATACTTGATCCGATCCAGCCAGTTGTCCCATTTAGAATTCCCCTCACGCACGGTGGATAACTCGAAATAGCGGGATCGAGTGTGTCTTGCGGACACTTTCAAGATAAAGTCTTCTGGCACGGTTGAGATGTCTACTGATCTGAGAGGAATGATCCACTTTAACTCCATCCCGTCAACTGCAAGGTCGACATCGACGGTAGAGGTGATGGCAGGATCTTCCTTCCAGTTGAGAATGTATCGTCTGCCGAGTAGGAGATGGTCTGGAGACAGGCCCAGCACGACCTGCTGTAGAGCATCGCCACATTTGTCCAGCTCTACAAACGTTGCCTCGAGGAGGACAATGTCTTCAAGGTCGCTGTATTCATCCATTAGCAGCAGTTTCTGGAGAGGACCCTTGATTTGATCCATGGTGTTCTGTCTAGACTACTTTGTGGATAACGTCCTGGAAACACAAGGTGGTCACACAAGGTATAAACTATCTAATATAGGTCGGGGGTCACTGCTTCAAGATATATTTTTCAGAACATCCAGCCTGAGCAGCGAACAATTTATTTGGTATTCTAAATCCCAAGATATTTTGTCCAATAATTTCTGGAACATTTTTTTTATTCAAAAAACGTACACAGACGCACGCGCACACTTCTTTTTATCGAAGCAAAATAGATTGTCCCAGAAAATTCTTGACAAAATAAATATACATCAGGCTGTTGAAAAAAAGAAATTGCACAAATATTATAATGTGTTTTTCTTTGAAATAATATTGAGGCTTATACTTACATTTTAAAAAATATCTGGTTTTGCAGCTGTAGCTGGGAAAAATATCTAATCAAAGAATATAAAATGGTCGGTCCCTAACTCTATATGTTTACGGTTCCCCCCACGAATTCGAATTAACAAGGTTTCAATGTACAGAGGTAATCAAAGTTTCCTGAGAAATCTGAGAAGAAAAATGTCATGGCATTACTTCTAAGCGGTTTCCAGGCCTTGGATGCGTTTAGCTTTATATAGTCAGTCGACTAAATGGAATTGGTGGTCAGGCTCGGTAAATAGGTTGATTGCGTGTCATCATATCCTAATTGCGTGGATGCTCATGATGTCAGTCACTGGTTTTGTCAGACCCGGACTCTATTTATTTACAGACCGCGGCCATATAGTTGGAATATCGCTGGTCTGCGGCGTTAAACAACAAACAAATAATGTTGAGGATGAGTGAATCACGGCGAGGTATCGAACCCGGACCGGGCCTTCGGCGGGACAAGCGAACACCTTAAGTAGATTCAGTATTCTTTATCTCCAAAAAATATAAGCATCAGTTCTTTTTTCAATAGATATAATCTACGATTAATATACAAAGATTTATCTATAATACGCGATGCACTACTTCTTCCATGGTATATCAGTAATTGCGTCATGTAAGGTTTGTTGACAAACAATAAAACTCATCATCTGGTAGAATACTGTAATAATCAAAATTAAACAACGCGCATCTTTTTACCTGATTGTTTAAACTCGAATAGGTGTACAAGGATTCTCGGAGCCTTTTAATGTAAAACAACTTACCGAGATCTGGCAATATAAATGACTTCTGTCTCTTAGCGATGCCACCTGGACGAATGCTGCAGATGTGTGCACTCTGATTATGACGTCATGTTACCACATGTATTGATGACGTCAAGATTATTGTGCTTTTTCACATCACTGAATCACTCTAATGTGTCGTCAAATTATGAGTTGATTCGTAACCTGTGTGTTCCCGCTTCTACAATAACAGTTGGAAAGATGACTCTTGTGAATAGATACTATACTGTCGGGCAAAAGAAAGTAGACACTCATCTCTGATGGTGGCGAAATACACTCTTCAAAAAAAGAAACGCATAGGTGTTTTGAGAATTCCAATTAGATTTTTTTTCCCAGCAATCGTCATAAAGACAATTCTTATGTTTGATTCCCGTTAATCATGTCATGTGTGTTGTGCATTGCGCGCAAAACACATCTCAAAATGCTTTTTGTATGCTTCAGCACAATGCATGTGCAAAGTGTTGGAAACAAGGGTAGAGACACTGACTATAAAATACCGTACAAAATTCATCAGTTCATTACGAATTTTCTGACGTGAACGGAGATCGAAAAATGCCAAGATTAACTGCAGCTGACCGAAATATCGCCATTGGACGTTTGGAACCAGGGGAGTCCCAGTCTGCCGTTGCAAGACACTTCAACGTTCACCAAAACACCATATCTCGACTATGGGATCGATATACCCACACTAATTCGATTCAAGATCATCCCAGAAGTGGAAGACCAAGAGTGACCACCCCTGCTCAGGATCGGTACATCCGGTTGCATCACCTTCGGAATCGATTTGCTACAGCAACGGACACTGCAGGACAAGTGCCTGGTATGCGAAGAATTTCCGACCAAACCATCAGAAATCATCTGAGGGAAGTGGAAATTCGAGCGAGACGACCAAAAGTTGGACCTGTCTTGCGACGTCTACACCGTCAACGACGTGTCCGGTGGTGCAACAGAGTACAGGCATGGGATCTCAGGAACTGGCGACGCGTTTGGTTCAGCGATGAGACACGTTATCTTCTTCAACGACGGGATGGAAGACAACGTGTATACCGACGTCGACATGAACGTTTTGATCTCAACCCGATTGAACATTTGTGGAACGAACTTGATCGACGCGTCCGTCAACGTCACCAGCGTCCCCACACTGGCACAACACGCCAACGCCTTACAGGAGGAATGGCGAAGAATTCCCCACGAAAAAATCCGAAGACTTGTGCAATCTGTGCCAAGGAGGTGTCGAGCAGTGACGGCTGCAAGAGGTGGTGTGACCAGGTTCTGACCATGACGCCCCCTTGTGGCTACACATGTGCAATGACTGACCTGAATTAATGCTGACAATGACGACAATACTTTTGTCGATCACTGTGTCTAATTTAATTTGATTGTGTGTAGATACTTTTACATCCGCTTAATAAATATCCTTATTTTTTAACTATGCGTTTCTTTATTTTGAAGAGTGTATGAAACAACCAAGAAATGGTTATTCGATGGTGATGTATTTTATACGGGTATCAGTTGTATTTTGGACCTTAAGTTTGCATCGTTTCGGCGATTGTTTTCAGCCTACTATATTTTTAATAATGTTTGTAATTTTTTAGTCAAATCCAATTTTCAAGTGTATACTTTCTTCTGCTCGGCAGGGTTTTTTCTAACGATATCATGCATTAGCAATGGATCTGAAAATCTGTTAGGGAGATTTTCACAATGATTTCCGTATGCTAACTTCAGACGTGTCTCCATGATTAAATTACTCACGTTTATTCATGGCGTTAATGAAAAACAACAGTAAATTGTAATATTTTGTAAAGAGTCTTGTGCCCAGAACGTGCACCTGCAACACAGATATGATGTGCAGCACCAGGGTTCAGACTTGTCCAGTGGATTACGAAAAATAATATTAAAGAAAACAAGTGAAAATTTAAGAATTTTAACTTTAATTCTTTAAGGGTTATCTTTGTAAAAACACAAGACGAAAAGTGCTGAAATGTTGTATAATAGGATGATAATTTGACCCCCACTTGATCATCGGTACCTATACACTACTCTTCTCCAAATCTAAGAGGCTCAAAGAGATGACGTTTTGGTAGTAAAAGGCACAACAATGAGCTTCAGATATAATCAGGACAAATAGAATTGATTAATTTTCTTAGGATTGCAAAGAAAGTAATTTTGTCAGAGTGGTCGAGCTGAAACGTGGTGTAGAGTATTAGGCTTATATATATATTTTTTATGCATAGGTCAACTTTGGCTAGTGAATGTGATATCAGTACGAACCTGGAATATCCCATTATCAGAAACTGCCGCATCAAATGCGCCAATACGTTTAGCAATGTTTGGTACAGTGTCGATGTCCTTTGCGTTTATGCCGTGATATGGCTGTAATATTGCTAAAAGTGGCGCAGAACCATACTCACACACTCACTCACTCTTTACATGTATGAATACGACAATTAACAGCCACATTTTCTTTACCTGACGGCGAAAGATTTCACTGCACCTCAATTTACCTGGTAAGAAACAGTTCTTTGTCGCAATTTGTTGTTATTGAAATAATAAAATATCTTCTTAGTCAACCCCCAAATTGTGTTGTTATTTTGACACGATTTTGAGACAATGTATACAGACACGATTATCAGCATGTTTTGTGGCAAGAATTGTTCACGTGAATCTCACGGAGGTGATCATCGAACTTGGGCTTCTACGTCAACGGGAACCTTACGAGTGTAGAATATGACGTCATAATGGTATGACGTCACAATCACAGTCCATCAATAATGATTCCGGTGAGGTGACAACGTATAGCATGACCTGTAGATTCAACAAATTTACAAACAACGCAACTCGGTTCATGAAACATCGCATCGGGGGACGCTCTAAGGCAGGGAAAAGGACGGGCAGAGTAGCCAAACTACTCAAGCGTGGTGACTACCCGGGGATGTCCACGGACATTGTCCTGGAAGCGCCCTGTTTCCAGCTGCGAGCGGACGGAGAGGTGGACCGCCACGTGTTTATAGGGCTGACCACAACAGATTGTGTTATGGCCGTACAGCGTCTTCCAGATTACGGGGAACATCCTGGCGTGAAGTACAGAGCGAATGTCGACCTGGATGTGGAGGGAATGGAACTCGTCTGCTCGGCTCCGCTGAGGTTTATCAGGTATAACACAATATATGTCTGGTTAGTTTGTTTGTTTTTGTTGTTGAACACCGCACTCAGCGATATTTCAGCTATATGATGGCGGTCTGTACATAAACGAGTCTGGACCACACGATTCAGCGGTTGACATAACGAGCATCGATCCACGCAATTGGGATACGATGGCATGCATCAACAAAGTCAACCAGTCTGATCCCGTTAGCCGCCTTTACGACAAGCATACTCGCCTGTTTCGGCAAGCATTGGTTGCTGAAGACCTATTCTACCCCGGATCTTCACGGGTCATATGTTTGGTTGTCGTTGAACGTAGCAGTCACCAGTATCCCAGCTATATCACGGCGGTTTGTAAACAATCCAGTCTGGTAAACAAACAAACAGTGGTCCTATGTCAGTCAGAAATCAGTTAAACAGCGCTGGTGGCGAGAGTAGTTGGATGGGGGACGTGTTTGGCAGCTTGACTCCCGAGTTTCTTGGGCTCTGACCTTGCACCCCACTGACCCATTGACCGAGGTAATAATGTAGCGCCCTGAGCAAGCATGCTTAAGGGTGTGAATTTGGCGCATTGTAACATATACATCATTGATAATAAATGGAGATCTCATCAGACGTTGTCTATGAATTATGTTTATTGTTTGTGTTTGTGTACACACTTGAAAGCAGTTCTTCTGATCATACACAGAGTTTCGTCCCTTATGTGTATCAGAAACCTGGGTTCGAATCTAGACTCGCCCCAATTATGAACCTCGGTTTATCCGCACCATACCCGTGCTCGTTGTTTACCAAAGTTACGTCTTAGACCGACGCAACATCACACAACAAGCTGACATAATCAGTGCTATAAGTGGAATACTGTTCAGAGCTGCGTACAACCAAACTCACTCACTCACTCTACTGATATATTTGTATATTTTCATATATTTCTAGGTTTTTCCTGATTGACACGCGGTCCCGGAAGTTCGCGATCTGCACAAATCTCGGCAGTGTGTGGTACTTCGAGATGTGCAACTCGGCCGATGGCTCAGACGAACTGTGGACAAACTGGCTGGAAATGATCCACGCCCAAGACCATCCCGAGTGGTTCGGATACCGGACGTGGACAGTCGGTCGGAAGGACGCCATGGACGCCAGAAAATCAACATTACCCAGAGACACCAAGGGGAAAGACGGGATCCTTAGATTCATCAAGAGACCACTTGCATTCTGTGCTGTAGATAACGTTGGCACCCAGATCCCCTTTGCGAGGCTCCATTCCAAACAGCCTGGAAGAGCATTCCGAACTTCAAACGCTGATTCTCATATGGAGAAGAATTCTCCTTTTAAACATGTCAAATTTGTAATCCCACAAGTCCGAAAGTCCCAAACAAGAACAAAGTGTGATGAGGTGCGGCAGTCCCAGTCTTCCACAAATCTTTCCGCAAATCTTTCCGCATCATACACGTGCAGAGGCAAGCGCCACGTGGTCAGGAAGAGCCAATCAGAGTGCATGCTGGGTGGCGGGTCAGGGTTCACCCCTGGCAGCGGCCTGTACTTCAAGTACACGACCCTGGCCTTCTTGAGCGAAGCTCTACGGGCTGAGCCTCACAGAGCCGTTGACATCGCCGCCATCCGTTACCACAAGTGGGGCATCACCAAGACCTGTCTCAACCAGCTGCAGAAAGTAAATACCGTATTTCCTCTATTTAGAAATCAGTGCTTTTCATAGAGGTCGACCTATATTTCACGACCACACCTCTAGATTCCACCTCTAAAGACCATACCTCCAGACCCAACCTCCAATAGAGATTGGCCCATACCAAAAGTCGTTAAAAGATGGTACTTGTTGTTACCCTGCCTGGCGCTCGGCATTAAGGGGCTAAAACAAGGACTGGTCGGCTCAGAGTCAGTATAGTGTGTCTGAGTGGGGTATTCATGTTAAACTGCAGCATGGTATCTCAGTGGGCTTGCACTATAAATCTGCATCAGAGCGGACTATTACACGGCCACACACACGTGCATGCACGTCGCTACCAGGGCAATAATCTGGGACGCGACATTAAACCCCATGTCACCTGACCTCAATTCATATACCTGATGAAACCTCACACTACTTAAAGAAATAAAAGCGACAAAACCCTTCCCGTAGTAATACACGTTTCGATTATCTGCAGAAACAGATTCCATTGAGCGTAAAAGGTAATATTGTAATACAAAGTTTATTAATGTATATGTATTCTAACCCGGGTCGTCTCTGTTGTTTATGTTATTTTTGTTCTGTGACCTTTGGGTGTGTTGGTTTTATGAAGATCCACCTCGTCCATACACAAGGGACATTATAGTCTTCATGGAACGGACCTAGGTTAAATTGAACACATATAATCGACTTGTAGGCTATGTATTAATTGTTCAAATAACAAAGAACCGGTAGTGTTGCCTTTGTGTGTCAGTTCGTTGGAACTCGACTTGATTTTTATATACACTAGTCACTATGTGACTTTTGTTTCAGATTTGGAAAGCGCGGAATGAAGAGAGATTAGCAAGAGAACGCAAGATGTAGGTAGAAGTATATCACAAACGGTCGTGTTTAAATACTAGTAATAAGAGAGATGTGACATCTTACTGATGCCTGGAATAAAAGGCATAGACAGTGTTTTGTTTGTTGTTTAACGCCGAACTCAGCAATATTCCAGCCATATGACGGCGGCATGCTAATAATCGAGTTTGGGCGAGACCATCCAGTGATTGATATTGTGAGCAACGATTCACGTCGTCGGGGTACAATGACACGCAATCAACCAAGTCGCCGAGCCAGCATGGTTACTGGGGACAGATTCGAATGCAGAATCCAACAGGTGCAGGTATACCATGAAACCTTACAACACAACTCTCGATTAACTCGACTCATCAGTTTGAGATGATGTAGCTTATAATTATACACCATGGCCTCGTATTGGCTGTGTTGAAGTGAGTAACTTTATTGACATTTTTTTCAGGGAGCTCAATCGTGACGATTCCGATGACAGCATAACGGATTTAGTCAAAGAATTCGCTCAACCAAAAAGTAGGTCTTATTTGTACTTGGCATACAGTCGAAAGGTTGTCTCAAAGTTCATTTTGATGTTTATTTAAGGAAGAGGCAGGATGTCGGCCCTTTTGGGCCACTTGGAAAGTCTATTTTTATGTAACGGAATCTTTTAAATGTTTTTGTCATAGTTATCTGACTTTCTGCTAACTTACAATAACATGGTCAAGTTTATAAGTATGGCGAAGATGAGGCTGATTCTTTTTGTGAACATCAAATGATGGGCAAGTCCGTGACCCAGGATGATTTCTTTCTGTCCAACGAAGACGGATGGTCGGGTAGCCTAGTGGTTAAAACGATCGCTCGTCACGCCAAAGACCTGGGTTCGAGTCCCACATGGGTACCATGTGTGAAACCCATTTGTGGTCGTCAAAGTCCCCGCTAAACATACACACGTATACTCTGATATTTTTTTCGATAATTGCTTCAAAATTCTTTTCCATTTTATTATACGGTATGTTTTAACGTAATCACCGGTACATTGGAAGAAAACGTGTGTACAGCTGAATGCTATTTCTGGCTTAGTTTACGAGACAATCACACGGTAATCTTTATCCCTGCATACAAAACAATGCCTAGTATAACATGAAATGCAATCAAAATGGCAAATCATCATGTCTAGTGATGTTTAATCGCAAATTTCACATTTCCATGGAACAAGTTTGTTATAGTGTTGTTCATTCACCTGAAGCAATACGATGTTGTATTTTTGACCAACAGAAAAAGAGTTTGATTAAAGTGTAACCTTTATGTAGCGTCCATAAAATTTCCTAGTCCCGTGATGGGATTCGAACCACGGACCTTCTGATCACAGGTCGGACGCCTTGTCCACATGACCAAAGAGGTTAACCCCGTCAGCAAGCTGACAAGGTAAGGATGTCATCTGTGGGATGACTCCACGCCCTGCTACATACTCCCCCGTCAACAGAAGGCACGTCCCGGGCCGCATAGTAGGGTACTGAGGCTTATTTTGCTCAAATTTAATATGAACGTGCTCAGCCCCACGTTGGGCGCCAATGTAGCGGCCATAAAATTTCCGAGTCCCGTGATGGGATTCGAACCACGGACCTTCTGATCACAGGTCGGATGCCTTGTCCACATGACCAAAGAGGTTAACCCCGTCAGCAAGCTGACAAGGTAAGGATGTCATCTGTGGGATGACTCCACGCCCTGCTACATACTCCCCCGTCAACAGAAGGCACGTCCTGGGCCGCATAGTAGGGTACTGAGGCTTATTTTGCTCAAATTTAATATGAACGTGCTCAGCCCCACGTTGGGCGCCAATGTAGCGGCCATAAAATTTCCGAGTCCCGTGATGGGATTCGAACCACGGACCTTCTGATCACAGGTCGGATGCCTTGTCCACATGACCAAAGAGGTTAACCCCGTCAGCAAGCTGACAAGGTAAGGATGTCATCTGTGGGATGACTCCACGCCCTGCTACATTTACATAAGCCGACCCCTTTAAATATTTTTCTTGGGCGGTATTCGGTTTATCTACGGTCATATACGGTACCTACACTGTCACTATAACACCTGTTGCAGGTAAGTCCGCACCCACCAGATGGAGCAAGGTGAAGAGTCTGCAAGTTGAGCGGCCTCCAGCACGAGATGCCATGATCAGCTTAGCCGTGTTTGAAACCTATGGATCCCTCAAGAGGTATATCGGTGTTAGTTTTTGGCTGCCTTTGTCATTATCATAGGCGACACCGATACAGATGTCACAGATTGTTCTATGTGACATCAACCAGATGACCAAAGGCACTCACCACTGTACTACTCAAACGCCGCTGTAACGCTTGAGACGATGGCATAGTTACTTTGATTTGATTTTATGTGTAAAATTAATAAAATGTCAGTTCATGTTTTCCAGGAAGGAGAAGGGTTGGCTATATGGGGCGACGCCGCAGACCTTCGCCTCTCAGTTGACCCAGATTCACATCGACATGTTCCAGAAAATCACGGAACTGGATATCGTCAACTTCTTTGATAAACACAACGCAGTAAGTAAGGGGGCCCGTGGAAGGCTGGAGGGCTGGGGTTAACGTTGCACTCAAGATCATTGCACTTATTTAGCGACGTTGACTTATCTTTGCCGCTGTATAACATGAATATCCCACTCAGACACTGTATACCGACTCCAAGTCCCTTTTGTATCCGACCCGTGAAGATCGGGGTAGAACAGGTCTTCAGCAACCCATGCTTGTCCCCGTGAAGATCCCGGGTAGAATAGGTCTTCGACAACCTATGCTTGCCGTAAAAGGCGACTTTGCTTGTCGTAAAAGGCGACTAACGGGATCGGGTGGTCAGGCTTGCTGACTTGGTTCATACATGCCATCAATCTCAATGTTCAGGATATTAATCACTGGATTGTCTGGTCCAGACTCGATTATTTACAGACCGCCGTCAAATAGCTGGAATATTACTGAGTTTGGCGTTAAACAACAAACCAACCAACCTTTTTGAATCCCCCAATGCTGAGCGCCAGGCATGACTTCCAACAAGTACAATCTTTTAACGTCTTTTGGTATGATGCGTCCATGGGATCGAACCTCTAATACCCCCGGACAGACACTCTATCCACTAGACCACGGAGGCGGTCGTGTATAGCGTATTGCCACGATGATAGGTAGAACGACTTGAATTAACCCCCAAAGAGGCACATACTGGCGTACGTCTGTCATATTGGTGTTTCCCCTCTCCTGCTGGTCATAAATTATCATTAAGAAATGGTCTTCAGCAACCCATGCTTGTTGTACGAGACGACTAACGGGATCGGGTGATCAGGCTCGGTGACTTGGTTGATGCATGTCATCGTATCCCAATTGTGTAGCTCAATGCTCATGATGTCAATCACTGGAGTGTTTGTCCCTGACTCGATTATTACAGACCGCCGTCATATAGCTGGAATATTGCTGAGTGTGGCGGTAAACAACAAACAAACAATACATAAATTAATAGTGCATGTAGACATAAATGTTAGGTTGCATTTTTTCAATAATAGGTTGCACTGGTGGGGTGATAAACAAACAAACAACACATACATTAATAGTGCATGTGGAGTGCATCGTTAGCCTCCGCCAACCCCAAATCTGATTTTTATCGTTGTCTACACTGTGTTTATTTTAATGATTAGATAAAACAGACTGTGAAATATTTATTGTTTTGTGTTTATGGAGGTAGAGAAAACCCTTAGTGCAGGGTCTGCATCCTACACTCAGAGTTGCGTCCCTTGGGCACGCCAGAAACCTATAATTGTGGGTTCAAATCCCGGTTCGCCCCAATTATGTTTCTAGGTTTGTCAGCACCATACGTGCTCGTGGGTTTCACCTAAGTGGTAAACGTCTGAGACCTGCACCACTTCGGGCTTTCCTCCCACATTAAGCTGACACGCCGCGATATAACTGGAAAACTGTTAAAAGCGGCGTTAAACCCAACTCACTTACTTAATTATCTCCCCTCCTGCCCATACTGTAATGCTATAGCCCTAATGAAGCAAGTCTAGATTTTCCACAGGTTCAGGTTCTGAATCTCCCATCTCACTGGGGCTCCTTTTCAGTTTAAATGGAGTTGTTTGTTTCTATAAAAATTATATATTTTTAGAGGCTAAGCGTTAGTTTAACAAGCAGTGTGCACAGCGCTGTTACGTTTATAACTCCATAAATACCAAACATATCAAAACCAATTCTTAATCACACATAGCACGTACTTAGAGCTCATTTTGAAAGACATGGTACAAGCTGGACATTGTAGCTACCTTGTTCACTATTTGCAACCAGGCCCGTCCTACAAAGTTGATGAAGCTGCTAGCCTTCTCCAACCATGCCAGCAATCTCGTTGCCATGGAGATAGTCAAGTCCAGAACACACGCAAACAGGACCCAGAGGGTCAAGTTCTTCATACAGGTGAATAGTGACACCTTTACCTTTGTTTTTTTGTTATTTAACGCTGCACTCATTTCAGCCATATGAGGACGGCCTGTAAATCCACTGGACCAGGCAATCCAGTGATTGGTATTGTCCCCAACATTCCACTCCATCAGGGCACCATGACGTGTATCAATCAAGTCACCGAGCCTGGCCACCCACCCATTCGGTCATCTCTTGCCCGGAACTCTCCAGGGGAAACGTTTTAACTGCTCCTATATCTTTAGATTTACGAAAGCCTATAATGATTCCACTTTGGTAGCATATATGTGTTTACTTTTAAATTGAAATTTCTCGTTATTTCAATTATTTGTTTATATTATCGAAATTTCATGTTTTTTTCTCGTCATTTCGATTATATTTTTGTAAGTTCAATTATTTTCTCGTTACTCTGAGGTTCTTTCTCGTAATTTAGATTATTTTCTCGCAATTTAGATTATTTCTCGTTACTTCAAGTTAATTTTTAAAAATCGAGAATTTGATGTTTTTCTCTCGTTATTCCGTTATCTTGAAATTTACGGGTTTTTCTTGTTACTTTCATTATTTTCAATAATTTTATTTAATAAACTCGAAATTTCCCCTTTTTCGTAATTTCAATAACTTTTCTCGAAATTACGAGTTTTGCTCTCTTTATTTCGATTATTATCTCCTTATTTCAAGTTTATTCCAAAATTGAAATTTTAAGAAAATAATTGTAATAAATAGAAAATAAACGAAGAAACAAAAAAAAAATCGAAGCAACTGGAAAATATTCATAGTAACGATAAAAAAACACTCGAAATTTCGAGAAAGTAATTAAAATATCGAGAAATTTCGATTAAGAAGAAGAAGAGTGCTACCATTAAGCTTTCGTATAGAATATGGGTTGCGTTGTGCAGAGAAAGTTGCCATGATTCCTGGTGGTGAGCTCCAACCCCATATTTGCCCTCACTCTTACCATGTTTTTTCATCAACATGCCCTGGTCGTGGTTTTAACCAACTGTCATGGTCTTGGATTATTTATTCCCAATTTGGCAGTACCGGTAATTATAAACCTTAGGCAACAGGACCACACGTGCTCTCTACAAGACATACACGTGCTCTCTACAAGACATACACGTGCTCTCTACAAGACATACACGTGCTCTCTACAAGACATACACGTACTCCCTACTGCGACTTACTTCCCCTTGTACTGTTGGTGCAGGTCAGTGAGGCGTGTCGAGAATTGGGTGACCTTCATTCCGCGTGGTCAGTGATAACCGGACTTCAGCTGTTTCCAGTAGCTCGGCTGACTGACACATGGTCTGACGTTTGCAGGAAATTTCCCGTCATTTACAGGTACGAGCTCATACAAACCACAATGAGACCATTTGTGCTCATGGAACTGGAAGACCAATAGTCATGGCTTACCTTGCAGATTTGTTGTGAAGAGAGTACGAAGACGCGTTAACGTAAATGAGGTTGTTTTTTTAACGAACCCATCAATCCTTTTTGTGAGTGAGTGAGTGAGTTGGGTTTAACGCCATCTTTAACAGTATTTCAGTTATATCGCGGCGTGTCAGCTTAATGTGTAAGGAAAGCCCAAAGTGATGCAGACGTTTGCCAAACTCACGAGCACCAGTATGGTGCTGACAAACCTAGAAACATTGTCGGGGCAATCCTTTTCGATTCAAAGAATCGCAAATAGACACTGTATAGTAGAGGTCTTCATAAAATGATGTATACAGCAAACAGGAAGAGTGAGAGAGTATGGTTTTATGCTGCATTTAGCAATATTCCGACAATATCAAGGCAGGGGATCCCAGAAATTGGCTTCACACTTTGTACCCATGACGGGAATCAAACCTGGGTCTTCGGCGCAACGTGTGAATGCTTTAACCACTAGGCTACCCAACCGCCCCACAAACAGGAAGAGGAAAATTATATGATTATAGGTTATCCTGCTAGACATTTAGGTTGTTTTTTTCCTTTCTTGAATACATTTTGTCTAATTACGTAGGGACTACGAGAATCTCTGTCTGATGTTTGCCTGCTTGTCTTCACCCAAGTACAGAGATGAGCTTCAGAGCTCCTCACAGCGCCCTCCATACCTCCCTTGGCTAAACCACTTCCTCTGGCATGTAATGAAGACACTGTGTCGAGATTTCTCCAACCAGATTAACAGTGATTGCAAGAAGGCAACAAGGTCTAGAAAAATATCTTTTGATTGGAAACTCTGTTGGGGGAGGAATAGTTCGATTCAAGATTATGTCTTAAAAGGATTTGCGAAACCCAAGAAGGAAGGTGGCAGTAAGAAGGCTAAACTTCCCAGAGACCTTAGTTCTCAATCTGGGAAGGAGAAACAGAGGCCTGGTGGTGTTCAGGGTGTCCAGGGTGTTCAGGGAGTCCAGGGTGTCCAGGGTGTTCAGGGTGTCCAGCAACAGCAGGTGGGTTCAGTCAGCAAGTCAGTTGACAGTATGGCAGATGACCTTGCAGCCCAGATAGTCACACAGGCCATTAGTGAACACTCCAGGGTTCACCAGTCACTTCCAGCACACAAACAGACGGTGTCATCTAACCCTGGATCTGACTCTCATGTACACCGTAAACCAGGTACTTCCCAAGTAACTGAAACCAAAGATAAACGAGTGGAAATTGTTAAAAGTCCTTCTATGCACGGCCACCATCCCATGTCTTCCCTTGGTACAGACCAGCTCACGAAGGACATCCAGCATGAAGACAGGACTGAGAGAGCGCCTGTGGATCGTCATCGGCAAGGCTCCTCTGATGTAGCCAGTGCAGTTCCAGAGCCAACTGATACCGTACATGTCCAGCATGATCTTACAACAGATGCTTCAAACTTAGAATCTTCAGGAATTGTTGGGCAGCATCAGGAACCACAGATCCCCAATCCTGTTTCCAGACCTGTAGGTGGGACAGCGTCAAACAAGCATGATCCATCCCATTGCCCTTCCCACTTTGCACAGCAAGATGAGGAATTCATGAGAGAGAAGGATAAAGTGATAGACAAAGCGATCAAATTCAAGCTGAGGCAAACCAAGCGAGGGGAGATGTTGAAGGACTGGACAGGGGCTGAGGAAGACTCGTCTGATGAGGAAGAAAAACAGTCATCCAAAAAAAAAACCACTGCAAGGCGATCACTTTTCTCAGGTAGGAAACAATCACCCAAAGATAGCATGGATACTAAAGAGGCAAAGGTTGTGAAAATAAGACCAGAAAGGATGTCTACAAAGGCTGAATCACCCAAACAGGACCCTAAACGTGGCCTTGTAGCTGTGGGTGGAAAGAACAGTTTAAGTAAAGGCAATTCACAAACATTGAAGCTTAAATCCACAAACACTACCAAAGGAACATCACCCATTTTGGATAATGCTTCTGGAAATTCCCAGGGACATTCAGATTACAGTAATGTGTCTCGAACAGAGGATCGACCACAGAAGTCAGTGCGGTTCCTGAATCATTCACAGAGCCATAATGAGGACGGGGACTTAAACTGGTCAAGTTGTAACCCTCATACCAGTCAATATGAATGTTCACCCTGTCACTGTGAGACTGGTGGGGAGGACGATGGAATAGCCTGTGGTGGCATGATCATGAACATCTCCAATAGACAAGATCTTGACAGGCAAAACAAGTTGACATGCCAATGTGGACAGATGGACAATACGGAATCTGATTTGACAAAGTGCACATGTGGAGAAGCCACTTGTGGACATTGTACAAGTGATGAAAGGCCAGATAATTGTCACTGTCACAGTAGGAAGCTGAACAATATTAGTTCCCCAGACATAAATTGCACACAGCATCCTATTGCCAGTTGTGTTTTTTGTACAACTGCTGAAAGGCCAGAGAGAGATACCTGTCCAAACACAATGTCTCAAGAAACAGTCCGAATGAATCATGATTGCATGAAGGCTAGATACAAACTAGATGACCAGAAGCTTCACCCTGATGTCAGGAATAAGGCGGATATGTTGTGCCATTGTGTAAAGTTCCTTGACAGCAGTCTGAGATATGCTGCTTCCTGTAAGAACCCTCAGATCTGTGGTGTTTCGTGTGCTGTTGCCGGAAGTTGTGACCAGGCTTTAAACACAGGGTTAACATCCATGAACAGGAACCGGGAACACTTTCCTAACTGGAACCCTACTGGCAGCCTGTGTGATAGTGATACATGTGCTCAAAGTCATGATGCATTAGACAGGAACTGGTCGAGTTCAGGTCGCCTGTCGTCACCGCAATGGTGCTGGACGTGCGACATGTCTGACTGTGTCTTGCACAACTCCGGCCTGGAGACACTGGTGGAGCTGCAGCAGGCGTGTCTGACCTTCCACCTAAAGGTCAACAGCAGACTGAAGACCTACATCACTGACCAGCATCAGCGTGCGACACAGTTTCAGATCCTGAGGGCCACTGTACCCATCACATCCTGATTAAAACAACACATATTTGTAATTGTTATCATTTTTATACTTATCAGTAGTCGCTATATGGCTGAAATAATGCTGATGCAACGTTAATTTTTAACTCACTCACTGTCAGTGTATGGCTGAAATAATGCCGATGCAGCGTTAATTTTTAACTCCCTGTCAGTATGATTGGCAGTTCAAACAGTTAACTGTTTTCTTCATCAATGACTGAGTGAATGGGTTTTATTGATGTGTTGAGCAGTATTCCAGTCATATCACACACAGCCTGATGTATGTGGACAGATCAAATGGGCCTTACTGTTGCGTTGTGTGCATGGACCTGTGTGTTGCTGATCATACACTTGCCGGACTATAGTGCTAGGCTACTAACATACCTGAGATAGCCCACTAAGATACCAGTTTAACATGGATACCCGACACAGACACAGTACACTGACTCCAAGCCGATCTGTCCTTGTTTTATTCCCTTAACACTGAGCGCCAGGCAGGGTAACAACAAGTAATATGTTTGGGGATAGAACAATGGACTTTCCAATCTCTGGGCTCTACACACTCGACCACATAGATGGTTTGTTTGTTGTTTAACGCCGCAGTCAGCAATATTCCAGCTATATGACGGCGGTACATAGATGGTGAAAAGCTCAAAGTGACATAGGTCATAGACGTGTGTGTATATCACTTTGGTGGACCCCACATTTAAAGGCGAGTGAGTGAGTGATTGAGCATGGCTTTTAGTAATATTCCAGCAATATCATGACGCCAGAAATGGCCTTCACACACTGTACCCATTTTGGGAATCGAACCCGGGTCTTCGGCGTGAAGAGCGAACACTTTAACAATTAGGCTACATCACTGCCCCCACCAATAAAGCTGTGGTGCTGACAGACCAAGGATTAGAATCAGCAGGAATCTGGGATTCGAGTGAGTTTAGTCAAGTCACTTTGAACCGAATTCCAATTATATCACAGCATGTCAGCTTGGAGGAAAGCCCAAAATTCTTGCTGTTCTTTGATGTTTGCCACTTTGAAGAAACACACGAAGCCATGGTGTTGAAAAATTAGATGTAATTTAAACCAAAGATAAGCAGATCCTGCCACTACTAAGGAGAGAAATTGAAGAATATCTGAATGGAGATATGCTTTCCTACGCTGGAGATTATATGAACCAGTCTGTTAAAGTCCCAACATAAAGTATTGGTGATCATAACCACTTTTGATGCTTATTGCAAACGATGTTCTAGTTTTGTAATATCAAAAACAACCCTTAACCAAGGCCCTATGACTGTATAATGATTTTACATAAATTAATGACGTATTGCTGTAAAACGCAATAGGAACGTGCACAGAATCTTTAAGTACCCACACTTTGATGACATCAAGCCCAAGAAAGCACATAAAATACACTGATAACTGATAAGTGATAGAGAGTGTGTTCAGGGACAATCTCATTAAAATCAGATCTTTGCTTGCTACCGCTAAACAAAGATCTGAGGACATCCCATTACGGGTCACGTCAGACCAACCTTTCGCGAACTTTGACCGACCAATGGAATGACCAACAAGAAGTCAGACGGCAGCTTAATCGAACAATACGGCACGAGTTTCAAACTGGCGACTACGCTTCGAAAAATATTTTGACATACACTTAATCAAAAAATTAAAAACTGAACAAAAGAACATTCTGGAATGGCTAATGGATGGTCTTGATTGTATGAATACAGACATTAAGCCCATAACTCTCATTCGGAATACCCTGTGTTTTTTTCGAGGTTACACAATCAAAAATCACATTCCAACCGTCACTTTCATGATCTGGTAACAATGCTCTGATTGGTCCTCCGATCTTTGTTCAGCGGTAGCGAGGACTAAGATATGATTTAAATGAGATTGATTCAGAGATTGTTGCTCTGTGTAAAAAAGTAAGGCTCAGTCAGACACACAGTTGAAAATGTTTTACATTCACTTAGGAGCATGTAGACATAAATATTAGGTTGTATTGTTCAATAGGTTGCACCGGGGCATGTCATATATAGTGCATATACATTCAAGAAATATTCTTAGAAGATAGGTGGTGCCTTTGATGACTCCCTGATAGACTGCTATGAAGTCTTTGACAGGCATTTAGAAGTTGGGAGAACATGAATATATGACACTTTTTTTAAATGGATAGCAACTCCTTTTTTATTCTTTGTACGTTTCAGAACTACTTCGTCTCACCTGATGAAGGAGCATGAAGTAGCTCTGAAAAGTTATAAAACAGAAATTGCTATCCATAAGAGAGTGTCATGTATTCATATAAAGCTATTGCATAAGTTGGGGTAGAATACGTCTGTGCCCAGTACTGCAGTCTGCTCCAGGGTCAGGTAGAATAATGTGTGATTATGTTTTTCATTAAGTGATCAAATGTTTCATTTCACTCCCTGAATCAATCAAGGACTAAATCCATAAATACAAAAGTGGTTTATTGCAAACAAAGATGCATAAATAGTGTACAAGTATTTATAGGCTAACAGTTATATACAACTGACCGGCAGATACTAAACAAGGACAACAATATCAGGTAACTGTATAGAAGTAACAATGGTTACACGTGCACACTACAAGCTAGCGACCCTGGAGGAACAGTGGGTGCCTTCAACTGACGAGCCATACACCTGGACACAAGTTAATCACCACTTTCTTCATATTTCCATATAAAAGTCATGTCTTAATATCCTAGCCTGTATTACTTTTCCCCATGAAACATTTGTTTTTGCTTCAAAATTGACACTTGGTAAATACAGAAATCAATGATCTGTTTACGTTTTGTAGCTGTTCCCAGGAGTTGTTTTTTGCCCACCCTTTCAATGGTCTATTCCGGTCTGCGAGATCTCCGGGGATTGGAATTGTTGCCAATCACGTGACACAGGACACCTATCAGAGATCTAGAGATATTGCAACCCATCTCCAAATCACTAGACTCCCATTATGTTGGTAATCGGAGGATGTAGACTTTGTGTACGTATCGAGACGTTGCCATAAGATGCACAACTGTGGGTACCTAGATCACTCGACTGTGACCTTGACACTCCCTTTTTGCGTGTCCTTGTCACGTGATCATCAAATCGAGAGGAAAAGTGCTCCTCATCATATGATGTGACCATCCTGAGAAACTGTGTTCTCGTACTGGCTATTCAGCAGGTATCCGCGTATCTTACACATTGAGATCAGTGGTATGAAGATGTCCCCAGACCTTCAGGATAGAGGAAAACAGAGGTGGTGCTTGACTTTTTTCCAGGTGTAAAGTAAAGCCTCCTCTAGCACTTTCAAGAAATATGGTTATCATAATTGTAGGATAAAGGTTTGAGGCATGAAACGATTATTGACCCTGCAACAAACAAAAGCTCTACTATATGATGAATACCCAAAGAAAAGCATCAGTACCCAATGTGCGCAAACACTGAATGGCTCAAGGCACTATCTGGAGCCCAGCTTCTATTATACATTCAAATGTTGTCATGGCATCATCACATTCATTATTTGTCTCAAACAATGTTCAAGCAAGGCTCTGTCACACAGCACTGCGTACACCCATTCGAAGACCTGCAGCAAATTCATCACTTGGATTACCATCATGTAAGTAAACCATTCTGATTAACGAGCAGCTTTAATCACAAGAGCTTCTTGAGGAGTGTGCATACACCTATATTTCAGGAGTGGATGTAAAACTGAGTAAAACTTAAGAGTTTTTCAGGAAACATATGCAAAAGTTGACAGAAACGTATGGACAGAAATATATATTTACAATGATGAACATTTTTCAAATTAACTTGAAATGTATCACAATTTCCGTTATTTGTAAAGGATTGAAAATGAAAACAGCTGAAGTGTTGACATGATTCGCATAATAACACATTCAAACAAGAAACTGATTCCTCCTGGTGTAGCGTCCCCATTTCATACACTGTCTCACTACCAATAACAGAAACATTGGCTCGGAGGTGGAAATATATATCCTTTATGTCCTATATATCCTAAAGCTGTTCCTATGTATACACCTAGACACATGCTATATGTTGCCATATACAATAGCAATGTTTTAAAAGTGAATCTTGTATTTAATATTTTGAAATATTCATTTTCAGCTATTTTGAAACACAGAAACCAAAGCTGATTTTTGAAAGAATGTTTTTGTATCTTCCGAAACAGATGCCACAGGGTGTACAATGGAAATAAGTGATGTAAATTCTAAGAATGGATCACTGAAAAGGGTGTTCATGAAAAGGGTAAGCCTGTCCTGCTCTACCAGTAGTATCTGCTACTCTGACAAACATGTGAGCATTGTTTGGTTGCCTATCACTGCATGCACCCTTTCAAAGAACTTGATATCGTATGAAGCTACATTGTTCTTGTACCAATTTTACATCAGGTATAGGTAACGTCTGTCAAAACCAGGTCAATGTCACATAAAGACATTTCTGAATAATCCATGGAAGATCAGAATATATGAAAACAAACAATGAATGGAGGTTATTTTTCATGATGAATACATGTTTCAGATTCCTCAAAAAGGCCAAGCATTGCAAGTATTTACAGTGCACCTTGTACTAGCTAGTCATCCTCTAGTGTGTAATTAGTATCAAAGTATGTATCCAGCATATTAATTTTGACCAAGTCTTGATGAAAAAGTCATGCTGCCTGACCTCTTTTACAGTTTCGACAAATATCTCCTTCCTACAGGTTCGTTTCCTCTGTGTGTGGTAGATCTAGCTGATGCACAATGATTTCAACTCCAGTGGAGCTCTGGACTGGCTCCAACGGTTGACTGGAGGCTTCACCATCTAGCTCCATCAGCTGACTGGAGCCAACACCATACCCAACAGCCACATCAACCTTCTTCACGGATCCGTTCTGCTTTACAATTCCATTCTTTCTCACAGGACCATTCCTCTTCAAAGATCCGTTATCCATCACAGGACCATTCTGCATGCGAGGAATATCGTCCTCCACCGTCTCCTCGAACACATCATCCGAGACATCAATCGATACTGAGGCATCACACTGTTCAAAATGAGAGCCACTTCCGCCTCCAAGTGCCCGCAGTGGTCTCTCCTCTGTATCCACAGGCCTCTCAACTGAACATGTGTCACTCACATCGGATTCATTTTCTTCCATGGTTGTGGGAAGGGGACTCAGACGGTGGTCATGAAGAATATCCGAGCTCCTATGCTGCCCGAAGCCGGAGGTGTCATTGGGGTCGATGTCTGAACTCCTCCGAGGGCCAAGGGGGAGATGGTGCCCCCCATGGAGGATATCGGTAATAATAACTCCACTGGAACCGCGTCTCCGACCGATGTTGGGTGTGGAGGTGTCTTCATTTGTGATGGACTCGGCGGAGCCGGGGAGACTTATGGAATCGTCTTCACTGAGGTAGTCTTGGCTGGAGTCTGGCAGCGGCATGGACGTGCTGGAGATGTTCAGGAGGGCTTTCCTCTGGTGGGTTTCAATACATGCGGGCGTCGACATTCGTTTCCCGAGCATTGATCTGGAATGCAAAGGATCAGACTGATGCCACAACTTGACTTACTGGTTTCCAGAAACATAACGCCTGGGGACCCATTTTATTCAGTGTGAGAGAGAATGTCATTTTCACTATTTCAATTTTCTCCCTGTCGCTAGCAAGTATTTGTCTGGACACACCAGTGACTGAGAGCATGTGCAGTATCCCACACCATCAGGGCTTCATGACATGCAATCAGTCACCAGCCTGACCACCCATGCCTCTATAGTCCTGTCACCCTGGCCTGTATAGTCCTGTCACCCATGCCTCTACAGTCCTGTCACCCATGCCTCTATAGTCCTGTCACCCATGCCTCTACAGTCCTGTCACCCATGCCTCTACAGTCCTGTCACCCAAGCCTCTATAGTCCTGTCACCCATGCCTCTATAGTCCTGTCACCCATGCCTCTATAGTCCTGTCACCCATGCCTCTACTGTCCTGTCACCAATGCCTCTATAGTCCTGTCACCCATGCCTCTATAGTCCTGTCACCAATGCCTCTATAGTCCTGTCACCCATGCCTCTATAGCCGTCACCCATGCCTCTACAGTCCTGTCACCCATGCCTCTACAGTCCTGTCACCCATGCCTCTATAGTCCTGTCACCCATGCCTCTACAGTCCTGTCACCCATGCCTCTACAGTCCTGTCACCCATGCCTCTACAGTCCTGTCACCCATGCCTCTACAGTCCTGTCACCCATGCCTCTACAGTCCTGTCACCCATGCCTCTATAGTCCTGTCACCCAAGCCTCTACAGTCCTGTCACCCATGCCTCTACACTCCTGTCACCCATGCCTCTATAGTCCTGTCACCCATGCCTCTACAGTCCTGTCACCCATGCCTCTACAGTCCTGTCACCCATGCCTCTACAGTCGTGTCAACAATGCCTCTATAGTCCTGTCACCCAAGCCTCTATAGTCCTGTCACCCATGCCTCTACAGTCCTGTCACCCATGCCTCTATAGTCCTGTCACCCATGCCTCTATAGTCCTGTCACCCATGCCTCTACAGTCCTGTCACCCATGCCTCTATAGTCCTGTCACCAGTCCCAGACCAGTTCTACGATTCCGCGATTGCAGAATTACACTGCAGAATTACAGAAAATTCAAAGAATTTACTTAATTTTATCAATTAGTGCACTTATTTTTATATTTTCAAGCTTTTCTATCATATTTTGCCCAAACACTGCCAAAACATTTAACAAATGATTCAAACACACAAAAAATTTAAATAAATAATTCTCACTTTTATATGTTCTTGTGGTGTTGTGACATAAACCATGTTGGAAGCTTACCAGATTTTGGTGACTCTATGCGTATTATGTGTATAATTTGTATGTCTTTTCCAATTTGTATGTCTTTTCTTTTTCCTCTTTATAGTGATAGTTTGGGGAATTTGGTTTCGGATTTGGATTCGAGTTTTCGAAAATTTACTTTATATCAGTATTTGAGGGGGAAATAGTTGTTTTAACCACAGAATCTACCACAGAATTTTGTAATTTTAGCAGAAGAATTTTGGTAATATTACTGCATAATGTTGATATTTTACCACAGAATTTGTCTTGGACTGATCCGGGCAAGCATGGGAGACTTTGGAAGTTATTTCCCCCCTGAAAACCTTACAGGACTCATACTACTCAGGAATCTAAATGGGGTTAGTTCATGCAGCTGCGTGTCTGGCTGCTTGATTTATAGTGCAAGCCCACTGAGATACCATGCTGCAGTTAACATGGATACCCCACCCAGACAAAGTACACTGACTCCGAGCTGACCAGTCCTTGTTTAGTCCCATTAATGCCAAGTGCCAGGCAGGGTAACAACAAGTACCATCTTTTAATGTCATTTGGTACGACTTGTCTGGTGTTTGATCCACAAACCTTCCACTCACCACCAGTCCATGGAGTTGGTCACCCTTGACTTGGGACAAAAGCCCAAAGTGATGCAGGTTAGAGACGTTTACCACTTGGATGAGTGGGTGAGTAAGTTGGGTTTTACCCCAGTGTCAGCAATATTCCAACAATACATGGCTGGACACCAGAAATGGGCTTCACACATTGTACATCTGTTGGAAATCAAGACCAGGGCTTTGGCGTGACGAGCAATCGCTTTAACCGCTAGCCTACCCAACTGCCCCTTACCACTTGAATGAAACCCATGATATGGTGCTGACAAATAATGAAACATAATCATGGTGACTGAACCACGATTCTGTGACACAACAGACATGATGACACACAACAGATAATTTTACACACAACAGACAATATGACACACAACAGACAAGATGACACACAACAGACAACATGACACACAACAGACAATATGACACACAACAGACAAGATGACACACAATGTGACACACAACAGACAATATAACACAACAGACAATATGACACACAACAGACAATATGACGCACAACTGACAATACGACACACAACAGACAATATGACACACAACTGACAATACGACACACAAATGATACGGCACACAACAGACAATATGACGCACAACAGACAATATGGTGCACAATACACAAGATGACTCGCAACAGAATGTAACACACAACAGACAATATGATGCACAACAGACAATATGATGTACAACAGACAATATGACACATAACAGACAATATGACAGACAATATGACACATTGACAACAGACAATATGACACACAACAGACAATATGACAGATGCTTGCTGTAGCGGCATGGTCACACTTACTTCCTCCTCCGACTGGCTTGAAACATAAGAAGTGAACATCTATATAGACACCATTAATAATGAAGGATGAGTGAGTGAGTGGGGTTTAACACAGCTTTGAACAGTATGCCAGTTATATCATGGCGTGAAGTGATGCCGGTCTAACACATTTACCACTTAGGTGAAATCCACAAGCACGGTTAAGATGCTGAAAAAAACCTAAAAACATAATCTGGGCAAACCGGAACATAAAACGTTGATCATAAGTTTCTGGCATGCCAAGGGAGAAAAATTGTGGCGCCTTAGACAACTGGGCCCCCCTTGCCCCCTAATGAAGGCTGACCTACACACACCTCACCTGTTGCAAAACATGAAGGCTCCAGCTGTAATACTATTTGCTTTTTGACAAGACAACATTACTGCCAAAACACATTCCATGACATACTGAAATACTTCAAAAACGATTATCCATTTTTTTAATATATATTTGGCAAAATGACCACAAAAATCAAAGAACGTTGTTCTGCGTATTTGGGCATGACGGAATCAAACACAACATTGTCATCATTCATATTCAAATTTTGTTTGATGTGTTTGGAGATGGACTTGAGCACATAGACACATCATGTCTGATGCTTGAAAACATGATGATGAGTTTCATTGTGTGTCAGTGAGTGGGTGAGTATGGTTTTATGCCGCTTTTAGCAATATTCCAGCAATATCACAGCAGGGACACCAGAAATGGGCTTCACACATTGTACTGATGTGGGGAATCAAACCCAGTCTTCGGTGAGACGAGGCTACCCCAACCCCCATTGTGTGTCAGTGTAGATCCACTTGGCTTACAGTTCTGGTGAGCTACAATTAATAACAATGAAAATTAAATAATTTCTTACTTCAAACCCACATAAAATTTACAGCTGAAAAAAGTTTGAGCTAAGAACATTAACAACAAAGATTACATTCTCTGCTTGAACCCACCTGCATGGAGTCTCGCCTTGACTATAACCATTAGCCAGCCCATTGACGCGGTTGTCTCCCTTGCTTGAGTCACGTGATAACCGTCGGGACAGGAAGTGCGTCACGCTGTGTCTGTGACCAAGAGGACCCTAGGAAATGAAACCAATGACATCCATTGAGTCCTGGATGTATGGAGAGGTCATGAGGGATTGATTTGAACAAGGGTGCTCTCCATGAGGTTGCTGTGCTCTGAGTGCGAGTGTGAGGAGGTTGGGGAATCAGCATGACTCTAACAGTACTTCAGGGCTTGGCAGCTTAATGTGGGGGGGCTCAAAGCATCTTTTATGCACAATTGTTTGTGACTTTAAACCATATACTTTTAGCTGTCAGTCATTATGTATTTAAAAAAATTCTTTTATATTTTTCAGCTACAGCTACAAAAACAGATAGTTTTTGTTTAAAACTTCGAGCCAGATCTAAAAAAAAAAAACCTTGAAAAAATGTTATTTTTGTGGCAGGCAATTCGTTTTTTTACAACAGTCCTCATTGACCTCATTGGCCTTTAAGTCTGAACCAGCTCTCAATGCTTCAATTCTGCTATAAAATGGAACTTAATTTAACTTACAGAAAATGTAAACATAGGGCGCGTTGCAAAAAGCCAATTGCTTGCAAGCAATGTATGGCAATTTGCCTGACAACAGGACGCTATCTGTCAGCCGCACCAGTCACTGGCTGAGGTTGCATCATTCTCAAACCAAAATGGCACAATTTGAATTTGACAGCAGGACAAAAAATTCTTGACTGGATCAACTGGGAAGTGGGCAAAGGCAGCTAACATCCCATTCTGTGACTTTCTACATTAGGGCAAGGCAACTAAGCGGTAGTCATGCCGCCATTTGGGAAGAGTACGCAAGTGCTTCAAGGTGTTGCAGGCACCGGAATGAGCCTTTACTTTGCTTACTCTAAGCGATTCGTGGCTTGCAACGTGCCCATAGTAAACATTTCTGTCAGCATGGCTAATTAAATATTTTCTGTATATGAATATAAATATGAATAAGAATATGAATATGAAGACTTCATGTTTACACTGACAGCCATGCAACAACCAACTGTATCGCGGAATAAAATAGTTCCTCAAAAAGAGAGTAGACATGGGCCTATGTATGCAAAACTTGTTCTTAAAAAATAATCCTTTTTTTTCGACAATTGTTGTATATAATTGTTTCACATAAAACACATAAAAATATCAACGATTTGAACAAAATATGATGTCAGCTTCCTGAGTCTGGCAATTTTAGGAAGGATATTCAAAGCGCCACAAATGCACTTTGAGAGAGTTAATGAGGACTACAGAACATTTTTTAGCAGAAATGGCTGAGCTGTGGCCATAAACAATTCTTCACTGTAGATGCTGTGGAGGCTGTATGGAATGTGTCTCAGTCAAAACTCTTGAACAAATTCAAGTGTCGTCATTGGTGTTACCGAGCATGTGAAGTTTACGACAGCTTCACTGGTCAAGTGGATGCCGAGTTTATGACGGGTGACTCATGAATTGTGCTTACAATATGCACGCTGGCAGCCATTATTTATTCCTGACGATGTCTTGAACAAATATGTTACTACAGAAGGTGACCATCTCACCCACCAAGTTTCAGGCCTCTAGCCCTTTAAGTTTCTGAGAAGAGTATATATTTTTTCTTGTCTGAAATCAAAGATAAGTACCTGTCAGCCATATTGAAATTCCAATTTTGATGCTTTGAAGCCCTCTATAGTACAAACCAACCACACAAAACTTCACCTGAATCTGCTCAGGTCATTTCAGCGAAGAAATCGAAAATGTAAAATGTTTATGGATGGTGATAGTCTTGTGGTGACATAATTAAGCTCACATGGATTTTCAGGCTGTATGTGCTAAAAATAGTAACTGCTCCAGCTGAGCAGGAATAGTGGAGAGAGTATCACCTTTTTATCCATTTCCATGACGTTGCGCTGGATGGAGGCGTGTCTCAGACAGAGGCGGGAGAGGGACGAAAGGTAAGCCCCATGTTCGCTGCGGATGTCGTGCGCTGACAGGCGCCGCTCTGCTACTGGGGCGACTTGGCCAAGCTCACTTGGTACCACCAGGACAATGGGAGACGGACCTTTCTCCGGCTGTAAACACATCCATCTTGTAATCATTCAGAACAAGTGACCAGAAAAACTGATGGAGTTGTGCTCAACTGGTTATTAATCTCAGTTTGATTTTCAACCAAGGAAATTATAATTCTGTGATTGATTATTTTCCAGTCATACTACTCAACTTTTGATAGGGATATATCCTGAGATTGAGGGATCCTGGAGATGTAAAATGGTGTGAGATATTGCCATGGCAATGATACACTTTCAGCTTCTTTTCAATTAAGATATAACTATTTTATCGTGTGTGTGTGTGTGTGTGTGTGTGTGCATACCGGTTTCTACATTAATACCTATATAAAAGCAAAATCATTTTGAAATTAATTCTTCTAAATATGTGAACCATGATAGTAGTGTGTGGTCCACCGAGCGTTGTAATAGTGTGTGTGGTCCACCGAGCGTTGTAATAGTGTGTGTGGTCCACCGAGTGTCATAATAGTGTGTGGTCTACCGAGTGTCGCAGTAGTGTGTGTGGTCCATCGAGTGTCGGAACAGTGTGTGTGTGTGTGGTCTACTGAGTGTCGTAATAGTGTGTGGTCCACCGAGTATCGTAATAGTGTGTGTGGTCCACCGAGTGTCGTAATAGTGTGTGGTCCACCTGAGTGTCGTAGTAGTGTGTGTGGTCCACCGGAGTGTCGTAATAGTGTGTGTGGTCCACCTGAGTGTCGTAATAGTGTGTGTGGTCCACCAAGTGTTGTTATGGTGTGGGTGGTCCACCGATTGTCGGAACAGTGTGTGTGGTCTACTGAGTGTCGTAATAAGTGTGTGGCCCACCGAGTGTCGTAATAGTGTGTGGTCCACCAAGTGTCATAATAGTGTGTGTGGTCCACCGAGTGTCGTAATAGTGTGTGTGGTCCACCGATTGTCGTAACAGTGTGTGTGGTCTACCACACTCAGTTGAATACAGATTTGAAACGTGAAGACCTTCCATAGCCCTTGGGAATTACTGCCATACAATATCAACCTTCTATTAGACATTCCAGAACTTGTTTTGTTCAGTTTTTAAATTTTGAATCAATATTTTTCAAAGTGTTGCACGGAATGGAACTCGCCAGTTTGAAACAAGGGCCGCAAAGCTCGAGAATGCTGCTTTCTGATTGGCTAATGCCGACTTCTTGTTAGACATTCCATTGGTTGGTCAAAGTTTGCGAAAGGTTGTTCTGATGTGACCCATAATAGGATGTCCTCAGGTCTTTCTTTAGCTGTAGCAAGAACTAAGATCTGATTTTAATGAGATTGATAATAATATGTTTTGACCTCATGTAGTCTATAACTGAATAATGTCTCCGAAGGTTTGCTGTGGTGGAAAGGCGAGTACTGACCTGTAAGTTGAGCTTGAGCACTGTCCAGGGGATGTAGCATGGCCCCACGAACTGCTCCCGCGTGTAGGCGTTCTGCGCGAAGCCTGCAACCAGAACTCACCCAATTTGTTTGTTGTATAATGTCGCACTCTGCAGTATTCAAGCTGAATGACAACAGCCTGAAACTAATCGAGTCTGGACCAGAATGACAAGGGGGTCGATATGATATGTCCCTTGCTGTCTGGGTACAATAAAAAGCCCTGCTTCAATAAGCGCCCCCTGACCAAAATTTATAAGCATCCCTACCAAAACAGAAAATTTAGACGACAGTCTGTTTCTAAAAACAGTAGCAAAGAAGGGGTAAATAACTGCCTAATAACTATTACCGAAAGGATTTTAATTAAAAAAAAGGGTTTAATTTTAAGTAAGTTTGTTCACCTCTGCTCAATCAAACAAATTTAACTCGGGTTTGATCTTATAACTTTCTAAGCACATGGGGTGCTTATGGTATATAATTTACAGTTAATATGGTTTATAGTCTAATACAGGCTTGTAGTATCACTGCAAACGCTTTAGGCTACTACAGCCGGGGGCTGAAGACACCTGGCCGTCTCCTGCCATCACACAAGACCAGGAAGCAGGACATCACAAACTCTCGACATCAGCTATATATCTGAAACTTGTTATTCTCTTTCTTGTATTAAAGACAAGCTGGTCCACAATCTAAAGGGCTATTTCCCTTTCTCTTTAACTCCTGTTGTTGGACACATGGTTTACCATTGATGAGCACCACATCAGCCATGGAGGAGTCGATGGAGAAGGTGATGCCGTCTCGGATGTCGGTCAGGTATGCGTTCTCCAGTCTCAGTTTGATCTTCTCCTTCGTCAGACCCTGCAACAGATGCCAGATAGTCAGCACTCATAAAAAGGTCATTTGTTTGTTGTTCTTGACCGCAGTCAGGAATCTTCCACTTATATCACTATTGTTAAGATGCTTCTCTAAGGCCCTGACTTCATTCTGCGATAATACTTCACGATGGGCTGACGTCATGAGCCTGTTCAAATTACCTCCCCGTGATCTAAAGTATCCATGGTAACACTGTTCTATCATTACTGTCAATCTGTGACGTTAGCCACTAGTCTGAAGCCCGAGTCTAGTAATACTTTGTTTGGTCTAGTAAGCTCAGGTAATAATAGTCCATACAATACGGCTAACTTCTCCAGGAATCTATGCTAAGAGCAATGTTCAGGCTGGTAGTCTCAAAAGGTTTTAGACACATTAAGGTGACACATCCAGATCAAATATTGATGAATAGTTTCTTTAAACTTAAACAAATAATTGAAATTATTCTCTGGGAAGAAATATGGCAAGACGATGACAACTAATCAGGCGTCCTCGTGCTTTAACTAGAATAGTTCAGGGCTAAAATATATTTCATTACTCTATACATGGGGCTAGAGAAAACTTTATGTCTTATATAGAATATATAGAATCTTTGCCAGGCAAACAATTGGTGTACGATCCATATCCAACACAATCAGGATATGACGACCAACAATCAGCAGAGTGGGACCACCCAATCCCCATTTTATCTGGCTCTCACGACCAGCAGAGGTATTACGTTTTGAAGTCAGTAAATTTGGGTAGTCAGCTTTATGTAGTACATAATATTAGAAGGCAATAATATTTCACTTTAGCCAGAGCATCATGACGTTCCCCATCAAGACATTCCCCATCAAGACATTCCCCATCATAACATTCCCCATCAAGACATTCCCCATCAAGACATTCCCCATCAAGACATTCCATTCCCCATCAAGACATTACCCATCATAACATTCCCCATCATGACATTCACCATCAAGACATTCCCCCATCATGACATTCCCCACCAAGACATTCCATTCCCCATGAAGACATTCCCCACCAAGACATTCCCCATGAAGACATTCCCCCATCAAGACATTCCCAATCAAGACATTCCATTCCCCATCAAGACATTACCCATCATAACATTCCCCATCATGACATTCCCCATCAAGACATTCCCCCATCAAGACATTCCCCACCAAGACATTCCCCATGAAGACATTCCCCCATGAAGACATTCCCAATCAAGACATTCCATTCCCCATCAAGACATTACCCATCATAACATTCCCCATCATGACATTCACCATCAAGACATTCCCCATCATGACATTCCCCATCAAGACATTCCCCATCATGACATTCACCATCAAGACATTCCCCCATCATGACATTCCCCACCAAGACATTCCATTCCCCATGAAGACATTCCCCATCATGACATTCCCCATGAAGACATTCCCCCATCAAGACATTCCCCATCAAGACATTCCCCCATCATGACATTCCCCATCATAACATTCCCCATCATAACATTCCCCATCAAGACATTCCCCATCATAACATTCCCCATCAAGACATTCCCCATCATAACATTCCCCATCAAGACATTCCCCATCAAGACATTCCCAATCAAGACATTCCATTCCCCATCAAGACATTACCCATCATAACATTCCCCATCATGACATTCACCATCAAGACATTCCCCCATCATGACATTCACCATCAAGACATTCCCCCATCATGACATTCCCCACCAAGACATTCCATTCCCCATGAAGACATTCCCCATCATGACATTCCCCCATCAAGACATTCCCCATCAAGACATTCCCCCATCATGACATTCCCCACCAAGACATTCCATTCCCCATGAAGACATTCCCCCATGAAGACATTCCCCATCAAGACATTCCCCCATCAAGACATTCCCCATCAAGACATTCCCCCATCATGACATTCCCCATCAAGACATTCCCCCATCAAGACATTCCCCATCAAGACATTCCATTCCCCATCATGACATTCCCCATCAAGACATTCCCCATCATGACTTTCCCCATCATGACATTCCATAGGAAACTCTACTGAAAATGATGCTAAAGGCCATGTTCTTGCCACAGACCGTCCCTCACTACTTTGTTTTACGAATTATCCCCTTATCGTCACAGATGGCAGAGTAATGATGTACTTCCTGCAATCCCCGCACTGTGTCCAAACAGTCATAGTCCATTGTGGAAACATACAAGATAGGACATTAGGAATCCTTGAAGCACTTAACGAGCTGACATTGTGTTTTTAAGGCCCTGCATCCCAACACAATCCCCGATCTGACACTAAGGAGAGTCCATGTTATGGGAGTGACAGCAGTGAGGAGAAGACAACTCTTGGAGTCCTGGCGGACATCTCACCTGATACCCGGGCTGGTCCATGAGAACACCGGTAGCAAGACGGATTGCACAGACCTTCCACAGACGGTACTCCAGCGACGGCTCGGAGTCGGCAAACTCTATAATCCCCTGTTCCATGTCCTCCGAGCTGATAAACAGGAGCTGGGAAAACAACATGTCAGTCTTGTTACTGTAGAGTAAAGACACAATCAGAAATGTGAGTGAGGGTTGATTCATGCCACCAATAGCAACATTCCTACGATATCACTGCAATACAACTAATGTATACTCATCTCTAAAACATATAGAGAAGTATGTACGTTAAGAAGAGGTGTTTCCAATGTGAACCAATTAATGACAAAACTAAAAATCAGTCAAGTGTTACCACAGAGTATCTTTATTCTTATAATGATATGCTGCACATGATTTCCAAACTCTGCACACTCATCCTACACGAGACAAATGGTGCATGTCGAGTCATTGTTCTACGACATCACATGTGATGAGTTCATGAGCGTTGGTTCACACAACATACCAGTATATCTGTTTGGGCATCGAACCAATCGAATACCTCTTGTATATGAGTAATTCTTCATATATTAGACAAAATGTATGGTATTTGTGTTTCTTTTGATGCTGAGTATATTTCAAGTTTTAGGAACTTATCATCTCAACTGATACCAAAATGTTCAGGTAAAATAAGGGTAAACCTAGTGTGTCACATACATCTGTTTCCCAGCATTAGTTTACATTTGGAATCTCACGCTTCACCGTCAGTTCCCGATTCAGTTTAGCACCACCCATCTACAGGTAACATAGCTCTACATTGAAACAGTATGTTTACCTGATACATGACTCACACCGGTTTTAACTGTAAGTTGGCTTTGGTGAATACAGTAACTAATATCTCACCTGCACAGCTGTGTCACATCGGACTGTTGCCACTCTCTGTCTCTGTGTCAGGAGGCCCATCTCTCCGATGATGTTGCCGGTGGTCATGAAGTCTATGATCTTCGTCTCAGAAAGGGGGTGTATCTTGTGTGAAGATGTGGCCTTCTGCTTGATGCTGGTCTCCAGCTGCAGGCAACAACACATGCCAGAGTGTGAAATCAGTAACTTGCAGCCCTCACTACCCTCATGCCTCCACAATCCAAACAGTACTTCATACGATCATAAACTGTGAGAAACATGCAGAACACTGAGATTGAACCTGGCTCCTAGTTACCACCAGTACTGGGACGATACATCGATGCGTCGGTTCATCGTGATTGTTTACTTCTCGATGATCAGTCTCACACATCAGGTATTTGGCATCCTGTCTATGAAAAAGATGGCCTAGGGACTACAGATAAGAGCACAGGCAAGGATCATGATACATATCAGATCGTAAGTAAGGTAGTGTTACACGTATTGGATCACACATTTGGTGTGTCGTCCCAGCCCTAGTTACCACAGATACATATCAGATCGTAAGTAAGGTATTGTTACACGTATTGGATCACACATTTGGTGTGTCGTCCCAGCCCTAGTTACCACAGATACATAATCAGATGCAGGTGTCCAGGGTGCAATTAACAAGTTAGTGAGTGAGTGACTGAGTATGGTTTTACGCCGCTTTTAGCAATATTCCAGCAATATCACGGCGGGGGACACAGAAATGGGCTTCACACATTGTACACGTCGGGAATCGAACCCGGGTCTTCGGCGTGACGAGCGAACGCTTTAACCACTAGACTACCCGACTGCCCCATTTACAAGTAAGAAGGATGTGTGTGTGAGAATGTGCACCCCCTCCAGCCTGGATCCAGGGTAAATGATTGAACACTAGCCACAAGAAGCTCAAGCCAAGCATTCTCTTTGTTGGTGAAAGCTCAGCTAATAATAATCAACATAATAACACAATCTACTGAAAATGTTGCTGAGAGCCAGGTTCAGGCAAGTTGATATAATATTCAAAAGGCTTTGGCACAGACTGATATTGTGCAACTTAGTCAGCAATATTTAAGCTATACCAAATAATCAAACAAACCAGTGGTTGATAGCATGAGCATCCATGGAGCCAGAGAACCATGACACTAGTCAGGTCACATAATGTAACATTCCAATCCTCAACAAGCATGTGGCATGTATGGCTTATCTGGCCTTGAATCACCACGGGCAGGTATATGATGAACCAGACAAAACATAAAAAATATAATTGTGTTTACTACTCACCCTGACCATTCCCGACACAATGATGAAGATGCCACTGGTGGCGTCTCCCTGCTTCAAGATGATGTCACCATAATCATAGGACACCAGCTTGGCTCGACTCTGTCAATTGCATATAACAGAATGATATAATCGTAGGACACCAGCTTGGCTCGACTCTGTCAATTGCATATAACAGAATGATATAATCGTAGGACACCAGCTTGGCTCGACTCTGTCAATTGCATATAACAGAATGATATAATCGTAGGACAGCAGCTTGGCTCGACTCTGTCAATTGTATATAACAGAATGATATAATCGTAGGACACTAGCTTGGCTCGACTCTGTCAATTGCATATAACAGAATGATATAATCGTAGGACACCAGCTTGGCTCGACTCTGTCAATTGTATGTAACAGAATGATATCATCCTAGGACAGCAGCTTGACTCGACTCTGTCAATTGAATATAACAGAATGATATAATCGTAGGACACCAGCTTGGCTCGACTCTGTCAATTGTATGTAACAGAATGATATCATCCTAGGACACCAGCTTGGCTCAACTCTGTCAATTGCATATAACAGAATGATATAATCGTAGGACAGCAGCTTGGCTCGACTCTGTCAATTGTATATAACAGAATGATATAATCGTAGGACACCAGCTTGGCTCGACTCTGTCAATTGCATATAACAGAATGATATAATCGTAGGACACCAGCTTGGCTCGACTCTGTCAATTGCATATAACAGAATGATATAATCGTAGGACACCAGCTTGGCTCGACTCTGTCAATTGTATATAACAGAATGATATAATCGTAGGACACCAGCTTGGCTCGACTCTGTCAATTGCATATAACAGAATGATATAATCGTAGGACACCAGCTTGGCTCGACTCTGTCAATTGTATATAACAGAATGATATAATCGTAGGACACCAGCTTGGCTCGACTCTGTCAATTGCATATAACAGAATGATATAATCGTAGGACACCAGCTTGGCTCGACTCTGTCAATTGTATGTAACAGAATGATATCATCCTAGGACAGCAGCTTGACTCGACTCTGTCAATTGAATATAACAGAATGATATAATCGTAGGACACCAGCTTGGCTCGACTCTGTCAATTGTATGTAACAGAATGATATCATCCTAGGACACCAGCTTGGCTCAACTCTGTCAATTGCATATAACAGAATGATATCATCGTAGGACAGCAGCTTGGCTCGACTCTGTCAATTGTATATAACAGAATGATATAATCGTAGGACAGCAGCTTGGCTCGACTCTGTCAATTGTATGTAACAGAATGATATCATCCTAGGACACCAGCTTGGCTCGACTCTGTCAATTGTATATAACAGAATGATATAATCGTAGGACACCAGCTTGGCTCGACTCTGTCAATTGTATGTAACAGAATGATATCATCCTAGGACAGCAGCTTGGCTCGACTCTGTCAATTGTATATAACAGAATGATATAATCATAGGACACCAGCTTGGCTCGACTGTCAATTGCATATAACAGAATGATATAATTGTAGGACACCAGCTTGGCTCGACTCTGTTAATTGTATATAACAGAAGGATATAATCTAGGACACCAGCTTGGCTCGACTGTCAATTGCATATAACAGAATTTTGGTCAAAGGACACCAATGAGGCTCAAGTCATTGTAGTGGAGTGGTTTATGTTGTCAATGTTGCTGCCAGACTCACCTTCATATAGTCGATGAGTTTCTCATCGTTATGCATCCAGGTGACGTTGTTGAGCATCTTCTCGGGTTCAGGGAGCGGGATGGTGGGCGGGGCATTCAGCAGGCGCTTCATCTTTATCTCCACCATCTTCAGCAATACAACACATGTCATGGGAGTGCACCTTCTTACAACAATGTTATATTTAACAGCTTGATAAGTTGACAGATCTGTTCTCAGTGAGTGAAGGAACAAGGAACCACATCACTGTAAATGAAGAAATGGTGTTTTTCATCTGTTTCAAGAGTTTTGTTTATAGTTCATTTTCTATATTTTGGTAATGGTTTAAGTTTCATTTATTTAAAAAAAAAGAAGAAGTTTTTCTAAGTTAAATATTTGGTCCACTTATTAAAGCTCTGCACGCTAACGTCGAACCCATTCGACAGAGGTGTCCATCCCCGTGCATCTGATGTCGAACCCATTCGACAGGCGAATAGCATAACAACACCCCAAAATAAAACTCGCCATATCTATTTACCAAGAAGGCTTTGCGTAACATTTAAATTACGTATGACATGCATAAATCCTCAGCTTGCTCAATATCAAAACGTTCAGTCATTTATTTACCTCAAAAAGAAAATATCGCGAGTTAAAAATGTTTCGGCCAAACTTCTCGGCACACAACTACCAGAAACGGCCATTGTTGACTTTTGGCACTTCACGTTGAGCGGCATGCAGTCCGATATTTTCTTTATAATTTCATCATTTTTCCTATTCGATCATAATTTTTTGTTTGCTGGCGAAAGGAAAACACTCATGTTCCTTAATTTCTAAAAATTAGCAACTTTCGGTGTAACTAATTGTAAACAAAAACAATCTGAATCGTAACATCATCGATTGGATGAAACTTGTACTATCATGGCAACGGCGGTAAACAAACAACTCCACATGCATAGTTATCCCGTTAGACTATTACAATCATTTTGTTACATCTAACTTAATTTTCTAGAATTATTGACACGTATGTATAAATCTTTGTAAAAAGAATTTCATTTTTAAAGAGTTTGGAAATGATTTCGTTTGATAAACTTTCCGACACATTGACAAGCCGACAAACAGCTGACAAACGTCAGTGATACGTTTGGGCGTGGCCTAACTCGCGATTTGTTGAGTTGAACAAAGTCAACAAACACTGCGAAAAATGACAAATATTGGATGATACGCAAAATCTGAACTGATATACATTCTAGGTAAACCATTCAATAGCAAAATAATGCATTTTATGAGAAATAATCAAAATACTTGCAATTTTAGCTATGATTTCTGAAACCGGAAGCACGTACCGCATGTGACACATGGAAGCAAAATATGCAAAAGTTGGTAAGCTATCATAAAGAAATTCCGAAATAGATTCAAATTCAAAAGAAAATACATAATTTACTATTTTTCGTCAACTCTTTACTATTTATTGATCTGGAGAGCAGTCTTTACTCCTATTTGTTTCATATTTCTTCGTGATTGTCGCCATCAAATGTGCAAGTCTAAATCCGAAACCGTAATGGATTTCACGCTCGATGATATTAATTTTAAAATATTTTCTAAAAAAGAACGCAACGGAGAGCGATACAACGTATTGATATGCCATAATAATAACATAATATTGTTATAGGTCTAACATTACAAAAAGAACAATTTAAATATTAAAGATGTTGTTGAAAACTTTCTGAGAACCTCCCGTCCTCTGAACCGATAAAATTTTGGTACACAACGAGGTAGGCTAGTGTAAATATATATAGATTCTAGGCTCCTATATATGTGATTTTGTACCCAAAACAAATTAAATTGTACCCAAAATACTTTGTGAATTTGTACCTAAGAAAATAAGAAAATAGATCTATAATTATATTTATGTTTTCATGTAGATGAACAGAACACACAATAAAATATTTCATCAAGTTCCAAATATGATTATGACTGTGATCCTTGAAATTGATTGTTTAGTTTTGAGAGAAAATTGACGTCTTGTCACTGAAGGAGAGGCCAGTTAAGTTGGTTAAACCTAAGTTAGAATGAATTGTTTTGATAGGAAAGTGATATGTTAAGTTTAAGACACCAAATTAATGTATATCTTTGAAATAATTCTAGGTTGATCTACAAAATCACATACCCATTTGGGTAACAAATTACTAGAAATTTTGGGTACAAAAGTCACCACTGTACATTTCAACTGATTTTCGTGAATCAATGGGATAACAAAAATTTGTCGGAATGATTCCTTTTCTCATTTTTTAAGACAAGAATTTGTTTTACATAACAAAACAGGCAGATCTACACAGATCACGTTTAGTCCTAAAAATGTTTAAAATATCGACACCTCAGAAATGAGGGCTTATAAGGTTATAATTCTACCTAACTTGTCACATGGTTTGACTTAGATCTAGGTCTACCTAAGAAAAGTCCTTATGAAAATCTGTTTTTAATTTTTTTATGACACTGACATTTCTGGCACTTAGACAAAGAGTATTCAAGGAAAGACAGATATGTTTTTGAATGAAAATATGACTTTCCTTTATAATTCTTTTTTCATGATGACAGGGGAACTTTTATACACACCAGCTGAGGAAGTTGTGATACTGTGATTGCATACAAAGAAAAAACAGGTTGGAAGCAGTACCTGTATGTATAAAATAGACCACATAAGGTGAACAAAAGTAATGGATTGGCTGACTGGAAAAAATACATCTGGCAAGGGTCAACATGTACACAGGCATGTTTCTTTTCATTCCAACCAGAAGACTGAGATAGCATTTTCTAAGAAACCTGTGGCAAACTTACCAGCTCATGTGCCACCATGGTTCTTGTGATTAAACAAACAAAAATGTCATGTACTGTTACAAGTACTGTTACTGTAATTAAATTAAATTAATTCCTATTAAATTTTATTTTAGAATTTTTTTATTTGGAAACAAACCACATAATGCACAAGATTAATGTCCATATGAGTTTAGTATGTATATGTTAAGGATCTGATTTATTCATTATTCATGGAATACTAAAATTAAAATGATGACATCAGAGAGTTACTTATTCACATAGTTGATTTTCAGAGTGCAAGATAATAATTGTTGAATAAATATGTTTAAACTAAAGATAATAATTGAAGTTTGATCAGTTACACTGTGCTGATGCAAAGACTAATATTTACTGTCCCCACACACCATCATTGTGGGAAAAATAACTATTAAATATAACTTAAAATTTTAAAACCTGTAAACAGCTGTAAATAATTAAACAATTACAAATCTATCATCAATACGCCATCATGGTGGTCTTCATATTTTTGGAATAAATTTAGAAATCCTTCGTGTAACTGTTCTAAAATCATGCTAGAATCTATGAATGTATTCCCGAAAGGAAAGCTATCCTAAATGTAATGTGGAACTAACACCGAAAATATGTACGTAGCATTTTATTGCTTATATATACCCAATCATATTCAGCAACGCGGGGATGTTATTTTGAAACACGTTTTGTCAAGCCCATTTTCGCGCACCTGTTGAAGAGGGTGATCTTGCTGATCGACGATATCCATAGACGTATTACGTGGGATACACTTGTTGTAGTGAAACTTATCAGCGTTTACATCGCAGAAATATGAATCATGTCCCATTTATATTCACAACATTGAATGGTGATTCTTAAATATCAACAGAAGTTCAAATAAAAGATACCGAGAAACTTGCATGTGGCATGTTGATTTATCGTCTACCGTTTCCGGGTCACGGGAGCATGCAAGGTCAAACGGATTAACTAATACGCGAATTATATCGTCAAAGTCACATTTTTATTTCATGTTAGTGGCGATTACTGATACTGTGTATCGACTTATGTTTTTGCTGTATGTGATAGGCGAACTATTTCATAATTTACTGTAATTGTTTTGTTTCGAAAGCTTATCAGCAGACTACCCCTGTCTGTGACATCACATCCGGTGACCTATGCACTTATTGAAATAGTGCTGTCAGAATTCACGATCTTTATTTTCATTTTTCTCTCGTCATATTTATTGGAATATGACGAATAAAACATTCTTCGATTGAGAAGATCGTCAACTTTCGCCAAGTTATATTTTTAAAGGCAATGTAAACTTTGTTGATGTTAAAATAGCAGTAAGATATGCGGAGGTCGAGCGAAGCGCGCCATGTTTGATTTTAGGACGTCTGCTAGCATCATGACACGGGTTGTTCATTTTTGTATATCGTAAATATTCAACCAAAACGCTTGAAATTAGGATTAGTGAATATTTATAAGTCATTAATTGTTTCCTGCAAATTTTATAACATGACACGTCAGATTAACCCGAATATTCGTATTTCTGCAACCGACATGATGACCTCGAAAATTAAGTTATTTTTATGTTTAACGTTTAGATAATAAATTCACTGAAATGGTTCCTAATTTACCATCGCGCTGTTATTTGCTGATAAAAAAAACCCGAATTTTTACTCAATTAAAATTAAGATATCGGAGATATGATTATTGAAATCAATTTGCACAAATGTTACGATATTAAAAGGTTCCTAGCATGAAATGCAAACCACCTTCAATAACGCAATTCAGGTAAGTTCAAGAATATTTACAAATTTTGTGTTCGCTTTGGTCTTAACATTGGTATGATTGAAAACATTAGGATATTTTTATATAGTACTGTGTAGTTTTCTATCAGGAATAAATGTGCAAAATATTTCTTCAATTGGCCCTTGTTTAATGAGGCACCGACTGTTTGAAATCACCCACCCTCTTTAGAGCGCCTTATGCTAAAATTAATCCAGCAGGCAGGGGTAAGAAGTGTGAAAATAATTCAGCAGGCTAAAGGTTAAAGTCATCTTCATTTGAACCTCCTCACTTTGGCTTAGTGGATAAAGTGTTTCGTCCTAATATGTCACATGAAACCTAGATATTTTGAGTTCAAATCACCATTTCTCAAGACATTTTTGCGGATAAAATATTAACTTGTTTACAGCCTCAATTTCATTTCAAGTCACATGATCTAAAAAACACATGTTCCCCACACAATCAGTTAAATCTCCATCTTGTTAGGACCACAGTTGCATTCTCAACAGTATAAAGCAACACAAATGTAAGTAAACTCATATTTTTCAATGCCAAAGTTAATATTATTTTATTTATCAAGTGTTCAATGCATGTACATGTATAACGTCAATTCAGTAATTATTTTGCAGTTGTAAGTTGTATTTTGAAGTCGTCTTAACTGTTCAACGTCAGCTCTTCGATTCAACTCCTTTACCAATGATAATGTCTGAATGAATATTGTTCTTATCAACGTTTGTATTGAACGTTGTGATTAACACTCAACATCATGTAATACAGATCCCTGTGGGTGGGAGTGTCAGAAGTGTGTTCCTTGCATCTACAATCACTGTATTCAGTTCAGTGTCAGAATAGAAAACTTATAGCTACAGGTTAAAGTTTCTGAACAGGCAGGCAAGTTATTTTAAGTTTTTCAAGATCTACTTGTATGAATCTATTTTTAGACAACAATAATGCTGGAATTTCCCTTGTATTCATAACTAGTATCTTCGCACAATGCATTGTAATTACTGTATTCGACATAACAAGTGCCCCAGATGCTTAGAAATTTGACAAATAGATTGGTAGTGAAACAAACTTAATTCAAACATCGATCAGTTTGTGAGTGAGTATTGTTTTACGCCGCTTTTCGCAATATTCCAGAAATATCACGGCGGGGAACACCAGAAATGGGCTTCACACATTGTACCCATGTGGGGAATCAAACCTGGGTCTTCGGTGTGACGAGCCAACACTTTAACCACAAGGCTACCCCTCCACCCAAATCAAACGTTGATGAACCAACAACATTTTAGATAACAGTTATCACACAGTTATTTACCCCCTCTAAGCCTTTGTTTTTTTTAAAAAAAAATCTGTAATGTACACAAGAAAATTTGGACTGTTTATGTACTTAGTGTTCTGATATAAACAAGAACTAACATAAAACTATAAAGATTTGAAAAGCTAATCCCACTACAATAATACAATGAAACACAACAACACTACAACAACAGTAAAAACAACAGTAACAACAACCACCTTCTTGAGTTTCTCCCCCTCTGCTTCCTGCAGGATGCCGTCCTCCCACAGCTCATGGATGCCGTCACGCAGGTTGTTGAGGACGCTGCGGATAGCCTGCCGTGTCTTGGCCGACAGCGCTATGTCTGGGTGCTGCTTTTGCAGATGCCCTGAAAGATTCCATAATAACTGAACGAGGGGCTGCAAGGATAATGTGAGGACAAGTTTGCTATTGAACACAAAACTACATGCTTTAACAAACCTACCATGCATTAGAATACTCTAATTTTCTATTGGGATTTTGTTTGACAAATAGTTTTTTTCCAGATTGTCCTGCATGCAATATTATCGCAGGTCATAGTTAGGACATGCTGGATGTTTTGTGAAAAGAAAGATCATTTGGTTCCTCATTTCAGAGACAAGATGATACGCCAAGCTGGTGTCAAATGACAATATATGTTGTACAAAACTGTCATACTGTGGTACTGCACAAGAAGGAACCAATCAACTAGTGAACATACTGCTTTGGTTTTGGCTGCATTCAGCAATATTCCAGCTTTACCACGGTGGCCTGTAAGTAACCCACTTTGGGTCAGGCAACCAACAATCCACACCTCCAGGGTTCAATGACACACAGGCCCATTGCACAGTATGACAACACCATCCTTATTTGTTTTGGCTTTTACAGGCATGGCTTATTGTGATACAAAACCCATACAAGAAAACACTACAAAATTAGCTTCCCACATTGTACTTGTCACGAATTGACCTGGGTCTTTGGCATGATGAGTCAACATGTTTGTTTGTTGTTTTACGCCGCACTCAGCAAAATTCTCGCTATATGATGGCGGTCTGTACATAATCAGGTCTGGAACAGACAATCCAATGATTGATATCATGAGCATCGATCCACGCAATTGAGATACAATGACATGCATCAACCATGTCAGCGAGCCTTTCATGGCAACACTAGGCTCCAGCACTGTTTCCAGTCCTTCAATGCCTGGAGAAGACACTGACCGAGACACCTGATGACCTCCAGCCTGCAGTCATCCACATGTCCCTTCAGCTGCTTGGCGATGTCCTTGCTGTCTACCATGTGGTCTATCAGCTTCCGGACCTCGTCCTCCCCCGCCACGAACCCCCGTCCCAGGTCATAGCCATAGCTCAGATGCAAGCTGATCCTCGTCTTGACCATCATCAGAAGCAAAGGCAGCAGCGGCTGGACATAGGGCAACCAGAGATTACCAAAAGGGTGGGACTAGAAGCACAAGGTTATCAACACAAGCTGCAAAATACAAGTTTTGGAACATATGTTGTGGAAGTTTGGGAGAAAAAGATGCAGAATGCAAGCTGTGGAATACAAATTGCGGAACACAAGTTGCAGAATACATGTTGCGGAAAACAAGTTGTTGAATGAAAGCTGTGGAGCAAGACCAAAACAAAAGAACAAAATAGTTTTAAATGAAGGAATGGTTATTAAATGTAACAATTAGTTGGTGCGTCCTCAGCTACCACCTTCTTGTAATCTGCAATGCTTACTGGTGGCGCAATGCTACTTCTGCCATTAATTATGGGAGGTAACTCTTTTGGTTTCTGTTCTATTTATTTATTTATAGAGTATCATAGACTGACGATTCAAGTATCGTGTGTACCTAAGTATCAATGATATTGTATGTATCGGTGAACCGTTACAGCCCTACTGCTCCTGATGTTGCCCGTCCTACCTCTACAAGTCGCAGCAGCCTGACAGCCCGGAGGATGATGAAGACAACCAGTGTATTCCGCACGGGCTTGTTGTGGCCCGTGTCCAGTGATGCTAGGGAAAACTGCAGGATGGCATCGATGATACCATGGCCGATGATGAAGAGACTGAGCACCTGCCAGATGATGCTGAGGAAGGATCTCCCCTGTGGTATCAGCTGAAACAGGGGGAGTGAGATTGTGTTACTGCTGTCTGTGAAATAGCCTGAACTTCCTGCATTAGTTCAGTCAGCATTGGGCCGTAACATCACTTCCTGCATTAGTTCAGTCAGCATTGGGCCGTAACATCACTTCCTGCATTAGTTCAGTCAGCATTGGGCCGTAACATCACTTCCTGCATTAGTTCAGTCAGCATTGGGCCGTAACATCACTACCTGCATTAGTTCAGTCAGCATTGGGCCGTAACATCACTTCCTGCATTAGTTCAATCAGCATTGGGCCTTATCATCACTTCCTGCATTAGTTCAGTCAGCATTGGGCCTTATCATCACTTCCTGCATTAGTTCAGTCAGCACTGGGCCCTATCATCACTTCCTGCAAAATGTCACCCACAGGACTAGGCCTTCACATTACTTTCTGCAGTATTTTAGATACAGAATTAGGCCTTAATATCACTTCTTGTAATATATTGGACACAGCATTAGGCCTTCACATCACTTCCTGCAATATTTCAGACACAGAATTAGGCCTTAAAATCACTTCCTGTAATATATTAGATACAGCATTTGGCCTTCACATCACTTCCTGCAATATTTTAGATACAGCATTGGGCAGTACCATCACTTCCTGCAATATTTCAGATACAAATATTGACCTTAACATCACTTCCTGCAATATTTCAGATACAGATATGGGCCTTAACATCACTTCCTGCAATATTACAGATACAAATATTGACCTTAACATCACTTCCTGCAAGCTCTCCGTCATGGTAATAGACCTCACATCACTGCCTGCCATACTTCCCAGTCTGACACAAGCACTCACCTTCAATATGACCTCAGTAATGTACACAAGGACCAAGAATACATTAAGAAGCTGTAGAATAATCTTGTAATCTGCGAAGATGAGGACGTATTCAGCCACGATGGCAAGCGTGGAGCTGATGGTGTCGAAGCCGATGAGGACGTAGATGACTACGTTGAACACCCAGTGTGTGGTAATCTGGTGGAGCACCTGCGTGTGGGGAACGTCGCCTCGGATGTTTACTGGGCGCTTGCGGATCACCTCCTTCAGTTTACGTTTCTGACAAGGTATTACAGCATTCAGTATTTTATGAAATGAAGAATACTTGAAACAAGCTATTATAAAAAAACCCATTTCCTCTACATTTGTTAATTGAAATATGATGCCTTATGCCAAAAGCAAATAATTCTTTTTACATATTCCACCGGATGAGTGTAAACATAAGATCTTTTAAGATTTAAAAAAAAAAAATTGTTATAACTGTGTAGGTATCTGAAGAAATTTGTGAAATAGTGCTTGACTGGGATGGGATCACACTGTTTGTTTGTTTGTTTGTTGTTTAACGCTGTACTCAGCAATATTCCAGTAAATGAGGCCTGTCTGGATATAATCTGGAGTCTGGACCAGACAATCCAGTAGAACATCAATCTACGCAATTGGGATACGATGACATGCATCCCACCCGGTCCCTTTAGTCGCCTCTTACGACAAGCATTGCCGGGATCAAACTGTAACAATACACAACCGGACATGAACCAGCTGACAGCGGTACGTACAACTCGGATGAGAAGGGACGGTACTTCCCACGACTTCTTCACCTCATCCACGTCAATGAACCTGAAACATAACATGGTGTACGTCACACAATACATAAAATTCATCTTAATTAACAGATTAACAATTAATGTGAGTGTCGACCCTTGGCCTGAAATGCATCATGAAAGTAATGTGACTGGCCCTGCCTTTGAACTTTAATTAAAAAACTAATCAGCAAATGATAGCTCCCAGACTGTAGACTTAGAATTCCTTGATATCGTAGGGGATGACAGCAGTTCAATGAATAATATCATTTGCTAACTGAATTTCAACTGCTTGACATGTGATCCATGAAATCAAAAGCAGGAACTTCAAATAATGCATATTCAAATGACATAGGTCGGGTCACATACAAGAATATCCAGGTTTCAAGTGATTTTACACAATTTAGCCTAACCTTTTGAAAGACTACTACTCCAGACTAATGCCGGTTTTATAACCACTGAGACACCATGCCACAGTTTAACATGAATACACCACTCTGACACAGTATACTGACTCTGAGCTGACCAGTCCTTGTTTTAGCTCCTTAAAGCCAAGCACCAGGCAGGGTAAGAACAAGTACCATCTTTTAACGTCTGTTGGTATGACGGGCTGGTGATAGGACAACCGACCTGCTGCTCTCCAACCAGACACTATTGGCACTTGACCACGGCAGTTCAAACTAAACGGTAAGCAAATGATGGTGCCACCTACATCCCCTTCCCATCGGCGGCACACTCCGCACACTCCTGCAACTTCTGCACCGCCTCCCGAGACAGCATGCCCTGCTCAAACTGCCTCCAGTAGCTCAGCTGGGGAACAGACAGACACACAGACAGGAGTCAAAATCAAGGGCCGGTCCTATCTCTTGAGAACTACCAGTATGTGTTTGCTGTGTTGGATCAGATAGTTGGATCCAGGATTTAAAAAAAATTCCTGCAGTATTCTCAAATCCTTTGGGCTGGGGTTCAAATGCTGACAGTTAACCTTCATTGGTTTTTTTGGGATGTTTACTTTTGTATTTGGGTTAGGTACGGGAATGGACAAACAACCACTTTGGTGGAACCCTTAAAATAGTCGGATCAAGGATTTTTAAAAATTCTCAAATCGTTTGGGTGGAGGTTCAAATGTTGACAGTTAACCTTCACCGGGTTTTGGGGAAGTTTACTTTTGTATTAGGGTTTTGGTACAGGAATGGATCTGACAAACAACAAATCCTATCTGGGACAACCTGTGACCATTGGATCCGTGCTTGAAGGGAAGAAACACTGGGCAGAAGAACTGACCATTTGATAATCTCTTTCGCCTCCCCAAGTGACTCTCCTCATGCTTGTTAATTGTTGCTAGTTGTATGCCACACTCAGCAATATTCCAGCTATATCACAGCAGCCTGTAAATAATTGAGTCTTGGCCAAACAAACCAGAGGCTGATATTATGAGCAATACCCCTCCCTATCTGGGTAGAATGTAACACAAACAGCCAAGTTACAGAGAGAACACCATGAGAATAGGACAGGTATTGTTAGCTAACCTTTTCTGCTTTTAACATTCTGAGTATTGCCTCGTTGGTCATGTCACGAAGCTCCTTCTGTGTGGGTTGACTGGGCAGGGAGCACTCACACTCCGGACACACCGAGTTGGGGCGGATCTCCAGCAGGGACTCGTCAAGGTCAGCCTGCAACAGGGGAGATAACTCTCATAACACTTGCCCAAACAGCCATGACAGGAATCAGGCCCTCTGTGGTCCAAGTTCCTGCAAACAGAAACTGGTCAAACTTGTTTCACTATAAAGTGGCATCATTTTTCCTAAAGACAAGTAAAGGATTTTCAGACAACAATCAATTTCATTAACATTCTCAATAACAGTTCCACTTTGAGAAACATTTTAACCAAAGAAAATACCTCTCACTGCAAAATGTCTATAAGTAAATGTGTAAAGCCTAAGCATAATGGCATATTTCTATATTTAACTCAACAGAACATGACATATTCAGAATTGTAAAAAACATTGGAGGAAATGTAATACATCTTCCAAAACAGCTGAGAGAAAATGCTAATTATTCAAAAGATGAAATGAGTTAAATTGTCGACAGATACAAACTACTTTCCATCTTACAATGACTGGCAGTAAAATGGGGCCATTATTCTATCACGTATAAATATTTTACAGAAAACCCTGATGAAAATGAATTTCAGTGTAAGATTCAGCAGGCAGACGACATATATTTCAAATTTCAGTGATGTGGCATCAGTAACACTTGTTTGAGTCAGCATAGAAAATAGTGTGAGTGAGGTGCTCATCCTGAACATTGAATGTCATCTTGAGGTATGTCTTCGTCTCACAGTTGAATGGAACAAACAATACTTGGTACTCGGAGCATTGCAGAAGTTTCATGCCAGATAAAAAATATGGGGCTGCATATTTATTGACTGCGTAAACATTATGTTGTACCAGCATTTTGTTTTGTTCCATTTATGAACTTCAATTCATACCTCAATGTATCAGATTGCTTCTGAATTAAAAATTTAGAATTCTACAATATCTCGTGATACGTATCACAATACAGCCTTGTGCATCACAAAATATTGTGATACACTTTAAACCTCCAATACCAATCCCTAAAAGTAATATGGAAGAATTGTGCGATTCTTAACCTTTTGTTAGTAGTATATGACAATAAGCAGTCATATTTATTAATTTAACCATAAATTCCCTGAGAAGTTGATTTTGTGTTGACTAGGTTACTGGCAGATCTGTTGATGACTTATGTATGTGAATGTAAAGGTTGTGTTTAGATATATACACGAGGCAGTGAAGAGATGGAATGTCAGCATGAACAGATCATGAGAGACAAGTGACTTTCACATTGTCTGAGTTAGCTGGACTGAAGACTTGAACTACCAGTGCATCACAACCAACAGTACAGTCGTTTCATGAAAATGTGCATTTTGTGATAAAAATATGAAACTTGGCACAGTGGTACGCAATGACATTCCAAATATTTTCAGATATGGGGCCGCCAAAAAAAATCCAATGGAGGAGTGAAATTCTTGTATATCTCGTTTGAACATGACCCACAACCTTAATATAAGAAAAACGAACATTTTGGAACGTATTTACCCAACACGTCATCGAAAAGTATATAACTATATTTTAATGGACTATTCATCTTGATTTAGGTAATCCCTATATCTGTCACTATAGTACAGATGTACAAGGAGAAGGGACATTTTCCCTGTCAGTTAGGGGGGTGCTGGAGGACCCTTATACCATGTGAATCTAGGGACACTGTGTATCACTGAGCTGTTAACATTAGGGCTCGGACCCCTTGACTCTCAGTGAGGGAGGGGGTTTGGTTTAAATCTGCTTTGAATGGTATTATAGCTGTATCCCGGGCGTGACAGCTTGATGTGACCTCACACAGCCGGACCAACTGTCCCGACTAAGCCTCCTCATACATGAATGTCCGAGTTTGCACCAGACATTAAGCACATCAACGTAACAGGGAAATATTCAACCATTTATATGTTTGTACCACTTAGTTTTATTATGGCATTGTATATAGGTACATGTGCTTGTTTAACAGACAACTGCTTGTTTACAACAAGGGTTATAATCAGTTGTCTGTCTATCTTAGTCAGATTATAGGGTCAGTTCATTTTTGTTTTAAGGGTAGTCAGGTTATTCCATTTTAGTATCATTGTTTCACAGTAAATACTCCCTCGTCAACAGAAGGCACGTCCCGGGGCTGGATAGAAGGGTATGGAGACTTATTTTGCTCAAATTTGATATGAACGTGCTCAGCCTCACGTTGGTGCTAATGTAGCGGCCATAAAATTTCCAAGTCCCGTGATGGGATTTGAACCACGGACCTTCTGATCCGAGGTTGGACACCTTGTCCATAATAACCAAAGAGGTTAACCCCTTCAGCAACCTGACAAGGTAAGGATGTCATCTGTGGGATGACTCCAAGCCCTGCTACAGCAGTCACAGAAACCAACTACAGAATCCATTGACCACGAATATTGCCATCAGACAAGAATATACCCAAACTCCCTCCAACTGGAAAGAAAGTGATTGTGGAAACTGGTGTTCCCTCTCCCAGCACGAGCCACTGCAAAGAGTGCCACAGAGCAGCATCCTCCTGAGTCGGAAGAGGACAGAAGGTTCTAGAACAAGTGGACGTTGAAGAAGGTCATTCTGAAAAGGAACTGGAGTCAGGACTGAACATCATCTCTAAGTTTTCCAAAGGGGATGATGATTTCGGCCACAGTACTGCAGTACAACATCAGACCGCATCAACGTCGTCAATGATATCCCATTCAAGCAGCCTCCAGCGATGCATGATGATCAGTCTACAGTCACCTTCAGCAACTGCTGGAGTGATAAGACCCTCACATAGTCCTTGGGCATCAAATGTCATCTTAGTACACAAACACAGTGGAGATTTGAGAGTATGCGTGGATTATCGCCAGCCAAAATACCGCCCCTGGTGGAATAAGTGTCAGACTGTTGGGCGGCATGAAATACTTCTCTGTTCTTGATATGAAGTCTGGATACCATCAGTTAGAGATACCAGAGAAACACAAAGAAAGAACGGCATTTACCGTTGGACCACTCGGCTTCTACGAGATTAATTTGATGCCATTTGGACTTTGCAATGCCCCTGCAACTTACCAGCGCTTAATGGAAAACTGCCCCTCAGGATTACATATGGAAATCTGCCTTGTCCACATTGAAGATTTGATTATTTTCTCCAAGACTTATGGGGAACATCTGGAATGCTTGGAATGTTGGAAAATGGAATTGAGGCAGACTAAGAGAAAATAGAAAAGATCCAAAATTGTCCCACATCAATAAATCAAGAGGAAGTGAGAAAGTTTTTACGATTTGCCAGATATTGTAGAAAATTTGTAAAAAGACTTCTTCAAAATTGCTTGACCTCTTTTGAAATTGATGCCAAAGACAAATTCAAAGAAATCAAGATCACAGAAAGACAAAATAAACAGAGTTCAGTGGATATGAGGACCTCTTCAGGAAACAGCCTTTCAAGAATTGCAAGATTGTCTGACACCACCTGATATTCTGGCTATGTTGAATACTGTGTCTGTGACATCCCCCGTGGTCTGAAAATGTCTGCTACACCAAGGTAAGCATAAACCCTGAAAACAACTCTGAGATGAAAAGAGTCTAGGTGATCACAAGAAAGGGATAACCCAGGGCTGTCAGTATTTACGTCATTTTTAGAGTGAGTGAGTATGGTTTTACGCCGCTTTTAGCAATATTCCAGCAATATCACGGCGGGGGTCACCAGAAATGGGCTTCACACATTGTACCCATGTCGGGATTCGAACCCGGGTCTTCGGCGTGACGAGCGAACGCTTTAACCACTAGGCTACCCGACCGCCCCACGTCATTTTTAGAATACAGTTTCGTAAAAAACTTCAAAATATGTCATTTCTTCGCTTATGAAAGTCAATTTCACGGTCATGTGACAAGCCTCTCATCCACTTAGAAATCTGGATATTGCAAATATCTCATGTTCAGAAATTATGATACTTTGGTTTGAATGACACAAGATGTATGCCAGTTACTTCAAATCAAACTGTTTTATTACATCACCGTTAACCAAGTCAAAACCTTCCCACTGCAGTTTGTTTGTCATTTGTGAATGACTTTCAGTGTAGATTTTAGGTTAAATGATACAATAAATAACAAAACTTGTCCTATATTTTTGTACCCAATATACAAGAACACAAAAAATTTGCAATATGTAATGTTTGAATTGCAAAGCTGTATAGCGGTGAACAGGCAACAACATGCTGTCCTATGAGTGATGGTCCATAGCAGCATGGTACACAGCCGAGGCCATGTTTGTTTCATGGACTCTCTTGCCCAGAGTGCCAAGATGCAGGAGGCAAAGACAATGTGAGAAGTGTCTATCAAGCTTAACACATGCATCAAGTCAAAACAAAATACACATAACAAGAGAAAACATGATATTATTTTGAAGCACGAAAAATTGAACCTGTACTTAAAATTATTAGACAGTTTAATTTCTTGAGCAAAGCAGAAAATAAATTGAACAAGGCAAAAAGTACCCCTTTTTTTCAAAACATGAAAAAAGCAATATTTTCACAGAATATACACATATCAAAATCAAACTTTGCACTGCACTTATCCTATTCTCCGATTAGTAAAGAAAATGTTCTCTAAATTTGAAAGGAATCCATGAAGTAGTTTTCAAGTTATAGGTCACAAAAATGTTTAAGTAAAAACATTCTGAGCACCAAAATGAAAAATAGCTGTATTTCTTTTTGAAAATCCAAATATTGAAATCTTCGCACTGCACCTCTCAGCGTTCACCAAGTTTGAAAAAAATCTATGCAGTAGTTTTCAAGTTAGGTCCCACAATAAAATGTCATCGGAAGAATGGATGGATGGATGGATGGATGGATGGATGGATGGAAGGAATTCCTTGGTATATGGAGAATCTCACCCGAGTGTCTTTTGATATCAAATATATCAACACGAGTTGATAAAAATCACTTTTATCAACTCGTGTTGATATATTTGATAGTGGGAAAACTCCGAGGCTTGCCGAGGATTTTTCCAACCTTAATCAACGAGTGTTGATATATTTGATATCAATAGACATGAGGGTGAGATTTTAT